AGTGAATGAGAGCATGTCCCATTGCTGCCAATGGTGATTGTCACAATGGCAGGAGTGTGTTGGGATATGACGAAATATGAGTTTTTACGTTCCAAAAGAAACTATTCAAGTACAAGGTTTTCGACACGTGCGATCGGACTTTGATCGTGATTCGACGCAAGTCTGCCGGACGCAAGTCTGTCGGACAATCTGTAACCACACAAAAAGGAAAAGATCCTATACAAGTGGAATATTGATGTTGTGTACGATGCAGTAGGGAATAATGCAAGATGTCTCAAAGTACTGCATTCAACACAGAATTGTCGTAGAAGTCGAATCGAGTTCTGTAAACAAGGGATTTTCCAAGGGAAAATCGTTGAACTCACTATTGTGATTGAATCATCAATTCAAGCAAAACATTAATCAAAGAGGAACAATTTCACTCAAAGTATACCTAGACACAGGAGAACTGTTGTCGTGAAAGTGTTGTACATTCGATTACGAATTTAGATTGCAGAGAGTTTGTTCTGAGCGCTAAAGGCGGCACTCACGATAGAGCACATTTTGCTTTATTCTAACAGAATCCTCAGTGTGCGCAAATCAATTCAGTCTCAAGGCGCCAACGCATGCTAGTCCTGTCTTGAGTGGCCCAACAGCAACGACGGTCTTCCTATCTGAAGAGACAGCACCGGCGATGTTTTGTTCCGTTGTGATAGATGTGTTGGATGGAGCTTTCGATACGGTCCGACAGGCAGACGTCCGATGATACAAATCCGATGGTACAATAAGTAACATAGAGTACCGCAGGTATACTTGTACAATAAATCCGATGATACAAATGCGATGATACAATATATGAATCCGTAGTCAGTTTCCGGTTTGTCTTGTGGAACTAACTGCATTTTCTGCCACGACAGATGGCGGACACCTGAAAGTTGGACCGGAAAAGTCATATCATCAGGCATCGGTTTCAGGTTCGCGTGGAAGTAGCCTAAACACACCCACCGGTGTTGTTGGGGAGGGTATCGTACAGTAGGCAACTGAAGTCTTTTTCGCATCAGCAAACATAGCCTTTTGGTTTCCTTTCATCCACCTTTCAGTCGCCTGCATACTTTACATATAAAATACAATGATGGAGCACAGGCAAAGGCCTGCCAATAAGAATAAGCAAGTTCCAAAAGGAGGACGAATGCTGAGAATGAATGGGGCTCGACTATCGGTCTTTATTTCCTTTGTGGCCGGCATTTTCACTACCAGTGTAGTATTTTTTGCTCGGACGATCATTTTATCCAGTTATGATTAATTGAATGAAGACTGCGAAAGTATGAAGAATATCAAGTTCAAAGATGATTGCAATTGTCAAGAAAGTGATCATTACAAGGAACAAATTGACCGATTATCCAATCAATTGACTGGTTCGCATCAACCAGTAAAGGAGGAAGTAGTAGTAGCAGCAGCAGCAGCAAAAGAAGCTGCAGTCCGACACCTCGATGCATCCTCGTCCAATCTCGTGCAATACAAGACGGAACTGGCAGGTATGCTCATGAACATGTGGGACCTGGCGGAAGACAAACAAATGATAAATGATCATAGTGGAGAAACATCAGTACAAAGATTAATGTTGAATACATTTATGCAGGAAGTATTCGATCAACTACCGGGAACACTGGCAGGAATGAGATGCATGGTGCGTCATAGTTTGGTATTCTTGTTGTTGTCACATCAGCAAATTTATGAAGTTCTAATATCTGACCTGATGAAATGATTTGCCCGTGAAGATTTTCGAGTTCAAGTACATTTCTCAATTTGGTGGATGCCGCGAGACCTTTCATTTCCGACATGATCCCAATGAGAAAGGTATTATCAATCCATTGACGACCAAATATGGCACCTACGGAATCATCAAGGGTGACCTGGAGGGTGATGTCAGCCATATTCCTCAAGAGTATTTTGACATGGCAATCTATACCCAACAAATGCAACATGAGAAGCACTTTTGGAAGGCGCTCCCGAACTTGGCCGGAACCATTGACAAAGGTGGTCTCTTAATATTCTCCATTCCATGGGCATTCATGTTCCATCCCTTGCGAGGTGACTTTTATCGGTATTCTCCATCGGCTGTATATCACTTGTTGGAGTCGTCTGGGTTCGCAATCTGTCACATCGTCTCGGATGGTTGGAAGTCGATGCAAATGCATGCTCTTGGGCTGGGTGTCGAAGACATTTATGACCTCGAGTCTGTCTTGAAGAGTCAATCAAAGGTATCATTGCTCAGTGGAGCGACCAGTTACATGGCAGTGGCACAACGAGTGGAGGAAATTGGCGATCCTTGTACATTGCAAAGACTGAAGCTCTCCAATGAGATTACGAGGGAAGAAATCAATGGATTTGGAATTCATGGCGAATTCTTGCCGGACGCAATGAAGGATTTCCCCTTTGTACCAAAGAAGAAGAAAACCATGAAGGTACCCAATAAGAGAGCCAAAAATCATGCCAAGAAGAAAAGCTTAAAAACATTCTCTGTTGAGTTTACAGAAGTGGTTTCGGACTACACTGGGCCAATACCTCCAAAGACCACCTGCTTTATGACAGCTAGCTACGCCAAGACGTTGGAGAGCATGGATAATATGATTCATGTGAGGAATACCAGTCCATACTTCAAGTTTTTCATGTTCACGAACTGGAATGACGACCAATGGAAAACGCCTGGATGGATAAAGATCACTACGAAATACAACTACACTCGCTCTATTACTCACTCGAGATATGGCAAATTCTTGGGATGGAAGTATGATCAAATCCGACAGGAGTGTGATGCCGTTTACTACATGGACTCGAATATCCAGCTCAAGGCAAACCAGAGTACTTGGATGGAAATGTCAGCAACGATTAGTTCGACGGAACCCGGTATTATGCAGTTCAAGCACGAACAGAATCGGTCTGGCATCTTTGATGAATTCGCAGCCATTACGAAATGGAAGAAGGACTACGCAGGGAACGTTCAAAAGTCTATTGCTTGGTTCAGTGCACAACCGGATTTTGAAAATGATATTCCTATTTACATGAATCAGTTATTCGGATACAATCCAAAATCGCCAACCTATCAACGGTTGTCCCAAGGATTCTGGGACCACTATTCGAAAGAAGAAGATTCGTGGCGAGACCAACCGCTCTGGGCTTTTATGCTGCATCGGTACAACGTAACGCCGCTAGCATTCCCAGAAACAAATTTCAAGAGAATATGGAGGGTTCCCAATCGAGTAAACTTTGGACACCATGACCACCGATATACACTTCGGAAGCGGATGTAATAGTAGATTGGGACTAAGATAGTACCACGTTCCTTGACCATTCAGGTTGTATGCGTCTGTACAAAATGTAGAGATGTGCCACTAAGCTATGGACTCCCCGTGGCAAGATGGGTCTCCCCTAAATACATGAAGTATCTTTGGGGTTGGAAGAAGATCCTCGTGCGCGATTGAGCACTACCGTGTCGCCCTCATTGGGTACCCCTAGACGGGCCCTCTCAACCTGACACACTGGAGTCGAACCTGAAGCTACCATGTACAAAATGTAGAGATGTGCCACTAAGCTATGGACTCCCCGTGGCAAGATGGGTCTCCCCTAAATACATGAAGTATCTTTGGGGTTGGAAGTTTACATCTCACTTCCCCATTTGTCACAGGTACTGGATATTCTTACATGCGTCTATCTATTGGGTACTTTTCAAGTCGTCGATTGGCTTGTTGATGCAACGATTCGTTCGTTCGTTCACTTCGCCAACCAAGCCAAGACAGCAAAACATAATACCGGAAGGATTAGGTCAAACAAAAGCCAGTTTCTCTGCTGTTCTTGTCGTGGTCGTACCTCGTTGTCTTGCTGGTCTCTAGGTTGTCTTTGTTACTGGATACCGCGAATAGTAGCATTGGCTCTATGTCTGTTTCTTGGTAAAGCTTCGTTTCGATTAATATTGTCCCGGTCCCACAGGATGCGAATGGAGCAGCCAGCTACTTTGGATCCATAATTTCCTTCTCAAAATCGCTTGTCTTTTCCAAGAATGACAATGGCCACATATTGCACTTCTTCCAAGCAAAAATATTCCAAGACCGATTCCGCCCTGTCCCAATGATCTGGTGGTGCATCCAACGCTTCCGTTCGCAACCGTTGCAACGGTTGCTGGTTTTGGTCCATGGCAATCGCTTCGAGCCGAAAGAGTGACGGGCAATCCGTCCGTGCTTGGTAACGGGCCGATACTTCCACGGCAAAATCATGGGTCCGAAATAAGGGTGGTTCCGTTTCATGGTCGGATAGTAGTAGAGCTGCCGCCAGTCGTCTCAAATCTACCAGCTGACTCATGAGACACGGAGCAAAGGAACTGACAAAATTGGTAGTGGTTTCTGCATTCAGAGGCCAGTCAGAGGGTTCCACTTGCCAAGAGCAGCGTGGATTGAGTTGTTTCCATCCTCGCAATCCCAATTGTCCACTTGTATTTGTGAGCAAGTTGTCGGATCCAGGGGCGTCTCGTGTTGGTTGTTCCTGGTCAGACGACTGACAAATGAGGCAGGTGTAGACTTGTTCGCAATCTGCAGACGAGCCATTGGAATGAAACTCGGCCATGGAGGATGAAGTGGATACGTTGGATATTCCCACTGCCGGATTGTTGTTGCCATCATTGCCGGTGCTGGAAGAGGACAATGATGGTTTGGGAAAAGTACAGTCTTTGCCGGGACAAGGAATCGGTTCCAATGGTGGTGGCGGTTCCATCTTTGCTCCTTTGCTGTTGCCCATCCTCCGCCTTGACAATCGTTCCTCTTGTTTCCATACTTGGATCTGCTGAACTCGTTGCGTATTGCGATCGTGACAATGATTGCAAAAGTGAACATTGCCATAGCATACATGAGTCGCGGGTTGACAGCAGTACCGGCATTTCCACACAATGGATCCCAAATGTTCCAAAGGGCTGTGGCAAACTATTTGAGGAGTACAGGCCATGCACAACCGTGGTTCCGTATCGGACGAGGATTCCTCTTCCACCATTTCATCCGAACATTCCACAGTCCCTCCAAAGTATGGCTCTTTGCAGTGAGAGCACAAGTAAAATGCGTACTTTTTTAGGGCCTCTCGCAAGACTTGTTCTTTGGTCTTGGGATCTTTGCTGGTCTGTACTTTTTTCCAAGCGAGCAATAGCGATTGATTTGTTTCATTGTTTCCGTTGGAAAGTTTCGCCTTGTTGCTGTTATCGTTGTCGCTATAACTTAAGGATGCCGCATCATTGTTCAGTTGCTCCACCAACAACCCATGGACTTTGTGACGCAACCTATCGGTGGTTCGTGTGTAATCTTCCAAGGCTTCATGCTCACAAACCGTCCCACATTTGGCACATCAACAACCGGAAAACAAGAGCCGTTTGGCAAAGGTGGGTCGAGCCAATTCCAACTGTTCTCTCAAGCATTGCAAACGCCAACGATGACCGCAGACCAGTCGAATGGTAGCACTCATCTTGCTATTATTTGTTTTAATGGTTGTCGTTTCAGTTGTAGTATCATAGTCACTGTCGTCCAGGGGCTCCAAACAAATGGCGCATTCCGTAGACGTGTCATGGAACGCCCAAGAATAATTTGTGGTTGACATGGTCTTTATTGTGATGGTACGATACAGTAATAGGCACCACCGTCCTCTTCACAAGCTGATCGATAAAAGAATATAATGTTTTCTGCATTTTTGCAACACTCGAAGAAGTCGGTCAACCGAAGCAGAACGAACCGACTAACTAGACTAGACTAGCTAGACTGACCATCACGAACGAACGAAAGAACGAAAGAACGAAAGAACAAAAGAACAAAAGAACAAAAAGAACGAAAGAACGAATCTTCCATTAACCCTGAGTTCTGGAACCGAACGCCTTCTTGGTTTTACTGGATGACCCTTCAAATGCAGGTTCCTCATTTGTTTGGGCAAGCAGACCAGACCGCTCTGTTGGCGATTCAAAATGATTGTCTACCATATCAATTGTCGTGGTCCTTTGAATTCCATTCGAAGCACAACGTCAAACTGTGGTGTGAGTGCGTGCCTGATGTTATAGACGGCGAAGAATGAAGCGATGTCTTGTATTTGTATCATTATGTGAAGTTCTTCAATCTTTGACTCGTTCGACTTTGGAAGGCCTTTGTAGGAAAGGAAGCAAGAGCACACGATAACATTGAATTAAAAGAATACAAAAGAATATAAAAGAAGAAGGAGCACAAGACAAAACAATGTTTGCTGATGCGGAAAGACTTCAGCTGTATGCGGTATCATCCTCCCCAACAACATCAATGAGTGTTTCAATTTTTTTTGAAAAGAGGGACATGATATATAAAAGGGGGATATTCTTGTGATAGGGAGATAGCAAATATATATCGTAGTGAACAGGTACTGCAGGTCGTACTGGGTTAGGTAGAGAGTTTGGATCCGCGAAGCAGCTTATTTGCTTTGAATGGGTCTTGATAAGTCTGGCTAGAAGCAAGAAATCCACGATTTTGACAAAACAGAGTTGTTTCGATGACTTATTCTGAGGGATGATGACATGCTACGGTACATCGTCATTTCCCACCCACCAGCAGCAGAATTCAAGCTTGGGCCTAAGAGCGCTGCTGATGCAAGGATCTTTCCTTCATTTAGCTCCATGCCAACTAGTTCACTAATATATTCGCGGCTCTTTTCAGTGAAATTGTTGATAGATTCATTCGTGTGGCCCTCCCTCTTCCACCACTATTTGCTGCCTCCCCGCAGTTTTCTGGTTGGCACAAAATCAGGATTCTCCTTGTCGAGTTCCGCTTCCTTCTCTAAACGTTTCGCCAAATGGACACTGTCCATCTTCTTCAAGACTTCTGACCTTACATCTTTTAGCGCGTCGGCCCTCTTTTCCTCGTCGGTATGAACTAATTGACCCAGTTTCTCCTTTTTCAGCGCCTTCATGGAAACTGGAAAAAAGTTTTTAATTTCTTCGGGTGAAAGTCCGCCCTAGAAAGAGATACATCAAATAATGAATGATGAGTGGATGGTTCAGCGTGAGGTAAAAAAATCAATCCGACATAACGAATCGACCAGACTTGGACATTAGATGCTTCCTAATGTCTCGCCTCTTCCTTGTTTGGTCGTGTTATAGTTCCGCACATAGCTTGACTCACCTCTTTGAGTTCTTGCAAGCCTTCTTCTCGCCCTTGACGACCATCATGCTGTATCATAAAGCTTCGAAGGATTAAGAGTACGACCAAGGCAATAATGATGTTTTGCACTTTGAGTCTGGGAATTCGTATTGTGCCCTTTCGTCGTTTCCTTCGTCGTGGAATACTGCTGCTGCTGGCAATTCCACCAAATTGGACCATTTTGCTTATTTCTACTCTTGTCTTGAATGCCTTCTTATATTCCTAATTCAATGTTATCGTGCGCTCTTCTCTGTCGAGACCCCAGCAACCTTTCCTTCCTACAAAGACCCTTCCAATTCGAAAGAGACATTGTGTTGATATTCGGATATGTTGTGGTGTCAGGTTATTGGTCGAACGAGTCAACGATTGAAGAACATCATATCAATCGCAATAAATCATCACACATTAAAATATTGAACGCACGAAATTCTGAACACATCACAATACCGGTACATACGTGTACGACCTCATTCTTCGCCTTCTATAACATCAGACACGCACTCACACAGTTTGACGTTGTGCTTCAAATGGAATTCAAAGGACTACGACAATTGATATGGTAGAAAGTTATTTTGAATCGCCAACGGAGCGGTCTGGTCTGCTTGCCCAACCAAATGAGGAACCTGCATTTGAAGGATCATCCAGTAAAACCAAGAAGGCGTTCGGCATATGTGTCGGTAGTAGCATTGTTCTAATTGTAGTTGCTTCTTTGATCATGGTCATGCACATGACAGACATGAATAATAACAAGCTACGAATGGAGTCGTCGCTCTTGGAGAAGCAAAACCAGCATCATCGGTTTCCCAGTGATTTTGTGTGGGGTGCCGCCACCTCGGCCTATCAGATCGAAGGGGCCGCTTATAACAAAGAAGGAAAGATTATCAAAAGTGAGAAGAAGGGTTACAACAACACAAAGAGGTATGTGAATCGTGGCACCAAAGAAAATAAGGACGAGGGACATTTGGAATCATCTGATGTCCAAGACGTCTATATAGTTGGCCGATTTGTTATGTCTGATTTCTTTTTTTTTACCTCACGTTGAACTTCCGACTCATCATTCACAATTCGATATGTATCTCTTTTTAGGGCGAACTTTCACATGAAGAAATCAAAAAATTCTTTCCAGTTGCCCTGAAGGAACTCAAGAAACTGAGTCAAGCGATTAGGTCATACCGACGAGGAAAAGAGGGCCGATGCGCTAAAAGATGCCAGACCAGAAGTCTTGAAGAAAATGGACAGTGTCAATTTGGCGAAACGTATAGAAAAGAGAGCGGAATTTGACGAGGAGGATCCTGATTTTGTGCCAACCAGAAAACTGCGAGGCATATCGTGGAGGAATAGGACGGGTCACTGCACACTGACCAATCTGTCAACGATGTCACTGAAAGAGTCGCGAATATATCCATATATTACTAAACCAGTCGTCATGGAGCTACGTACAAGAAATCTTCTTGCATCAGCAGCGTATTCAGTATGACTCACTCTTTGTTGTTGAATCCTGCTGGATTAATCCTCGATCGTCGTTCTATTATCCAAAACATTTCTGTACTGTGAAACTCATGTCTCTCTTGCTCTTCGCCAAATTTGTGAGAATAATTCCACTGTAAACAAACTTATTCACTGATCAGAGCTCTCTAGCTTAACCCATCTTCAATCTGTCGGGATACTGTAGGCCTCATCCAAACGAGGCAACTATGCATGATGTTTGTGGGATGACGTCTGCTATCGCCACAATACCCCCAATATTCTTTCCCTCTTTTCCCAAAATTGGACTGTTCGTCTTTGGAAAAATTGCAATGTACATAGTAAACACACGCATTGATGTTGTTGGGGAGGGTACAGTAGGCAACTGAAGTCTTTTTCGCATCAGCAAACATAGCCTTTTGGTTTCCTTTCATCCTCCTTTCAGTCGCCTGCATACTTTAAAATATAAAATACAATGATGGAGCACAGGCAAAGGCCTGCCAATAATAATAAGCAAGGTCCAAAAGGAGGACGAGTGCTGAGAATGAATGGAGCTCGATTATTGGCCATTATTTCCTTTGTGGCCGGCATTTTCATGACCAGTATAGTCTTCTTTGCTCGGACAATCATTTTATCCAATGATGATTCCTTGAATGAAGACCACTTTCGCAGTATGAAGAATATCAAGTCCAAAGATGATTGCAATTGTCAAGAAAGTGATCATTACAAGGAACAACAAGAACAAATGGCAGTCCAAAAGCAGTTATTGGAAGATCTAAAAGAAGAAATTAACCGGTTATCCAATCAATTGACTGGTTCGCATCAACCAGTAAAGGAGGAAGTAGTAGTAGCAGCAGCAGCAGCAGCAAAAGAAGCTGCAGTCCGACACCTCGATGCATCCTCGTCCAATCTCGTGCAATACAAGACGGAACTGGCAGGTATGCTCATGAACATGTGGGACCTGGCGGAAGACAAACAAATGATAAATGATCATAGTGGAGAAACATCAGTACAAAGATTAATGTTGAATACATTTATGCATGAAGTATCCGATCAACTACCGGGAACACTGGCAGGAATGAGATGCATGGTGAGTCATAGTTTGGTGTTGTTGTTGTTGTCACATCAGCAAATTTATGAGCTTATAATATCTAACCTGATGAAATGGTTTGCCCTTGAAGATTTTCGAGTTCAAGTACATTTCTCAATTTGGTGGATGCCGCGAGACCTTTCATTTCCGACATGATCCCAACGAGAAAGGTATTATCAATCCAATGACGACCAAATATGGCACCTACGGAATCATCAAGGGTGACCTGGAGGGTGATGTCAGCCATGTTCCTCAAGAGTATTTTGACATGGCAATCTATACCCAACAAATGCAACATGAGAAGCACTTTTGGAAGGCGCTCCCGAACTTGGCCGGAACCATTGACGAAGGTGGTCTCTTAATATTCTCCATTCCATGGGCATTCATGTTTCATCCCTTGCGAGGTGACTTTTATCGGTATTCTCCATCGGCTGTATATCACTTGTTGGAGTCGTCTGGATTCGCAATCTGTCACATTGTCTCGGATGGTTGGAAGTCGATGCAAATGCATGCTCTTGGGCTGGGTGTCGAAGACATTTATGACCTCGAGTCTGTCTTGAAGAGTCAATCAAAGGTATCATTGCTCAGTGGAGCGACCAGTTACATGGCAGTGGCACAACGAGTGGAGGAAATTGGCGATCCTTGTACATTGCAAAGACTGAAGCTCTCCAATGAAATCACGAGGGAAGAAATCAATGGATTTGGAATTCATGGCGAATTCTTGCCGGACCCAATGAAGGATTTCCCATATGGACCAAAGAAGAAGAAAACCATGAAGGTACCCAATAAGAGAGCCAAAAAGGATGCCAAGAAGAAAAGCTTCAAGATTGTAATCAACGATCCTCCTGCTAGTGAAGACGAAGACGAAGATGGATCTATTTCGAGCTATGATGATGGTGTTCCAGAAGAGCAATTCCAGTATCAATATCAATACGCCATTCCAGTCAAAACACCACCACCAACTAGAGGAAATTTCTCTGTTGAGTTTACAGAAGTGGTTTCGGACTACTCTGGGCCAATACCTCCAAAGACCACCTGCTTTGTGACAGCTAGTTACGCCAAGACTTTGCAGAGCATGGATAATATGATTCATGTGAGGAATACCAGTCCATACTTCAAGTTTTTCATGTTCACGAACTGGAATGACGACCAATGGAAAACGCCTGGATGGATAAAGATCACTACGAAATACAACTACACTCGCTCTATTACTCACTCGAGATATGGCAAATTCTTGGGATGGAAGTATGATCAAATCCGACAGGAGTGTGATGCCGTTTACTACATGGACTCGAATATCCAGCTCAAGGCAAACCAGAGTACTTGGATGGAAATGTCAGCAACGATTAGTTCGACGGAACCCGGTATTATGCAGTTCAAGCACGAACAGAATCGGTCTGGCATCTTTGATGAATTCGCAGCCATTACGAAATGGAAGAAGGACTACGCAGGGAACGTTCAAAAGTCTATTGCTTGGTTCAGTGCACAACCGGATTTTGAAAATGATATTCCTATTTACATGAATCAGTTATTCGGATACAATCCAAAATCGCCAACCTATCAACGGTTGTCCCAAGGATTCTGGGACCACTATTCGAAAGAAGAAGATTCGTGGCGAGACCAACCGCTCTGGGCTTTTATGCTGCATCGGTATAACGTAACGCCGCTAGCATTCCCAGAAACAAATTTCAAGAGAATATGGAAGGTTCCCAATCGAGTAAACTTTGGACACCATGACCACCGATACACTTCGGAAGCGGACGTAATAGTAGATTGGGACTAAGATAGTGCCACGCTCCTTGACCATCCAATGTATGCTTCTATTGGGTAGTTCGGCTTGTTGATGCAACGATTCGTTCGTTCGTTCATTCACTTCGCCAACCAAGCCAAGACAGCAAAACATAATACCGGAAGGATTAGGTCAAACAAAAGCCAGTTTTTCTGCTGTTCTTGTCGTGGTCGTACCTCGTTGTCTTGCTGGTCTCTAGGTTGTCTTTGTTGCTGGATACCGCGAATAGTAGCATTGGCTCTATGTCTGTTTCTTGGTAAAGCTTCGTTTCGATTAATATTGTCCCGGTCCCACAGGATGCGAATGAAGCAGCCGGCTACTTTAGATCCATAATTTCCTTCCCAAAATCGCTTGTCTTTTCCAAGAATGACAATGGCCACATAGTGCACTTGTTCCAAGGAAAGATGTTCCAAGACCAATTCCGCCCTGCCCCAATGATCTGGTGGTGCATCCAACGCTTCCGTTCGCAACCGTTGCAACGGTTGCTGGTTTTGGTCCATGGCAATCGCTTCGAGCCGAAAGAGTGACGGGCAATCGGTCCGTGCTTGGTAACGGGCCGATACTTCCACGGCAAAATCATGGGTCCGAAATAAGGGTGGTTCCGTCTCATGGTCGGATAGTAGTAGAGCTGCCGCCAGTCGTCTCAAATCTACCAGCTGACTCATGAGACACGGAGCAAAGGAACTGACAAAATTGGTAGTGGTTTCTGCATTCAGAGGCCAGTCAGAGGGTTCCACTTGCCAAGAGCAGCGTGGATTGAGTTGTTTCCATCCTCGCAATCCCAATTGTCCACTTGTATTTGTGAGCAAGTTGTCGGATCCAGGGGCGTCTCGTGTTGGTTGTTCCTGGCCAGACGACTGACAAATGAGGCAGGTGTAGACTTGTTCGCAATCTGCAGACGAGCCATTGGAATGAAACTCGGCCATGGAGGATGAAGTGGATACGTTGGATATTCCCACTGCCGGATTGTTGTTGTCATCATTGCCGGTGCTGGAAGAGGACAATGATGGTTTGGGAAAAGTACAGTCTTTGCCGGGACAAGGAATCGGTTCCAATGGTGGTGGCGGTTCCATCTTTGCTCCTTTGCTGTTGCCCATCCGCCTTGACAATCGTTCCTCTTGTTTCCATACTTGGATCTGCTGAACTCGTTGCGTATTGCGATCGTGGCAACAATTGCAAAAGTGAACATTGCCATAGCATACATGAGTCGCGGGTTGACAGCAGTACCGGCATTTCCACACAATGGATCCCAAATGTTCCAAAGGGTTGTGGCAAACTATTTGGGGAGTACAGGCCATGCACAACCGTGGTTCCGTATCGGACGAGGATTCCTCTTCCACCATTTCATCCGAACATTCCACAGTCCCTCCAAAGTATGGCTCTTTGCAGTGAGAGCACAAGTAAAATGCGTACTTTTTTAGGGCCTCTCGCAAGACTTGTTCTTTGGTCTTGGGATCTTTGCTGGTCTGTACTTTTTTCCAAGCGAGCAATAGCGATTGATTTGTTTCATTGTTTCCGTTGGAAAGTTTCGCCTTGTTGCTGTTATCGTTGTCGCTATAACTTAAGGATGCCGCATCATTGTTCAGTTGCTCCACCAACAACCCATGGACTTTGTGACGCAACCTATCGGTGGTTCGTGTGTAATCTTCCAAGGCTTCATGCTCACAAACCGTCCCACATTTGGCACATCGACAACCGGAAAACAAGAGCCGTTTGGCAAAGGTGGGTCGAGCCAATTCCAACTGTTCTCTCAAGCATTGCAAATGCCAACGATGACCGCAGACCAGTCGAATGGTAGCACTCATCTTGCTATTATTTGTTTTAATAATGGTTGTCGTTTCAGTTGTAGTATCATAGTCACTGTCGTCCAGGGGCTCCAAACAAATGGCGCATTCCGTAGACGTGTCTTGGAACGCCCAAGAATCATCTGTGGTTGACATGGTCTTTATTGTGATCGTACGATACAGTAATAGGCACCACCGTCCTCTCCACAAGCTGATCGATAAAAGAATAATATTTTCTGCATTTTTGCAACACTCGAAGAAGTCAACCGAAGAAGACCGAACCGACTAGACTAGACTAGCTAGACTTACTATCACGAACGAAAACGAATCTTCCAAAATCGAAATTCCTTCTTCCCAGAGTTCTGGCGGTGGCAAAATTTGGCAGATTCTCACGAGTTATTTTTTGCACGCACGAATCTCGAGATTGTCGGAGTCTGACACCAATAAAATAAATTTAGTTATGGTAACATCGGAGTCTGACACCACCAGGTAAGAATATTTAAGCAGAGGGGTCATCCACATACCTGAAAGGGAGCTTTTCGCGGGTAAAACAACGAATGAAAATTCGTTGGGCAACTCTGCTGGCATATTTGGCGTCACATCATGTGGAACGAAAATTCACACCTATCAAATCACCTCCCACACGAACACGTAGTATCCGGTGGGACGAGGGCTTCCACACACAAATCAAATCAATACAAAAATACATCAATCGAGATTGCTCGAGGAGAAAACGAGAGAAGAAACGGACCACTCTCTTGCACCTCTTCCTTCACAATCACTGATAGTACTGTCACACACTTCTTCATTTCTTCATCATCAACTTTTTTCACATACAATGAACAAATATTCTAGATTCCTTTCCTTTGCTGCCGTACTGGTATGCTTGACTCCTCTAGGAGGGGTCTACACGCTCTTGCAAACCTTTCCATGGATGAATGGGAACCCTAGTATCCAAAATCACCATGCCAGTATCCATGCACATTATGGGGAATCCATGGACGGCATTTTCGAACATCGAACTTGTGCTGCCGTGCCCCATCATCTGATGGGTTCTCAAAAGGAAGAAGATTCACCAGAACAAGAAGATCCCATTCGATGTGATGCAGGGTCGTTTTTGGATGCTCCGATTGACACATCCTATCGTACCGGTAACAATACAACTCGGTACCAACAACATGGTGATCGATCAATCCACCATCAACGGGAACAACCACAGCAGTTGGATCCACTTATGTTTCATGTTCGTAATAATGAGTTCTACAACCACTTCAACAAACGCGACAATCACGTCCTCCTTCTCTCATGGACGCTTTCTCTATTGCTGGGACTCCTGGTTCCCGTATTCGCACTTCTCTACGATGCGTACCTGAGGATCACTTCCAAATCAAGGCATCAGAAACAACTAAAGGCCATCCAAAAGGCACTCAAGCCCTACAAGCGCAAGGTTCTCACCAAATCACAAGCCAAGGAAACTTGTCCTATTTGTCTATCCAACTTCGCCATGGGAGAGTCCATCTTGACCTGTGGCAGCAGCAAACAATCAGCTGCTACTACTAGTGGTAGCACTACAACACGAGGAGGATGCTCCCATTGCTTTCACCAGCCTTGCATGGTACAATGGTTGCTCCAACAAACCAAGAATCAACCCAATCGCTTGGTGGAAACGATTTTGTCTAATGAACCTGCAATGTCCACCTTGCGACTTCGTCGCAAGTCGAAATTTGAAGCACCGTGCCCTTGCTGCCGTCAGCCCTTTGTCACAGTTCCACTAGTCCGGTAAAGAAGTGGAAGCCAAACATAGAAGACTAGATACAAATTTTGAACTTGATACTTTAATATGACTGACAAATCATTAGTCAGACTTAAGCGGAGAAGAAGAAAAAGGAAGAAAAACCAGGTGCAACGGTATCACTGTCTTTTGCAAAAGCTCTAGCAAAAGTGTGTACCAACAAAGCAAAGCCAACACTATGAAAACCATCATCAACGTGATAGATCAATACACCATCAACGGGAACGACCACAATTTGATCCGCTGATTGATGCTCCATGTTCATAACATCGATTTCTGCAAACGCTGCTCTCATGGGCGCTTTCTCTTTTGCTGGGACTCTACAAGTCGAATTGTTTGCGTCGCCTTTACATCATCCAAATGTTCTATCGTGTTGGTGGCTAGTGACTGCTGCTGGTCGATCTCGAGGGTATCATAGTTCGCGACACCCCCCCCCCTTGCGAATACTTGGAAGCCTACTATAGAAAGTAAGAACAACAATATTCTGATATACATTTCTACCTTAATCTCCTGAGTATACCTAATTGGTTTTCATTGACCAAACACTTTGTGCAATGAACAACCTTGCACTAGATGCAAGATTGTGCTTGTTGGGACATGGAATACTAATCGTTGATGAGTCGAAGCCGATACTCGCCTCCCCTTAGCTTGCATTGGTCGCTCCCTCGCTCTCTCTCTCTCTGTTGCCTCATTGCCAACACAATTTATGGAATAATCAAGTCTGGTTTCTCAGTGTCGTGAGCTTCTCCCATTGTCCCATAGTATTCCCTTGTAAATTCGCCAAGATTGTCTTGGTCCATTGGTCCATCGTACGGGCTTTGACGGGATGGGACGGTTCCGGTGAAATCTGGGTTCGCAGCATTATTGTCCGGACCTTGAGGGTCATAGTCTGTGGTGGTTGGCCCGGCAGTTGGCCCTGATGTCGGTAAAGGAGACGGTACTGAGGATGGCAAAGCCGTTGGAAGTGGCGAAGGCGCTGGGGATGGCAATGCCGTTGGAAGTGACGAAGGCTCTGGGGATGGTAAAGTCGACGGGAGAGCCGATGGGACTGTGGATGGTACGGTGGATGGAAGATCAGATGGGAGCGTAGATGGAGCACTCGATGGGATCGTAGATGGAGTAATGGACGGCAAAGGAGTTGGGGCCGAAGATGGCATTTTGGACGGGACCAGAGAAAGAGATGGATTTGCGGATGGTTCCATTGATGGTTCCATTGATGGAACTACCGATTGAGTGGGCTGAGGGGTTGGCATTGCAGTTACAAACTTCTTTGGACTGCAGACGACATTTTCCATGCGCTCCCAGTCCAATTCGGCAGAGATGACTTGGGTGTAGTTTTTGTAGGCCGGCACTGGCTCTGGAAACATGACACCAGTATCGTTCATCATAATGGCATCGGCCATGGCTTGCATGGTCAGAGTCATTCCAACAAACATTTCGGTTTGGTCGATGATCTTCTTTCTCTCCACAACAACCTTGAATAGAAGATTTCCAATATGATCGGACTTTTGGTAGCCCATGAGCTGTTGCAATTCCGTTGGTCGCTCCCAAAACTTCATGCGGCCTTGTCGTGTCATGATGGTTTCAGTATTGTTGTAGGGATCGACAGATGCAACATCAATATTCTGGAAACCTTCAGCTTCCACAATCAATTGACGACCAGCCAGTTCCATTGTGCGGTTTTGGCCCTTGACTGAGTTTGTGCAGTTTGTGATTTCCATTTCATAAATATCAGACGAAAACAAAGGGGGGAGCAACTCGGGCTCCTTTGGTTCATCGTCTTCCTTTTTTAGCCTTCGTCGCAAGCCTCCGCCGGCGGCATTTGGTGGGTCCTCCTTATCTTTGTCCTTCTTTTCGTCTTCTAGTTCTTCTGGAATTGGAAGGCGTTGCATGATATTCAATCCACATTCAATATGAACGGTCTCGCCATCTCCGCAAACCTTGGAATCAGATAGCGTTAGGTGATGGACGAATTCCATTGTAGGCTGTGGTGGTAGGTCGTCGTCCTCTTTCTTACCAGAGACACTGGCAATGGCTGCGAGAAGGATTAGACATGAGATCTTCATTTTGGTGCAATGGATGTGTTGAAAAGATAGAGCTCGACAAGTGAATAAGCAAGAAAGTTTTTGGAGTTGTGAACGGAGTCAGATCGGCTCTATAATAATTTGTGAGCGTTGGAGTGTCGGTTTTACGTTGGATAATCGCTGAATTCAAAACAGTTCTGAAGTTATCGTCCGTACGTCCGTCGACTACGCAACACTCGTAAGAATATGACAAGAGCAACAGAAGGACCGTATGGCTTCAGAGTGCAATTCCATTCCGGCCCCATGTGCAAAATCTCGGTATTCTCGCTTTCTCGTTCGCAAGATCACCTACATCCAAGACCGTTTCCATGTGTAACTAGCAAGTCGGTGCTCCTCGCACCACAAAGTACAGAGTGAAACGAATGGATCTTACTTTGCATCAGTTGCACGACTGCACACAGTAGGGGCGCTTACATAAGAGCAGATTGATCGATCGATTGATCGATTGATGGATGGATTAATTAATTCGAAGTGATTCCATCCTCCTCCATAGTGATCTTATTAGAGTAATAGTCCTATTTTATCTAATTTTTATGCCAGCATTGGCACGAAATACAATGTTTCTATTGTTGTGCTTGTTGGGAAGCCGTTTGCTGTTCTTCCTCCCACAATTCCAACGTCGTCTTCGCACCGACTTGTTTCAGCAGATGCGTGATTCGGTGATAGTCGTTTTGAGTGGCAAAATCCATAGCTGTGGCCCCTTCTTTTCGTGATTTGGCATTGACATCAAAGTCTTCGATGTAAGTTAGTATGTACTCGGCAAGCTTGTAAAAGTTGTACCGGACAGCTCCAATCAACGCATTGTCCCCATCCGTGTGGGTAAATTCCTTCACTTCCTCGGGAAACAAGTCAATCCAATCCATTATCCTCTCGGGCACTGCGGCATTTCCCAAATGCTGATTCCTGACATAGTCATCTAAAGGAATATCAGCCTCGTAAACTGGATCGTCCAATGGCATAAAATAGGCTTTCCAAGCATCGTTGCCCACCGAATCGTCGTCCGCATGAAGAGCGTACTTCTTGGCAGCCGCCAAGGTTTCGCTGTCATAAAAGTTGAGCGAGGTCATGACGGCATCCACCACATTGACCACTTGGTGCCCCCAGGCAGAGGGAGCAAAGAGAACATCACCCGGTTTCAAAACTGCTTCGTATACCAAGGCGCCGTCTAGATCGGGAAACTCGTCAAAGGAAGGACTGATAATGTCCGCGTGAAACTTGTGTGGATATGTCTCTGGAATGCTCATGTCTGGATTGGGACCCACCCGCCAATACTCACTGGGTCCAATCAACCGCCACAACTTTTTTCCCGACAGCATTTTGGTGTAGAAACGGGTCATTCGAGAGTCACAGTGCAGCCCCGACCCCGTTCCTTTCCGCGAAATGAAAATGGATGGCCATTGAACTCCCTTTTCGACCCAAGTTTTATTGGACTCTTCCTCGTTCCAAGTCAAAATATCGTAGTTGCGGGGGAAGTATTTGGGAATGCTCAAGTGAGGAACCTTGGGAGGACAGTAGTGGGACAAGGGGGCGTCGTGCAAATAGAGCATTTTTCCTTCTTCCGTCTGTTGCAAGCGCAGCATATCCCCCAAGGTCTCAATATTAAACTTGTTCACATCCACATGTGCCATACCAGCCCATGCGTTTGAATCCTTCAAGACCTTATGCTTGACACAATGACAAGAATCAGTCTCTTCACAAAATTCAATATAATCGTCGATCCGAATCGGAATGTCTCCGCACTCTTCTAGAAAGGATTCAGGTTTCCAAATGGAATCATCAAAGTCGGGATTTTCAATAATAAAAGGTTCTGCGACTTCCTCTTTGGAGAACCGACGAAACTCTCGGAGTGACATGTTCGGATACCGACGGATTTGACGCAGCAAAAGAGCGGCATCCTTGTTGTCGGTCGGTTTCGGCGCAGGACATTGGAATTGTTGTTTCCTGTATTCCTTCTTCATTCGTTCAAAGGAGTTCTTGCGTCGTTGCAAACGAGCAGACACCAGAGACGGCGATATAATTAAAAGGCTGCATAAAATGCATAGAATCCCTGACTTGTGAGATGATCTTTGGCCAGCCCGTCGTTGAATCATTGGAAATATTGGTACTATAAATGTTCTTGAAAATCTTGTTGTTGGCACAGTTGAAGGGTGTGTCCACTGGATTCCACGAGAAGATTGATTCGGCTTTGTAGTCGATTCTGATTTATTGTAATGATGGTTAATGTTGCGCAGGAAGGCAATTAATTGACTCCAAAGGATATGATCTTTGTTTTTAGACTGTGTCCTTTTTTGGTAATGATGAAGCATGAGGTTTGGGATCGCGAGGTGGACGGCGCGGTTCGGATCGGATTTGTCGCCTAAATTTGAAGAATCAATCGCATTGGTAATATCTATTTTAGATTCTTTCCTGTCCTTGACGGAACCAAGCTGGAACTTGTACTATACGTTGTGGTAGAAACAAACTGCGATCCTTGACAGCATGTACAGGTGCACTACAACATAAACTCTTTACATTTACAAAAATTCCTGTCTCAGTTGATCAGCCTTGCCCAATGCCCCCCATTCAGCGTAATACCGAATCGATTCTCCCATGTGGTATTTGCAGTCGTCGTCATCCCCGTGTACATCCAGCCGGTATTTTGCATATCGCTCATTGTATAGTGCAGCATGAAAGAGGTGACCGATTCGACAAACATGTACTATGGCCTGCTTGTAAAGAGCATCAGCCTTCTGGTACTTTTTGTGCAACGCTGCCTCTTCCGCAGTCAGAAACAGATTATAATCCTTTGCATTTGGATTCCCTTTTTCGGCCCATTTTGCAACCTCCTTTCTTATCTTGATCGCTCTGGACTTGTGTCCTCTCTTTCCAGTTTTTCGAGCCATGGTAAACCAAGCAATGCCACGGTGGAAAGTCTCGATCCCGTGCGGAGGATACCCTTGAACAAGCTCTGAATAGGTCTTTCCCTTTTCTTCGCCGAGTAGACGGTTTGCGCGTTCCTCATCTTCCCCAAAGAATAGCAGTAGTTCCCCAATGGCAAGATTCACATTGCCAACGTACATGTTGCTATCGGCTTTCTCCTCAGATTGACGGAACTCCTCTCCTTCCAATTTCTTTGACTCCTCACTAGGGGGCATCCGAAGATTTAGCATCATTTGCCACCAGACTTTCAATGTCAATATGTTGTTGGTAATCCCTGATTCTTCCAATTGCGGTGCAATCTTTGGGAACTCTTTGATGATCGTATCAAGAGGACGACCCATCATGTACGGAAGAAGGACGAATCGATTGATGAGACAATTTGTCGAATCCAGAGGATCGCCGTCTCTCAGCCCTTGGGTGTATCCTTCCATTGTCAAATTCAATCCTTCGTGCAATGGCCTCATATGAACAAGTACAAATGCCCAGGTACTATGCATCGTGTCGGCAATGTAGCGTCTGCCACTTCTCTTTTGCAATGCAAATGCTAAATCACAAACATGAGATGCAGCGGCGTGGTCCTTGTACAGAAACATTAGCACCCCGCCAAAGGTGGCAAAGCAGTCTGCCGAGCCAAGACCAATGCCATGATCTAGTGTCATTTCAATCACTTTGCACACGCACAGAAAACACAGCGGAAGGTCGTTTGCGCTGTATGTCAGGTGCTTCATCATCTTCAGTATGTCAATTACTGCATTCTGCTTCTTGTTTTGGATGGCACGCATATTCTTGGCATCTTCGACTGACACCATCTTGACCCTCTTTGCGAGATTTCGAATCGCTACCAGCATCTGTACCGGAATCAAATTTCTATTCCAGGCAAAGTTGTATCCAAGATCCTTCAAGATGACTAGACCGTAATCACAAGCCTCATTCCAGCGAAGATGAGCAGTCGCTAGGATCTGCGCCTTCATTTTCTTCAATAACAACGTTTCCATTGGTGTGAACTCGTCGCGGTCTAGAATGATTCCAATGTATTCTTCTGCTTTGCGAATATTACCCAGCGCATACTCCATCTCCGCACCAAGTGAATACAGCTGTAGCGTCATCTGTCTATGTAATGTCCATTTGTCGTCGTCAGGAAGTTGCTCGATTCCATAGGCGGCATACGTGGAGACACTTTGCAGAGCCGCCATTTTACGTGCCTTCTTGGCGGCACGAAGATTTAGCAATGCAACATCTATTGCACCCGTACGGTCTCCTTTGTTGACAAGATCTGCTACATCGAAGAGCTGCGTGTCGAGCTCTGTCGAAGCCAATCCATGATACAGACACATTCCGAGGCCAAACTGGAACGATGGAGTCACCAACTCTGACAAGGATAAGGCTGCCTCTTGCACTTTGTCATGAACCCATCGTAGCTCATCGTACCCAAACCGTTCGACAAGTTGTATGCCTTGGATAGCCTTCAGCATGCTAGGGACATCGCCATTTTCTCCTCCTAATTTTTGCATTGCGTGCTCGCTCCAAACGAAATCTAAGATCGCAACAGAAAACGATGAGCCAAGGCATGCTGCGTACTGCAACAATAATTGGACGTCGTACGGTAGTTTTCTCATGCGACTTTTGAGGAGATCCACGGCATTATCTGTAGACATTGTAGCATTTTCGATCTTTGCTACATCCCAGACCCATTTCAGAGATCCCAAATTGAATTCTATTAAGTCTTCGGCATCCAGCATCCTCATGAATTCAATCAAGAAAAAAGGGTTTCCCAATGTTCGCTTGTAGCATACTTCTGCCAGATCTCGGGTCTTGGACTCGTCATCGATCCCCATCAAGGACATTATTATTTTGTTCACAGAATCGAGAGTGCAGCTTTGGAGTTCAATTTCAGTTACTTGAAAGGCACCTTTCGTGGACTTTCCGTGTAGCGTTTGGATGCGATTATAAAGAATACTGTTCTCGTCGACTTCGTTCGATCGAAAGCAGCCAATAATCATCAATGGATTAGGGTTCTGGACGTCAGAAACTAAGTAGTCCAAGATGTCAAGAGAGGATATGTCCGCCCATTGAAGATCGTCCAGTACCATGACGATCGGAGTGAAGTATGACCCGAGGATTCGAGTGAACGTCCGAAAGGCAAACTTCCATCTCTCATGCTCACGTCCTGCGGAAATGGGACCACTCTGAACACTTGCGGAGTCTAGATCTTCATCGTCAAGCAAGATACTGATCTCAGGTATCAGGCTTGTCAACATGAGAGCTTCTTCTCTCATATTTTCTTTGATTGCGCTTGCGATATGGGCAACCGTTTCTTCACCACAATCTTCGAATTCATTGCACAGCTTTCCGAAAGCTTGCGCCACTCCAGAATACGGCTCATCCGTGGAGGTGAATTCATACTTTCCCTCTACAAAAACACCCGATGCTCCGATATCTTTTTGCAGTGTCCGAGCCAACACAGACTTGCCGATTCCACTGTACCCCTTGATGAAGACAAGCTGATTCTGGACAGGTCTGTTTGGCTCCTCATTTGAGTCGTTACCATAGGTGGTAGGTGGGCATAACTTTTGAAAGCAAGATTCTAGCAACGATTTCTCTTGCTCTCTGCCAACCAAACCAAGAGATTTGATGTTCAGTTTATTGATGGTAAGCTCTTCCATGACTTCTTTCACTCGATCACTCCTCTCGCTTTCCACAAACTTCATTTGTGAACCCATTCCACCTTTCCGTAAGGAATTGCGCGATGGTGATAGAAGCGGCGAATCATTTGACGAGTGCCTTCGTAGTGATGATTTTGATATGGCTGATGATTGGACAGAGCCTGGGCCCTTTCGTGACGATGAAGCCAATGTCAAAGGTGCTGATGCAAATTCATCAGTATCGTCAAGTGATCGCGAGGAAACAGGTGGTGTTCTGAAAATCGCAGAAGAATACTCATCAGGTTCGAATGTGATGACACTGTTCTCCTCAACATCTCGGTTGAGCTTCATACCATCAGTGGAAGCAGTTGTAAATGTTGCTCCGGTATCCTGGCTATCAGCGGCCATGGTGTGTGCGTCATTCACCTCACCATCTCTCTTTCTGGGAGAGCGGTTCATTGTGATTTTCCCTTCGATGACATCTTCTTTTCTTAGTAAAGGCATTGTCACAGACACTGGTTGTTTCTTGGACGGTCCCGTGAGTTATTGATCCTCTATAAAACCGAAGATGGATACTGCATGCAGTTTTGGAAGTGTAGCCCACAGACGGCGAACCCTGATTTGGGCCTCTTGTGGTCATAGATCTTTGCAAATAACTAAAATCTGATCAACGAGAATTATTTATAAAACAACAATAGAGAACTTTTAAAAACTCCGACAACGCGCTGGGGCTCTTCACTACGGTTTCGCGCTAGGGAAATCTGACATTGACACAAAGTGACATGCCGGCGCGATATGGCTTGCCTTTCGTTCGTATGAGTCGAACTTGTTGGGTTGGATGTCCGTCTGGCCTGCGTACGTCTAACTTTTTAAGTGTTGAAAAACAAATGTATGGAGAAATGGTGAAAAGTACCAGGTACCTGTTACACCTTCAATAAAATAAAAACTGTGCGGACGCCAGCCGACTTCTGCAAAACATCTTTCAAAACTATTATAATACCGCGATAATAATATCTTGTCAAACACTACAATGCACCATTCCTTGTTTGGGTTAGTAGGGATTTATCAAAACGTTTTCTCAGAAACAAATTAGATACAGTAAGAAATATCAATGGCACCATATCATTAGTATGCCAACAACCAACTCGTCTGGTGGTGGCAAACCAAAGGTAAAGTACTAGGCTCCGACATCTCTGAAAATGCCCGAAACTGCATCCTTCGCAGTAGGGATCTGATTGAAATTTCCTCTTTTGACGGCTGGGCCACTTAGCCCCGAGTTTGGACTGTTTTCCTTAGATGGGGAGAAGAATTGCCGTACTTTCTTCATTGTCTTAGATGAGGAGAAGAACTGCCGTGCTTTGCTGCTGCTGTCGCCGTCGCTTTTGTTGAAACCAGCGTCGCTGGTATGGAGATCCAATGGCTCCAATCGGTCTCCGACTTATTCATTTCCCTCACTTCGTCTTTCTGTATGTAGTAACGCTTGGACAGCTGCAATACAAAACGTTTCCTGATGCATAAAGGTGCACCACTTGTCTGAGATTCTTGATCGACGTCTTGTTTGTCTGGCATATTATAATTCAATACCTGCGGAAGACGAAGCTCTGGATTGGAAGGCTGCAAATGCACCTGCGGAGAGGGGGAAAGGGCCAGAACTGCAAGTAGGGACATCGTCAGCCATTGGAACAACGTTTGACAGCGTTGTAGTACTTCTCTCTACAAAGTCTTTGAAACGCTTCAAGATCTTCTTTTTCTGGGTTCGTAGCGCATTGTCACTCCTTCTCCAAAGCTCATAAACATCACCCAATAATACGTTATCTCGTGCTGCCAAGCAAAGATGAATTGTTGAAACGACCAAAAGTTCATCTTTTGAAAACTGCTGGCACTTCCTCTTTCCAAACCATTTCATGCAAAATATTTCACATTCATTTTTTCAAAGAAACCTTTTAGGAAATCTTTGTAGCTCTTTTGATTCAAAATCAAGTCATCCAATTCCTTGCGATGTATCTCATTCTTCAATTGAATAGCATGATGTTGGATTCTTGGTCGACGACTGTCAAGGACAGAAGTGCTCTTGCACAACAGCGAAACTTGTGGTCTTGATCTTATGCAAGAAGGTTATCGACTTCTTCTTTCCCTCTTGGGGTTTCAGCAAATTCACGGAGCTCGTTTAGAAGAATTTCTTTTTTTACTACCGATTTTAGGTGGCATTGGAGCAACGAGCAGATATTTGGAGCAATAGCTCATGACATTGTGTTGTTTACGACGATAGAATCTATTGAATTGCATTTACTGATAAAAATAGATCATTGTCATGCTGTTTCTTGAAGCTAAGGTATCAACTAAAGCCTGAAGAAATTTAAAACAAGTTTGAATTTTCCTGGGTTGGATCAAAGATTTGTGACAAGTTGTTGTGCTGATGAAGTCCCTTTGTATAGTCGAAGTTGTTGTCGGAGAAACATTGAGATGAAGACGTAGCGCGCCAGCCCTCCAGCTCAATGTTTCTCCGAAACCGTAGTGCTTTGGAAGGCAAAATAGCGTGTGTGCAGGAACAGACCTTCACAGACCTGCATCAGCGAGACAAACACATAGAAGAAGGGAACTCTAGGTGCCCACTTCTCTCTACAGATTTATCTGTAGTTGGACAAGGACTGAAGTTGTCGAATAGTAATGAGGTATAGTAACAGAGGTACTCAAACAATCCAGCGATTGCAACCTTCGTCGACTGAATAATAGATAGCATTGAATCATCATTTTATACAATAGTTTACAAATAAAGAAGCAGACTTTCTATTCATAGGAGAAAATCATGAAAGGATGCTTCAATAAAGTCGCCGCATCGGGTCTTTCGGCTGGCGAGAGTTTCATCATGGATTCCAAAAAATGGTGCATATCTTCCAAATCCTTGCTCTTCGCACCGTACTGCTTCAGATACGAGTCAGTGTCCGTCTCGTCACATGTGTCATCCTGTTCCGCATCATAAAGCGGCATTTTCCACTTTTTCTTCAAGAGATCCTCTCGACGCAAACCCACCAGCTCGGCCAGATCCATCTCTTGATGGTTTCCTATCGGGATTATGGTCTCACCTCCAACATTTTTGACAACTTCTCGCAACAAATGATAGTTTCGAGGGTACTTGTCGTATAAGTACGAAACCTCGGGATTGACCCACTGACAGGGTTGGTACATCAAGAAAATCAGCATGATTCCGACAGACCAAATATCCATTGCCGAGATTGATGTCTGACGAATTGTTTCTCCTCGAGGACCATGTTCGATCATTCCTTCTGGCGCTGTCAGCCATAAATTGGCAACTGGGTCAAAGATGTCTTCTCCTTGTTTCTTGTTCGCATTCCAATCCATCACCACTGCCTCACCATCGTCATCGACTCGGACATTCGAATCACTGAGGTCAAAGTTGTTGACCCCTAAGGAGTGCGCATAGTCTAGGACCCGCAGTAGGCTCCGAATAAAGTACCGGATGTCATTGAACTGTTTGAGGTCATGAATGTAGTCTAGATCCATGTACGGCTGTACAATGGCGACCACAGTTTTGGCATTACGAAGTCGTTTTACCATGTGCTTGGGAAATTTGCTGGGAATGTGCTTCTTGCGGAATGGATTTGGGACCTTTTTAGACATAAAGATGGTCTGAATGATGCCAAACTCTTCGGCCTTCTTTTTGTCTCTGGATAGTATTTCAAGGACATAACACTCTCGATCTGCTTGTTTTGTCAACCAGTCGCTGCCGGCAGCAAGTTTGACGACAAAGAGCACATTTTTATTTATCTTCTTTTGCTTGTACCACCAGTCTGGCAAAATCGCAACTGCGACCATATTGATAGCCCCATTTCCGATGAATTCGCCAATTTCAATGTCATTGACTGTCAATTCCCGCACTTTTTTCTTCTCAGCGGCAGTATATTCTTCAACACTGGCATCCAAGTATTGCATCGGTACATCCGCAATGATCTTTGCCAGTTCTGCATTACTCTTGCCCTCGACCCGTTTGGCTGCTTTGGAACTTTTTGTCTTTTCAGTCGAGAGGAACGGATGTTTCAGCAATGCTGATGCTGTTGGACGTTCCTGGAGCGCAATCTTCATACTTGTTTCAAGAAAGGAATAAACCAAATCAACTTCCTCTTTTGGTACACCCTTTAGCATTGGGAAATCCTTCGTTTTACATCTGTCGTCCTCATCGAAGATTGGCAGGTTGAATTTGCGCGAGAGAAGGTCGCTCCGATTCAGGCCCACGAGATTGGCCAGATCCAGAGTTTTGTTGTTTCCAATGGGAATTACTGATTCTCCTCCAATCTCCATCAATATGGCCCGAATGTAGTCGTAATGATAAATTCCATTGGGATGCTTGACGTCAATGTCATCTCTACTGATCCACCAGCACGGAGCAAACACCAAGTCGGCCAGCATCGTACCCACACTCCAAATGTCCATTGCCGATATCGAAGTTTGCAAGATTCGGTCTTCTTCGGTCAGCCCATACTCCAACAGACCTTCAGGAGCTGTGATTTTGGTGTTGGCTGTTGGGTCATACATATCCTGCCCATTGGCCTTGTTTGCGTTCCAGTCCATTACGACAGCTCTTCCTTTGGGGCTAATCTTAACATTGGAAGAACTGAGGTCGAAGTTGTTGATTGCCAACGAATGGGAATAATTCAAGGTTTCAAGAAGACTTGAAATGAAGAGCCGAACATCATCCAAATCCTCACAATAGTCTTCTGCTCTTTGCAAGTTGAAAAATGGAATTACGACTGCTGACATTTTGTGTTCTTTCCGCAGCCGCTTCTGGTGCTTGAATGAAAAGGAAGGTGGCAATTGCCGGTCTGGGTTCCGAAAGAATGGATTCCGTGCTCGTCGCATGCAAAATACATTGGGAAGGATATTGTGTTTCCGAGCCAAAGTCTTATTCTTGTTCATTTTCTCCAAAACATCACACTCTCGATCCCCTTGACTGGTGTACCATTTGTCACCAGGAGCCATCTTGATCACATACTTTTGCTTTTCCTTATCTACATTGTGTTGACGATACCACCAATCTGGGAACTCAACAAAGGCCGCAATGTTGATCATTCCATTTCCAATAAAATCGCCAACTTCCAAATCTGCCAAGGAAAGATCATAGATCACTTCCTCTTTGTTCCATGGCTGCGGTTTCACAACCTTGCGTTTTGGTTTGTCCTGAAAAAATGGATGCTTCAGCAGGTCTTGCGCTGTGGGTCGGTTCAATGGAGAAATCTTGAATATTGTCTTCAAAACAGAGTGCAGTTGTTCGAGGTCATCCTTGGATGCATCTTCGAGCATCTCAAAGTCTGTCTCTTGGCAAGTAGAGTTGGTTGTGTAGAGCGGCAAATCAAATTTTCGCTTCCAAACCTTGGGCCGACTCAAACCCACCAATTTGGCCAAATCCAAAAATACTCCCTCGCCGACTGGGATTCTTGTTTCACCACCAAGCCGCATCAACATTTCTTTGATGAGTCCATAATGCTTGGGGAATTCAGTGCGCTGTTGATCCTCGGGAATTTGTGAATGGTGTAGACCCAATCCTCTTGGATTGACAAAGAAACAAGGATCAAAGACCAAATTCGTCAGCATGACACCTACGCTCCAAATATCCATCCCTGAAATAGACTCTTGCAATACGTTCTTTGGAGAGTCCAGTCCAGTTTGTTCCAATAGTCCCTCAGGAGCGGTGATCCACGTATTGGCCAGTGGATCGTAAATGGGCTGACCATTTGCTTGATTGGCATTCCAATCCAAAATCAAGGCCCGTCCGTACATGTCCACCTTGACATTGGATCCACTAATATCCATATTGTTGATTCCTACCGAATGTGCATAGGCCAAGGTTTGCAACAGAGTTTGCAAAAAGTACCGAACATCATCCAAGTTTTCCACCCATTTGCTTGGTTTGGATAGAAAATGATGATCGTAAAATGGCACCACAATCGCAACAATCTCGGGCTCTGTCCGCAATTGCTTTTCGTATTTGTCGGGAAAGGAAGAAGGAATTGGTCTCTGTTGATCAGTATGGAATGGATTGGTAAAGTTACAGGGTCCGATCATGAGAGTCGGCATGATATTCAGCTCTCGGACCTTTTGCTTCTTCTTGTTCAGCTTTTGCAGCGCCTTGCATTCTCGCTTGGCAAGCTCAACTCTCCAATCTCCCGCGGCTAATTTGACGACGTATTTGGAATTTTTGGCAGTGGAAAGTGGTGTTGACTTATCCTCGTGGTTGGCTCGTTCTTGTTCCCACCACCAATCCGGCAGTGTGACTCGAGACACTACATTGATGGCCCCATGATCAATATAATCACCAAGTTCTAGATCATCAATAGTCAACTTGCGAGTGGTTTTTTGAATTTCTTTCGCAGCAGCTTCTACTTCGGCTGCCGCTCTCTCCAATTCGTCCAAATCAATGCCGCGATACGTTGGTGTCTTGCCTTCTACGGCTTCTTCTTCTAATCCACGATAAGTCGGGATCTTTTCTTTTGATTTCATTTCGGATGTTTTAAACGAGGCTTTGGATGTTTGGAGAATATTCGCAGCGTCCTCCTTCAAGTATTTTTGCAGCTGGGTGGTGACAATCACAGTATGAAGTCCGGCCAATACAAAGAAACCAAACACCAGTATGAAGCGTCGATTCGTAGGTGATATGCTCATATTCCTCAGTTTCTGTCGTTGTTTTCTAGTCCTTGTTTGAAAATGATTCATGACAGATATTGGAGAGCGCCGTATCGTGGAGCTGGAAGCATTGGGGGGAGAGTAGGCTCCGGCTTTGATGGGATTCCTCACCGTTTTAGTTTTGGAGTACCAATCTGACGTTCCGTTTGTTTCTGAAGCTATGGGTGATTTCACCTGCTCTTGGTGGGCCTTTGACTTGTGTTTCATGCCCGCCATGTTCAATGTTTCCTTCGTTCTTAAGCAAAACAGAAAACCTCGGCCGTAGTTTTATTTTGTCATTGTCGTCTATTTACTTTTGTGGTCAAAGCTACAAGTCGGAGGGGTCGAAAATGGGATGGCATTTTCGTGCGGTGCGTATTTCTCTCATCTTCCACAGCTCTTTCAAATTCTACAGTATCGATCATAATCATCTACCTACAAGTACTCCAGTTTACAACAGAAGGTGCCTACCTATCTAGCACATCAGAAATCCATGAAAGGATGACTCAATAAAGTCGTCGCGTTGGCTCTTTCTGCAGGCGAGAGTTTCATCATCGATCTCAAAAAGTCGTACATATCGTCCAATTCCTTGTTCTTTGCACTGTACATCACCATGTACGATTCAGTGTCCTTGTCGTCACACATGTTATCTTCTTCTAAATCATAAAGCGGCATTTTCCACTTTTTCTTCAAGAGATTTTCCCGGACAAAACCAAACCGCTTGGCTAGATCCAACTCTTGATTGTCTCCTATTGGGATCTTGGTTTCACCTCCAATGCTCTTGACGATTTCTCGCAACAAAGAATTCTTGTTGCGCATCTTTGGAACATCAGGATTGACCCACTGACAGGGTTCGTACATTAAGAAAACCAGCATGATCCCCACCGACCAAATATCCATGGCCGAAATCGATGTCAAACGAATTGTTTCTCTCTTGGGACCATACGGTATCATTCCTTCTGGTGCTGTGAACCACAAATTGGCCATGGAGTCGTAGATATCTTCTCCTAGTCTTCTATTTGCATTCCAATCCATCACCACTGCTTCACCATGCTTACCGACTCTGACATTCGAGTCACTGAGGTCAAAGTTGTTGATCCCCAGCGAGTGGGCATACTCTAGGGTCTGAAGCAGGGTACGAATAAAATGCCGAATATCCTTGAACTTCACAAGGTCATGAATGTAGTCCAGCTCCAGATACGGTTGAATAATGACGACCACATTTTCGGCGTTGCGAATCGGATCCCTGTAGTGTATCGGAAAGTTGGTTGGGAATTTTTTCTTGCGAAATGGATTTGGTATCGTTCGAGACATAAAGATGGCTTGAACAATGTTGAATTCTTTAGCCTTCTTTTTGTCTCTGGACAGAGTTTCTATGACTTCATATTCTCGTTCGGCTTGTTTGGTCAACAAATCGCTATTAAGACCGACAGCAATCTTGATGACAAACTGTATCTTTTTGTTGACCTTGTTCTGTGTGTACCACCATTCCGGCAAGACCGCCATTGCAACTATATTAATGGCACCATCGCCAAGAAATTTGCCAATTCCAATGTCACTGAGTGTCAATTGCCGCATCGTACTGTTCGTAGTGCTTGTTATTACATCTCCGGTGACGAGTAATGCCAATTCAGCATTGTCCATGCGCTCGATCCTTTTGACTGCTTTGGCTCTTCTCCACTCTGCCGATTTCTCCAATTCTTCCACATCTATGCTCTTGTGAGGAGGTGCACTTTCTTTGGATTTCTTTTCGGGTGCGGCAAACGCAGAGACCTTTGGAGTTTGCAATGAGGCATCATTCGCATTGCCTGTCATCTTGGATTTTTTTTGCAAGTGTGTCGTGACAATCACCGTATGCAGTCCGGCCAGCACAAAGAAACCAAAAAACAGTATGAATTGCCGATTTGTAGGTGATATACTCATGTTCTTCAATTGCTGCCGTTGCCTTCTAGCTTTTATTTGAAATCGATTCAGGACAGATGTGGGAAAGCGTGGTAGCTTGGAGGGAGAACCACTGGATGTTGCTCCGCTTGTGTCTGCATCGGAACTTGATGGGTACACCTGTGGTTGATGAGCTTTTGACTTTTGTTTCATGCCAGTCATGTTGGCTAACTCAGTTTTACTTATGCCAAACAGAGCACCTTTCTCGTGTTGTCATGGTTCTTTGATTTTTTTTGGGTGATCAAATATATCGATGGATGACCGAAGATCAGTTTAGTCGATAAGGTCGAGTTTTAAGTCAATGGGATCGACTAAACTTCCGTCCGCCGCCGAGAACTTCCGAGTGACATGTAATAAACGATGGCGAAACCTATCTGTGTGGTCGCGTCTACGATTACACTCAAATAATGTCCATAGTGGTTACGCGTAACGTGTAATGTACGTCCGTGCGCCAACACCAACGAGAACTTTTCTTTTTTAATAAAAAACGATTGCGAAAGGTACTTCCGTCTCTACCGGTATTATGGTGGCGTCTGGATTATTGCAGCTGCTAGAACTGGCATAATACAAAAGAGCATCACCGTGCCTTCAAATAAAAGGGAAAGTGAAACCAGCACGCTGGCGGATTCGTTTCATGATAGGATAATGACAAGCATTTCGGTTTCGGAACAACAAGTTGCCTCAAGCAATAACGTTCTCGTGACCTCCGATGCAACAGTGGCTTCCTTTTCTGTTTGGTCAGAGGCCTCTCACGAAGATGGCTCTGATGCCAGTCCTGTCTTTGCAAAGAAGACTGGGTCTCAGGATCGGGATGAACATTCTGCAGCACATTCTTCCATACGAAAAAGCACCAGACTTTCCATAGTGCAGGCTGTTGAAACAACAAGCAGCCGTTCTGAAAAAGTTTTAGAAGAGCTCACCATCAACAAGCTCAATATACAATCCTTGGGTTTGGTTGGAAGAGACGACGAGAAATCTATATTGAAGAATTGCTATCAGCGACTTTGCAACGCCAACGGGGATCAGACGCCATCAGCACCACCTTGTTCTCAAGAAGCCAGTGCAATTATAGTTCCAAATGAATTGGTATTTGTTCAGGGGTACAGTGGAATTGGAAAGTCAGCATTGGCGCGGACGATACAAACGGAAATAGAGGAGTCTTCGAATGCTGTGTATGTAGAGGGAAAATATGAATTCACATCGACGGATGAACCGTATTCTGGCATATCGCAAGCCTTTGGAAAACTGTGCAATAAATTCAAAGACTGCCCTGCCGAAACACGGGACAAAATTTCAAGTGCTGTCGCGGAAAATATGAGAGAAGAAGCATTTATGCTGATGAGCATGATTCCCGAGATCAGTGTCTTTCTTGACTTGGATGATGCGAATTCGATATGGATTTATGGTAGTTCCCCTGGACGAGAGCACGAACGATGGAAGTATGCCTTTCGGACATTTACTCGGATACTTGGTTCGCACTTTGCTCCGATCATCATAATGTTGGATGATCTGCAGTGGGCTGATGTGTCGTCTCTTGATATTATGGATTATCTGATGTCAGATGTTCAGAACCCATATCCATTGATGATAATCGGTTGCTATCGATCGAATGAGGTTGACGAAAATAGCATTCTTTACAATCGCATCCAGACACTCCGATGCAAGCATCAAAATGGCATCGTTAAACTCACTGACATCAAGCTCGAGAACTGCAGTATTGATTCTATCAACAAGATTATTATGTCAATGATGGGAATCGATGACGATTCTATGACGAGAGATCTGGCCGACGTCTGTTTCAAAAGGACCTTAGGCAACCCATTCTTCTTGATTGAATTCATGAGAGCGCTGCAAGCCGAAGGCCTTGTCGTCTTTAATATAATCATGATGAAGTGGGTTTGGGATGTCAAAGAGATCGAAAATTCAACCATGTCGGCAGCCAATGTTGTGGATCTTCTCAAAGGAAGGATGCAAAAGTTACCAAATGATGTGCAGCTTCTCTTGCAATATGCGGCATGCCTTGGGTCATCGTTCTCTATAGCGATCCTAAAGAATATTTGGAGCCAGCATGCCTGCATCAAGTTGATTCGCGCAACTGATGACATTGAAGACATGCTGAGGCAGATAGAGAAAGTCAAGCTAGTGGAGCCTTGTGCGTTGGATGAGCTACGCTGGGTGCACGACAAAGTTCAAGAGGCTGCATTGTCCTTGTCAGATTTGGTGACGCCTCCTTTCCAATGCGCCTTGGGCATCTTTTTGTACCAGGGACTGGAGAAGGAACAACTGGAGCAACAGCTATTTGATGTTGCAGATCTTGTCAACAAAGGAAACCCTACTGAAAGATTGGATGTTGCTGTACTAAACCTTCGGGCGGCAAAGAAGGCACGCAAAATGGCTGCTTTGTTCAGCGCAGCACAATATATAAAATATGCAATCGAACAGCTCCCCAATGATAAATGGAAATTGCACCGAGTGCTTGCATTACAGCTGTATTCGATTGGTGCCGAAATGGAATATGCTCTTGGTAATATTCCCACAGCAGAAGAGTACATTGGAATCATTCTAGATCGAGATGAATTCACACCGATGGAAACGCTGCCTTTGAAAAAGATGAAAGCGCAGATTCTAGCGACTGCTCATCTTCGCTGGAACGAAGCGTGTGATTTTGGCCTTGTCATTCTGAAGGATCTTGGATACAACTTTGTGTGGAAAGCTTCATTGATTCCTATCCAAATGCTAATGGCGATAAAGAAAATTGCCAAAAGAGTGAAGAAAATATCTGTAAAAGATGTCGAGAAAATGGGATTTGTGGAAGACAAGAAACAGCTCGCTGCCGTCGATATATTGAAGCTGATGAAGCACCTTACGTACAGTGCAAATACGCTCCCATTGTGTTTTCTTTGCGTTTGTAAAGTGATTGAGATAACACTGGATCATGGCATCAGTCTGTGCTCTGCCGATTGTTTCGCGACATTCGGTGGTATATTGATGTTTCTTTTCAAGGACCACAAGGCTGCATCACACATCTGTGATCTGGCGTTCGCTTTGCAGAGACGAAGTGGTCGACGCCATATTGCTGACACGATACATAGCGCCTGGGCTTTTGTTCTTGTGCAAACCAAACCCCTACATGAAGGCCTGAACCTCACCTTAAAAGGATACACGCAAGGACTACGAGATGGCGACCCTCTGGATTCTACCAATTGTCTCATCAATCGTTTCGTGCTGCTTCCATACATGATGGGCCGTTCGCTTGAGTCAATCATTGAGCAATTTCCAAAGATAGCTCCACAGTTGGAAGAATCCGGAATCACAAATAACATACTCACATTGAAGGTTTGGTGGCAAATGATGCTGAATCTGCAGTTGCCTCCAATCGAGACCTCGAAGAAATTGGAAGGAGAGAAGTTCCGTCAATCTGAGGAGAAAGCTGAAAGCAACATGTATATTGGTAATGTGAATCTTGCGATTGGTGAATTATTGCTATTCTTTGGGGAACACGAGGAACGGGCAAAGCGTCTACTCGGGGAAGAGAAGGGAAAGACGTATTCAGAGCTTGTTCAGGGATATCCTCCGCACGGGATCGAGACGTTCCATCGTGGCATCACCTGGTATGCCATGGCTCGAAAGACTGGCAATCGAAAGTACAAGTCCAGGGCCACCGAAGTGAGAAAAGAGATTACAAAATGGGTGAAAAAGGGGAACCCAAACGCAAAGGATTATGATGTTTTCCTGAGAGCAGAGCAGGCAGTATTGGACAAGAAGTACAAGAAGGCGAACGACTTGTATAAGCAGGCCATTGTTCATGCTGCTCGGATAGGTCACCTTTCCCATGTTGCACTGTACAATGAGAGGTTTGCCGAGTACCAACTTGAGGTGCTCGGGGATGTAGACGACTGCAAGTATCGCATGGAAGAAGCGATTAGATATTACACTGAATGGGGGGCAACGGGCAAGGCAAATCAGCTGCGACAGTCCCTATCAAGCATCACTGACCTCTTTTGGCTAATGTAGTTGACAAGGTAGAATACTGTTAACGATGCTATAGATCCGAGACCGATATAGCCAGACAGTAAGATAAAACAGAGATTCTATCCTTTTAATGATGTGATGTGATTTTACGATCTCCACAAAAGAGTGAGAGATGGAATTCACTCAAAGAGAGAGATCCGTCTCACGTGACACTGACGTGGTGACGTGAGATTGGACAATATGTATGTTGAAGTGCGCGTGCCCGAATGGAACACGGAATCTCAAGCGAAGATCAACGTCCTATGAGGAAGCCAAAACGGGAGGAATATATCAGCAGAATTCCACCCTAACACTCCCTCTCTTCCGAACATTGGACTTGACTTGAGTCGTATGATGTGCTTGACAGATAAGAAGGTTGTTACCAGCCGCAGAGTAGCTTTCTGCATCGAAGAAACTTGTCCTTGGTAAGACCTTTGGTAAGTATATCAGCCTTCTGTAGGTTGGTTTTGATGTAGACCACTTTAGTGCGTGTCGGCTTCAAGTACTGCCGAAACCAATGGGACCGGACCCAAAAACTCTTCGACCTTGGAGTATGATGGCCTGGTTCCATACATGCCAACTTCTGGGCACCTTGGTTGTCTTCATGAATAGTTGTGCTGAATTGAGTGCAGAACTCCTTGCCGATTCCAACAGCGTGGCCAATCGTCTTGAATAGTTCCTGCAAGGGTAGCACGTCCCTCATAGATAAAGCGAGAGCATTATACTCCGCTTCCATAGTAGAAGCTGCAATAGGTCGCATCAATTGACTCTTCCAAATGATCGGACAGCCACAGATACAGATTGCATATCCTGCTCTGCTTCGTACAGACTCAGGATTCGTATGTTCCTCGACGTTCCATAGACCCGCGAAGTCAGCATCGACGTAGCAGTCAATATCAAAGTCCTCTCTTGGAGTAAGGATCAAACCTTTGTCCATCGTGCCCTTCAAATACTGTCCGATTCGTTCGATCGCTACTTCGTGACTGCGTCGATTCCCGTGGATGAATCGTGCGACTTGAGAAACTGCAAAACAAATATCTGGACGACTGTGTCCAGACAGATACAGGAGCATTCCAACAACTGAGGCGTAGTTGTACAAACCATCAGGTAGATCTCCCTCCGCATCGATCGCCAATGGATCAACGTGAGCTGGTGTAGGTGATGTCTTCTGGACACCAAGAGCATCGACAATACGCTTGATCAGACCTTTCTGAGTCAAGGTGATAGCTCCAGTTTCTTCATTGCGTTCGATGTGTACGCCCAGAAAACCAGCAACAGACGCCTCTTCTTCTAGCTCCATTCCTTTTTCTCTCAGCTTGGCGATGGCTTCATCGATATACTTCTGTTCAGGTGAGAAGAACAAAGTGTCATCAACATAGACAAGACAGATGCAGTTTTTCGAGATGAAAAGACATGGATCGACTTCGGTTTGAGGCTCGAATCCAATGTCCTCCAAATTAGACTGCAGGAATTGAAAGAAATTTCTGGGGCTTTGTTTTAATCCATAGAGACATCGTTTGAGTTTCAATACCTTGTTGGGTTCCGAGAACCCGCGAGGCATCGCGACATAGACTTCTTCCTCGATTGGCGCATGTAGGAACGCCGTAGTGTAATCAACTTGCTTCGTAGAGAGGCCAAGGACTTGAGAAAGAATCAGCATGAGGCGCACTGTGTTCCAGTTGACCACAGGTGCCCATGTTTCGTGGAAGTCGACGTCTTGGATTTGTCGATCGCCACGAACACAAAATCTTGCCTTGAGTTTTCGGACACTTCCGTCCGGGTACCTTTTGCACTTGAACGCCCACGTGGAAGGTAGAACATTCATGCCTTCAGTGCGATCAACGACATCCCAGGACTCCTTCTTCTTGAGAGCCTCAATTTCGTCTTCCGCTGCCTTCCAATACCCTTGTCGTAGAGGTCCATTCATTGCTTCATTCCAGTTTGGGTTGTCTTCACTGTTTGCTTTCGCAGCGAGAATCATGGGATGCAGGTCGTCCTGGAGCCCCGTGTCGTGGTCGTGGTACGGCTCACATGCGGCTCGCCACATTCGACCAAAGTTGTCGCCCTTGATAGTGTTGATGGCCTCCGCCCACTTCAAATTAGCAAAGAATTGTCGATCCAAGGCAGAATGTCGGATCTTCTTCTTGCCTAGCTCGGCAACATTTGCAAAGTCATCCCCGAAGTACTTGGGGTTTTTCTTGCGAACACGTGATGTCGGTAGTGATGGAGCAGCAGCTCCCTCTGATTCCGACTCCTCTCCTGGATCTTCATCTTTGGCCTCATGACCTTCAACCACAGACTGCTCGTCGTCTGAATGAATCGCTGGTTCTCCATCGGAATCGTCGTCGTTCAAATCATCGTGACTTGGAGGATTGGGCGGCGCAGATGCGGGGTTGTCTTCAGCGTCAATATTTCCTCCCTCTGGAACTTCAAAAGTGACATGTCGGTTGCGTGCAGCCCGATGACGACGCTCTTCGGCGATTGATTCGCTGACGTAAACGCGCCTCGCAAGCCGCCCGGCGCGACTTGCGAGCACGTTTCTCAACGGGATTGAGCCATTCGTTCGCCAAAGTAGGACGTTTTCTGCGATCATGGCGACTTCCACTCGCCAAACCCTCCTCGTCCAAATGCTTTTCGTAACCAGTTTCCACGAGACTCTGCCAAGTCGTTGCATCAAACTCGGCAACATCAAACAGACCTCCTTGATCGGCATTTGGAACTGTCGTGAAAAGGTCATCAATCACAACATGATACTGCGGACTGACATAGCCTGTCTGGAGATTCAAGACACGGCTCACAAGTGAAGAATGAGTTGGGGAAACGCCGACATACATGCCACGCCGCGCCCGAACATCCCATTTTGGAATCTTCTTCCCGTCCTGCAATCTCGGATCCAACACATACACCGGTGATCCCCAGACATGGAGACGTTTGAACCATTGGTGATGGTCGATCTTAGCCCCTCCCATGAGCTCGATTGGCGCTTGCTTGGTATCTTCGCGTGGTAGATGGTTCCACAAATAGACTGCATGATCCATAGCAAAAGGCCACAACTTGTGATCGGCTTCGTCTGGCCAATGCAACATTTGATGAAGAAGCATGGCACGAGCCCAGGTGGTGATAGTTTGGATTGCTCTTTCGGCAACTCCATTCTGATGTTTAGCTCCGACTGCAGAGTAATCAATAGTCTGCTTGTGCGACTCGATATCATCCAAGAATCCTTTCGAGCTGAAAGGGTGGTTGTCAGCACGGTAAGACTTGACCTTGTGTCCGTATTCACCAACTTCACTCTCAAACGAATGTTTGCTCTTGACTGTCTCTCTCGTGCCAGTCGAAGTCTGGTGTTTCGCGTGGACGAAACCGGTGGCATGGTCCACGAACAGGGTCCCGCCAACATATTGCTTGGAAGTCTTCTCCTCGCCAAAAGTATGCGCAAGTCGACCAGGGACAGCCGAGAGATATTGGTCAATCGAGACCTTGTCGCCTGGCTTGAGGTTATCGACCATCATTTCCTTTTCTTTTCGTTGTTTGCCCGTCTTCGAGCCAGGTTGTTGTTGAGCAGCATCGGATCGTGGACTGCGGCGACGCTGTTTCGCAAGTTGACAGACAGCACACTTGGGACTTTTGCAAGACTTGAACTCGTCTTTCTTGGCAGGTAAAGGTCCCATCACTGGATGTCCCTCCGTCTTGGTCCACTTGCAGAGTTTCAGAAGCCAGTTCATATTCGCGTGACCTGTCTTCGCATGCCAGAGAAGCAACTTCTTCTCAGCCTTGGTAAGATTCGCATTGTTTTCATGAGCAACGTTCAGAAAAACGCTCATGTCTTCCGGCAAAAATTCTTCTTCTTCGTCGGTGATAATATGTGCAGCCTCGTCTACAAGACGATTCGCCGTAAGCATCATGGGCAGGTTGTTGCCCGCTTGGTACGGAAAGAACAGGGTGTCGCCATCAGGCAACGTCATCTTGACTTGAAAACTATCGAAACAGACCTCACCCTTGCCGTGCTCTTGAAAGTAGGACTGCGGCGAGAGCAATCTGATGTTGGTGTCTGGAACGTAGTAAGCACTGACGCGAATCGACTTGATGGTCCCATGCATATCTCTGATCTTCCATTCCACCTCTCCAATACCCAGCACAGGAGTTATGGAGGACAAACCATTCAGACTTTTTGTCCCACAAGCAATCGGCTTGGTGACAAAATCTTCTAGATTCGGAGTCAGAGAGAAAGATGCTCCGGTATCGATGACGATTGGTAGTTCGCCCTTGGAATCAACATTGATGTAGACGCTGCGAAGTCGATCAGCACAGGACACATCGGACACGAGGTCGTCTGCTGCAATAAGTGCTTGAGTGACTCTTGGCAGGGATGAAACGGGTTGAAGGAATGTCGAACTGAGGACATCCTTCATTGCGTGATGCTTGGTATTAGGACGAAAATCCGCAAGAAGCTCGTCGAGAACAACCCCATACTGCGATTCGTACTGGAGGTAAGAGTGGTGCAAATATCGGTTCTTGGTCCGCTCGTAGTCTTCTAACAACTCCTCATCGCTTGGACTTTCCCAGTGACTAGGTTGCTTGACGTCGTAATCTCCCCAGAAATCCTCTTCCTTGAGACTCTTCAGCTCCCTCTGGAGAACATCTTGCTCCTTAGGGCTCTTGGCGCGAACTAACTTCTTCAGTAAACGAAACCTTGTTTTCTTTCGACCCTGTGCAGCACCCTTTCGGCGCCGTTCAGGACGTCGGCTCTCATAATCTTCCTTGCGGCGCCTCTCTTGGCGCTTCCTTTCCTGCTTCTGCTCTCGAACCCCTTCCTTCCGTTGTCGCCGGAGTATTTTCCTAGGATCTCCTTTGACGCGCGCGATACGAAGTCTCAGATGGTACTGACGCGGGTAACGATATCGACGAATGCCGCACCACCACGGGTACGCTGACGGCAGTTCCACAGTGATCTTCCTACGCGGCTTTTCAACTGATGGCAACTCCACATACATTCTTCTTGGTTGATGTACATTGACATATGCCTCTCCATGGGCAAAAAGTACTCCAGATGGGCGACACCCTACTCTGGGCATGGACGGTGGTGCCACGAGGGCATAAAGTACTCCAGAGGGGCGCAAACCCCATCTGGGTATAGACTGTTTCCATGACTGACATTTCCGTTTCAAATGTTGATCAGGTTGGATGTATTCATCGTCGAGGCCTCGGAACAGAACAGAATCGTTCCGATACTTCAGACTTGAGTACAGGTACCAGATCACTGCAGCATAAAGGCCAAGCTGCAGTATGCATGCCCACTCACACAAAGTCGTCTCCGCGACAGACTTGTAGGCGGACCAAATATCGAGAGTCAGGCCTTGACTCTCAGGGACGTAGTGCAGATGACACAAGCCAGACATCGCTGTCTTGTATCCAACTGATAGTAGCTCGTTAAACATAGTACAAAAGAGTAACACAACTCCGAGCATTGCAAAGGGTGGCATGAGGGACCAAAAATATCGTTTGATCACGTCTTCCTCACGCCACCAGGACCGTCACTCTTGGCCCAGGTTCTTGTTAAAGTTACGGATTGCCCTGTCAACGGCATTCTTGAGTAGACGCTCTTGCAACATGACTTCTTCGTTGGTAGCATCTCCGACCTTGACCTTGGAGAACTCTTCAGAGAAATATCCACTCATTCCCGCGAATAGACCGTTCCCGTTCCAAACACCGTTTGATTGCGCGAGGTGCGCACTGGGGCCGGTATTTGGCGACGGTTCGTCTTCTCCAGTTGTTTTCTGCTTTCTGCACTTGTACCACTTTTTGTCTTTGAAGTGATAGAAATGCAAGGTTCCATTGATTTCTTGTTCCTTGGGATCATCTCCCTTTGGAGCTGGAGGCCATTTGCTCTTTCCGGTCTTGTTGGTCTTGTCTCCCTTCTCTGAGCCCTTGGAAACTTGATCGCCCTTCTTCCCAGATTCCTTCGAGGCTTTCTTCGCTGCCTTGGCTGCATCGAAAGCAGCTTTGGCCTTCTTCCCTTCGGGATTTGCTTCCAGATTGTGACGAGGACAAGTGGCATTGCTCTGGCGACAGCTATCGCGTCCACACCCGAAGCACTTGGATCCTGATTTCCCTTTGGGTGGACTGATGTCGGCGGTGAAGGCAGCCGCTCGTGTTCCCTCCGTCTCCCATTGATTTAAAAGATTGAGCCTGTCATAGAACTTGCGGGCTTGGATTAAGATGGTTTCAGGCGTGCCGTATGCTGCTTCGCCTTCGACGTTCTCGAGAAGACACCTCTGGTTCCCAAGCTTAAGTTCGCCTTGGAACAAATCGTCGAAGTCACCGTTTCCTGTGTTGCTGAATACCCTCAAAAGACGCTCTGACAAGCCCTTGGGCATGTGGCGCTCGCCAACAATTTCCCCTTTGGCATTGTGCTTCTCATTCTTTCGCAACATAAGGATGGTAGACTCAATTTCCGTGCAGAACTTGCGGATATTGCCATCATATACCTTGGAGTACAAATTGATGCCATCACCTTCTTCGAGAGAGTCCCGAAGTGCCTTGAGTGCGTGATAGCTGCTAGCAGAGATACGATCCATAAGAACTTTGTAGATGAGTGGACCCCACCCCCAGAAGTCTTTCGAGATCCCTGCGCTCTTCAAGTCTTCCTCGATACGATCGATCATATCGCTCGTGCATTGATTCTTGAGATATGTTCCAGACCATTGAAGATCTGTTGGCATCCAAGAATTCTCACCCTGACTTTCGTCATAACCATATCCATAGAGGTATACGACTGAGTCGAAGACTTCTTCCAAGGTAAGAGTTGCATAACCTGACAAAAGATTTGCCGCTCGATTCTCAAGCTTGCTTTGTTCAAATTCCCCGTTCCTGTTCTTGATGGGAAATACTGTGTTGACAAAGAACCAATCGATCCCAAACTTCGTGAGATGCTCCGTGATGTGGTTCTCAACTTTTATTACATCGTGGACTTCACTTGCTGTCTTGGCATAAGGTATGTCCTCGATTTGCTGGTTGCGACTATCGGCTGATGTTCCGCTAGCGTCTTTTTCCAACTGATGATACGCTTTCGGATTTGCTGTTCTCAACAGTTCTCGTTCCTCCTTTGGACAGATCACAGTTGACTTGATTAGATTGATCTGAAGCTTTGGCTTGGCTGAGAAGGTCACACCGCCAATAATATCCTTCGGTGGTGGTGGAGGAGTTCCGCTCTGTTGCGATTTCTGAGAAACACTCGCTGCAGGAGTATTCGGAGGTATGTTGAACTGAACATTCCTTGGAACTGGACTTCCCCGACCGTCTTCTGTTACCATATCACTAGGATTCATGCTGCTGATCACTGAATCACTGATAGGTGTCGATAGACCTTCAAATTAGTAAAAGCGTTTTTGACTTATTTGTGGACGATATTGAAACAAACTTTCAATTTCCTTGTTGACAATCACAGTAAGAAGCGTAAAAGCTTGGGCTCATAACCTGACAAGGTAGAATACTGTTAACGATGCTATAGATCCGAGACCGATATAGCCAGACAGTAAGATAAAACAGAGATTCTATCCTTTTAATGATGTGATGTGATTTTACGATCTCCACAAAAGAGTGAGAGATGGAATTCACTCAAAGAGAGAGAATTCAGACAGTAGGTCCGTCTCACGTGACACTGACGTGGTGACGTGAGATTGGACAATATGTATGTTGAAGTGCGCGTGCCCGAATGGAACACGGAATCTCAAGCGAAGATCAACGTCCTATGAGGAAGCCAAAACGGGAGGAATATATCAGCAGAATTCCACCCTAACAGTAGTAGCTACCAAAATCGAGCTTACTTTCTATACCCAAGATATACTGGTATATTTCTATTAGAGCGCTTCCATAATTTGACCGTATCATCATCGTCGCATCCTGTATCGATACAGTCGCAGTGGTGGTTCAAACCTAATATGAGGATCGAATGGTCATGCGAGTTCCCCAGGATACCACATGCGAGCGGTGGGCGCTCTGGCCATGACTGGATTGACAAAGTCTTTTCACGTACATTGCAGCGGTGAAACGTACCCTGTCGTTTATCGGTACACAAGTACGACCTAGTACCTATAGTACCAGTGACACCCTTACAAGAATATAAAACATATCTGCACGAAGCGACACGATCGAAAGATTATTGATTCGCCACTATGTTCTCATTCGAAGAACGGAAGACTTCGTCTCGTTATGTAGAGTCCCACTTCCACATAACAAAAATTGTTTATGAAGTCCATTTCAAGAATTAATGTTACAGGACCATTACGAAACGGCATTAACAGAGAAGCCTTCGTTATTGAGAAGGGCAATTGTGCTTTTCATTTCTCGAGTCAGCAACAAAAAGCTAGCTAGACCGAACAAGTGTAATACTTTCCAAGGTTGCTTCAATGCTTGAAAGTTGACAGTGGTATCATGACGAACGAACAAATCATTGAGAAAGAATTTATTATGAACCAATCGACTAGACGAAAGGATAGTAACGGAAGTTATGATGGACACGCTGCGAACGATAATACTCATGCTGAAGAACAACCCACTGCAAGAACCGCTTTAGAATCCACGTTTTTTGAAGAATGGAAGGATCATCATGAGGAAGTTGAAGACAGTAGCGTCATAACGTTTGATCTTATGACCAGAAATGCATTACATTTGAAAGACGAAGAGTCCGGATCTTTTAGGTCTTATTGTGCCTCGCCAACGACATCTCGTTCATCCTTAAGAACGAGCTCAAGGCTATCAGAAGTGCAGATTCATGAAACCGGAAATTCACGATATGAAAGAGTGCTGGAAGAGCTTACGATCAATAAATTGAACATTTCTTCTCTTGGCGTAGTTGGGAGAAATAAAGAAAAATGGGTTCTTCAAAATTGCTTTGAACGATTATGCCAAGGCAAGGATGGGGAGTATGTCCATGAATTGGTATTGATCAAGGGGTACAGCGGAATCGGAAAGTCAGTACTGGCACGGACGATACAAAAAAAGGTTGAAACTTCCAGCGGCGTCTACGTAGAGGGCAAGTACGAATTCACCTCAACTGATGAGCCTTATTCCGGCATATCGCAAGCCTTTGGCAAATTGTGCAACAAATTCAAAGATTGCCCTTCCGAAACACGGAATAAAATATCAAGCGCAATCAAGGAGAATCTGAGGGAAGAGGCCTTCATGCTGATGGGAATGATTCCTGAAATCAGTGTCTTTCTCGATTGTGACGAATCGCGTTCAACAGGCCTTGGCTGCATCACCATTCCTGGAGGAAGAGAGCACGAACGATGGAAGTATGCCTTTCGGACATTCACTCGAATCCTTGGGTCACACTTTTCTCCCATCGTGATGGTACTGGACGATCTTCAGTGGGCTGATATATCATCACTCGACATTCTGGATCACTTATTGTCCGACTTTCAGAACCCACATCTTCTTATGATAGTCGGCTGCTATCGATCAAATGAAGTCGATGAAAATAGTATCCTTTTCAATCGGATACAAACACTGGAAGGAAAGTGCCAAAAAGGCATCTTTCGTCTCACTGACATTGAGCTTCAAAACTGTGACGTCGATTCAGTGAACAAGATTATCATGTCAATGATGGATATCGATGACGAGTCAGAGACCCGAGAATTGGCTGAAGTTTGCTTCAAGCGCACGCTAGGCAATCCATTCTTCTTAATCGAATTCATGAGAATGCTCCATAGTGAAGGCTGTCTCGAATTTAGTCTAGGATTGTTGAAATGGAAATGGGAGGTAGCGAAGATCGAAAATATGACCATGTCCACAGACAATGTTGTGGATCTCCTCAAAAGTCGAATGAGCAAATTATCAAATAATGTGCAGCTACTCTTGCAGTATGCAGCATGTCTGGGGGCGTCTTTCTCTATTTCCATTCTGGAGTTCGTTTGGAACGAATACTCCAGGGCGTTACGGTTTGGTGCGGAAGGTGGCAATGTTGAAAGCATGATGAAGACTGCGCAGAACGTGCAACTCGTGGAATCATGTGGTGCGGGTGAACTACGCTGGGTGCACGACAAAGTTCAAGAGGCTGCCCTGTCCCTGTCAAACTTGGTCACCCCTTCATTCCGATGTAGCATTGGTATGTTTTTGTTTCATGGTCTGGATCCGATACAGCTTGAAAAGCAGGTATTTGAAGTGGCAGACCTTGTCAACAAAGGAGGCGTCACTGGGTTATTAGATGTTGCAGTGCTGAATCTTCAGGCCGCCGAGAAGGCACGCAAAATAGCAGCCCTGCAGAGTGCCGCAAAGTATGCGGAGTTTGGAATCGCGCAGCTTCCCATGGGAAAGTGGAAACTACACCGAGGGCTTACGTTACAGCTTTATTCTCTTGGTGCCGAAGTGGAGTATGCCCTCGGGCACATTAACAAGGCGGAAGAGTACATTGCGATTATTCTGAATCGAGAGGACTTGACGGCTATGGAAACACTGCCGTTGAAAAAGATGAAAGCTCAGATCCTAGCGACAGCTCATTTGCGATGGCATGAAGCTTGTGATTATGGTCTTGTCATTTTGAAGGATCTTGGATACAACTTCGTGTGGAGTCGTGCTTTGGTTCCTGTGCAAATGTTAATGGCCATAAAGAATCTCGCCAAACGAGTGAAGAAAGTCAAGGTCGAAGATGTGGAGAATATGAAGGTCATTAAAGACGAGAAGCAACGTGCCATCATCGATATACTGAAGCTTATGAAGCATCTTACGTACAGTGCCAATACACTCCCACTTTGTTTTCTTTGTGTCTGCAAAGTGATTGAAATGACACTGGATCATGGCCTCAGTCTGTGCTCTGCAGATTGCTTCGCGACTTTTGGCGGTGTACTGATGTTTCTTTTCAAGGATCATGCAGCAGCTTCCCACGTCTGTGATTTGGCTTTTGCCTTTCAGAACAGAAGCGGACGGCGGCATATTGCTGATACTATGCACGGCGCATGGGCTTTTGTTCTGGTGCAAACCAAACCCCTACATGAAGGCCTCCATCTGACGATGAAAGGATACTCCGAAGGAGTAAGAGACGGTGATCCTTTGGATTCTACCAATTGTCTCATCAATCGTTTCGTGCTGCTTCCGTACATGATGGGCCGTTCGCTTGAGTCAATCATTGAGCAATTTCCAAAGATAGCTCCACAGTTGGAAGAATCTGGAATCACAAACAACATACTCACATTGAAGGTTTGGTGGCAAATGATGCTGAATCTGCAATTACCGTCAGTGAGGACCGCGACAAGACTGGAAGGAGAGAAGTTCCGTCAATCTGAGGAGAAAGCTGAAAGCAACATGTATATTGGTAATGTGAATCTTGCGATTGGTGAATTATTGCTATTCTTTGGGGAACACGAGGAACGGGCAAAGCGTCTACTCGGGGAAGAGAAGGGAAAGACGTATTCAGAGCTTGTTCAGGGATATCCTCCGCACGGGATCGAGACGTTCCATCGTGGCATCACCTGGTATGCCATGGCTCGAAAGACTGGCAAACGAAAGTACCAGTGCAGGGCCGCCAAAGTGAGAAAGGAGATTACAAAATGGGTGAAAAAGGGAAACCCAAACGCAAAGGATTATGATCTTTTCCTGAGAGCAGAGCAGGCAGTATTGGACAAGAAATACGACAAGGCAAACACATTTTACAAAAAGGCAATTGTTCATGCTGCTCGGATAGGTCACCTTTCCCACGTTGCATTGTACAACGAGAGGTTTGCTGAGTATCGACTTGAGGTACACGGAGACGGGGACGACTACGAGTACTATATGACAGAAGCTATGCGGTATTATGCTGAATGGGGTGCGCACGGCAAGGGCGATCTGTTGAAACACGAACTTTACAAAATTCATGATGCTTGAATTTATTTTATATAGCTGAAAATGGGAATATTGTATCTATACAAACTACTAATCAGGCTAATTTTACTACTTTCGTTTATTATAGCAAATGTTCTTCAATGTCTTTCTGCCCAAAGATTAAAAGTTGCCATGTCAGTTCGTCTCTTCTTGTTGTTGCTACTACGTCATTTAGCGAATGTATATGTTACAAGATCTTGCTACCTATAGTGATTACCTATTGATATGTTTTATACCTAAGTTTTCATTTCCTTTTTGCCCTTTCACCACCGAATGTTTTTATATATATTACAATCTGTACTGGTAGGACAGGACTATTATTGATAATATACATGTATATATTTTATGCCTAAAAGTTGTCATGTCCTTTTTGCCTTGTGAGTACACCATTCTTCCTCGTTTTGCGCACAGCAGGAACCAGGAGACAGACAATTTTCGTCAATGATGAGAGAAAGTTCCACTAGTAAAATACCCGTCCCACCACTTTCAAAAGCAACAAAAGAACTGGTATAGTAGTACGTACTATATAATTATAATAGTATTACAATTAGTATTCTATGATCTTGCTCATACTAGTAAGTAGTCCTACGTGTACTCACCACTGATATTATGCTAAGCTGTCATGTCCGTTGTTGGTCTTTTGACCACAGTCATCACTTTGCTCCTCGTTTGCACTGGGATCAGAGACAGTGACGGAAGTGCCGCCCCGCCACTGGGAAACCCACCCCGGTCGGCTGGACGTATATTTGGATTAATCCCTTGATAGGATTGGACGGTATCATAAATAGACTTTTCCATGGCCAATGACACAAAGGGCAAACCGAGCAATCCATAAACACCGACTGGCGATCGCACCACACGTTCCACAATTCTAGCAGTTCCTCCTTTGGAATGCATGTAACAAAAGGAAACAAAGGGAACCATGGCGGCGGAAAAGCTATATATCCATGCCACTTCGTTGGGTGCTTCTTGTTGGTTGATTTCAGTAGTAGTAGTATTAGTAGTTGTTGTTGTACTGGCTGCCGATGGGGACTGGTCGTTGGGATTTGTCATGTTGAATGTACTGTACACTAAACGGTAAAACGACAGATCGATGATGATGCCGAAATATATACTACCGTATGCGATATGCGCGTTTGCGTGAATTCCGAACTTTTGTTTTTACTGTTCTGTCGTCATCACGTCTGCCCGCTGTAGGGTTATTAAAAAAATTAGTTTCTCTGCTTGACAGCCTCCTTTGCTACAGCATGGATACTGCACCTGGTGCTGTAGGAACAGTGCACAATCTACAGTAGTAAAGAAAAGAATAGAGATAAGAGTAGGATTGGCAAGGTGCAAGGTTGAAATCTTCTAAAAGTTACTATATTTCCACGAAGGTACGTGTACTGTGGAATAGTAATACATTTTTTAAAGTCCCATCTTTGCCTTCTTGGCCAAATGCCGTGCCCGCTTGGCTCGTCGCTTCTCCGGATCATTGACTTCACGGAGGGCTTGACTAGCCTTGCGGCGAGCGACAATGTTGGGCACGACGTACCATCCATGACTGACATTTTTGCCATTGTCATCCTTCCTCTTGTCTTCCTCCAAAAAGCGGCCTCCCATTTGTTCCATGACATCGACAAGGGCTTGACTCATAGAAGTCTTTTCCTCATCCGTAGTCAAAGATGCATACAGAGGACGAAAGTTTTCCACTTCCTCGCGGTAACGCTTGTTTCCTGGGTGGTGGTTGGATTTTCCACCACGTCCAAGCAAAACGTCATGCTGGGAAATGATCACATAAGTCTTGTGTTCGGGGACCAACTTGGGGCGCTTCTTGCGTTTGCGCTTTCGAGCGGAAGTATTGGAGGTGATAGTGGCAGTAGGAGTGGGTGCAGGAGCAACTGGAGCGGCCTGGAGCTGACCAATAAACATGGATTCCCAGTTGGTTGGAGCAGCGGCAGCAAAGGGTGCAGGGGTGGTAGTCTTGGTAGGTGCGGTAGTAGTAGTGGTAGTAGTAGTAGGTTCTTCCAATTGGAACATGGCCGGAGAAATGGAAACTTCCTGATGAGTTCCAAGAAATTCCGTAGCCAGCCAATCACGGCTGGTAAAGAGATCATTCTTGGGAGCCTTGTAGGATGGTTTGGTTTCCGGGATTGGCGTCTGGTCCATCATGGAGGTGTGAATCGGAACTTGATCATCCTCAGATAGAGTTCCAATGGTCCAATCTTGACTCTTGAAAGCATCTGCAAAAGGGACAGGCTTGGGAGTATTAGTAGGTGCAATGGCCTCTTCAAAAGAATGCTGCATGGCTACGGCTTGCGCAATAGCGGCATCATCCACAGAAGAAGTGTTGGCGTCCCAATCCAAACTTTGAAAAAGCTTGGGAATGTGCTCCTGGCTTTGCAAGATAGGAGTAGGAGGAGTGGATGGTTCCGCCGCTTCCTCCAAAGAGTCCAAGTTCCAGTCTTCTCCTTGATAAAGGTCCGAGAAATCAGAGCTTTTGAACAGAGAAGAACCTGGAATAGTAGTACTTGAAAGGGCATCAGATTTGGAAGCGCTCTCTGCATTGAAATGACTGTTGAGAAAGCGTCCAAATTCGATGCTGTTGAAGCAATGCTCCGATTCGGTGGTAGTTGGTGTAGTAGTAGTAGTTTGAGTAGTGTTGTAGTTGTAGTTGTAGTTGTTGTTGGTTTGTGTTTGTTGAAAAGTAGTAGAAGTTTTAGCAAGTCGTTTGTTTCAGTATAATGTCCGACTCCAGACGGTAATACCTAAGCATGTCAATTAGCCCTGACAGCATGGCCGACTTTTCGTGGAGGGTCCGCCTCCGACGGGTGTCGTCTCTCAATAGAGCCCGTCGTCATCTGGTACGTTCTTTTTCAAAAGCACTCGTGTATGTAACAACATACTAAGCCCGCCGTAAATCAGTACCAAATCCTGGTGTTGCCGTGTCTTGCTCCCCGTGACACACAGACGAGAGCTCAACGATCAACACTTTCCTATTATTCTTGTTGTTTCAAGGTGGCTAGGAATGGGGCCGTTCTTTTGCAGGGGCAGATTCGCAGTTGTGGTGGTTCAACTCAAAAATCCATCTGCCAGAGATTTTGTGAGACTCACAGATTCATACTCTCCACAAGTTTCTTTGTTTGGCTGTCAGCGAAATCGACGCGCTGCTCGGTGCTGCCTGCAACGCCTCATGCGGGTTTGGAACATGGTAGTTTGACAACGTGCCGTGGCCGTAGGAAGGCTTCTTACGTTCTTACAATACTACCGTATACGAGAATCTGCCACGTGAGGAAAGGAATCTTCCTGCTGACTTAGTCGTGGCTTCGGTTGGCGACAGGACTTCTTACGTTCTTACAATACTACCCGGTACAGTACTACAGTCTACGAGAATGAATGAATCTGCCACGCCGTGGGAAAAGGAATCTTCCTGATGACTTAGTCGTGGCTTCGGTTGGCGACAGGACGGTGTTTTACGGCAAAGCGTGATTGATTTTCATTCATTCGTTCGTTCATTCATTCATTCGTTCATTCATTCGTTCATTTGTTCATTTGTTCTGGACCACCATCCCTACTGTAGCATGCCGCAGTGTTGTTGTTGGGCCCACGAATATCATCATAGGTCATCAATAGAGTAGCTGGCCTGTGCCTTGTAGGATAGCAGGTACTCTCCGTATGAAAGTCCTTTGAATCCTAATCCGACTCAAGTTATTTGATTTCCTTTATTGCGTTTGCGATGATCCTCCTCCTCAGTATAGTATATATGATGCATACAATTACAATATAAAGTGGTGATGTAGTCCTTATATATAATAGTATTTGTTCTATGTATTCTAATTTTCAAATAAGTGTTCTGCTTGCATGTTCATTGAAAGATGAACCACTTTTACTAGAACTGCGTTGGAGGAGGAAGAGGACGAGGACGAGCTCCAGCATTATCATGTAGTTATTGCATCAGGAAGAGATCATTGGTAATAGTACGTGTAGTACCAGGAAAGAACAAGCCAGCATCATCAGCATCTTCTTGGACAATTTTGATCGCATCTCCAAGGATGCTAATCAGGTCATCTTCGAGGTGATTGAACTCACATTTGATGGAGAGCAGCTCGGTCAATGGCGGTTCTTGCATGCTGGTGGTGCCTGCTGTTGAAGTTGAGCTTCTTGTAGTAGTTGCTGCCGCTGTGGCGCCGTATAGCATAAGCTGAACAAGTGAGTCGTTGACTGTATTCGAGTTCACTGTGGGCTCGTCGTTGCACCAGCTAGTACTTGAGTAGTAGTAGTTGTTGTTGTTCGAGTTGTTCGAGTTGCACCTGTTTTTGTTGCTGGTGTTGCTGGTGGTGCTGGTGGTGCTGTTGTTGCTATCAGAGACCATGATGATGATGTTGGATGAATGCGCTTTGTTTCGGTGGAGTTTGAGTTTTATGATAACACTATGTATTATATTGTGCATTCCTTTTTGTGAAAATGTGTGTGCGCAAATTTATTTTGCTTTTTTGTAATCACGCAAAAGTGCAATCGAAAATGCGAATCAATCATGAGGCTCTTCGTCCGCAGTCCCATTTCTTTAGGTACGGCACTTGCTGAAGAATACTGCAACGGTACGGGCGGGCATGCTGGCAAAGGTCTTTCACCCATCATACATCAATATGAGCGATACTACTTGGTTTCAGAATTCTTCTTTTCCTTGTTCTACTATTCGCCGGACAAGTGCGAACAGCCAAACATTGCGAAATAGTACTAGTACTGGCTGTTTGCTACTGTGCTCTACTCTATCCACGCTGAATGAATCAATCAATCCTGGTGGCTATGATAATTACTATAGTACCTACCGGCACTCGAATCAGCACAGTGACGGCACAAGCAGTATATGACGTACGATGAGCCTACCTAGTAGAAACGGGTATAAACTGCAATCAAAGTGGCTGGTTGGCTGGCTGTGCTGTTCGTTGTTCAGGTTCTTATTGGCTTGCTTGGTTTGATGCTCTAAAGTGTTGTTTCGTGGTCCTGCTATATATTTGAGTTGTTCTATGTGTTGTTATGATATATGCTAGTGCTTGTTGCTGCATCTGCTTGTGCTGGCTGGATCATGAAGGGTTTACTTTTACTGCCTAGGAGGAAGAGGACGAGGACGAGGTTCAGGAGGATGCGGCGGTTGCATCAGGAAAAGATCATACTACCACATCTCTATAGCCAAGGATGCTACTTCGCTAGCATTCCATCTTGATGGTGGTATGATGGTGGTGGCTGGTGGCTGAAATCACAATTGTTGGAGAGCAGCGATCCTGCTGGTTGTACCTGCGGGTACCGGTACTATATATCATCCATCAGTATAATAAAAGCAGCAGGCCTGTGCCTTGTATATATATTAGGATAGCACGTACTCTCAGCGATTTCGCGTTCCGAGAACGTCTGCTGAATCAATACGCTTGCGTTCCTGACGATCCTCCTCCTCATGCTGCAGAATCACAATTCACGACTTGTTTGGCTTTGTTTGATGATGTAAAGTGGTGATGTAGTCGTATATAATAGTATTTGTTCTATGTATTCTAATTTTCAAATAAGTGTTCTGCTTGCTAGTACATTGAAAGATGAACCACTTTGAACTTTTACTGCTGCCTTGGAGGAGGAAGAGGAGGACGAGCTCCAGCATTATCATGTAGTTATTGCATCAGGAAGAGATCATTGGTAATAGTACGTGTAGTACCAGGAAAGAACAAACCAGCATCATCAGCATCTTCTTGGACAATTTTGATCGCATCTCCAAGGATGCTAATCAGGTCATCTTGGAGGTGATTGAACTCACATTTGATGGAGAGCAGCTCGGTCAATGGCGGTTCTTGCATGCTGGTGGTGCCTGCTGTTGAAGTTGAGCTTCTTGTAGTAGTTGCTGCCGCTGTGGCGCCGTATAGCATAAGCTGAACAAGTGAGTCGTTGACTGTATTCGAGTTCACTGTGGGCTCGTCGTTGCACCAGCTAGTACTTGAGTAGTAGTAGTTGTTGTTGTTCGAGTTGTTCGAGTTGCACCTGTTTTTGTTGCTGGTGTTGCTGGTGGTGCTGGTGGTGCTGTTGTTGCTATCAGAGACCATGATGATGATGTTGGATGAATGCGCTTTGTTTCGGTGGAGTTTGAGTTTTATGATAACACTATGTATTATATTGTGCATTCCTTTTTGTGAAAATGTGTGTGCGCAAATTTATTTTGCTTTTTTGTAATCACGCAAAAGTGCAATCGAAAATGCGAATCAATCATGAGGCTCTTCGTCCGCAGTCCCATTTCTTTAGGTACGGCACTTGCTGAAGAATACTGCAACGGTACGGGCGGGCATGCTGGCAAAGGTCTTTCACCCATCATACATCAATATGAGCGATACTACTTGGTTTCAGAATTCTTCTTTTCCTTGTTCTACTATTCGCCGGACAAGTGCGAACAGCCAAACATTGCGAAATAGTACTAGTACTGGCTGTTTGCTACTGTGCTCTACTCTATCCACGCTGAATGAATCAATCAATCCTGGTGGCTATGATAATTACTATAGTACCTACCGGCACTCGAATCAGCACAGTGACGGCACAAGCAGTATATGACGTACGATGAGCCTACCTAGTAGAAACGGGTATAAACTGCAATCAAAGTGGCTGGTTGGCTGGCTGTGCTGTTCGTTGTTCAGGTTCTTATTGGCTTGCTTGGTTTGATGCTCTAAAGTGTTGTTTCGTGGTCCTGCTATATATTTGAGTTGTTCTATGTGTTGTTATGATATATGCTAGTGCTTGTTGCTGCATCTGCTTGTGCTGGCTGGATCATGAAGGGTTTACTTTTACTGCCTAGGAGGAAGAGGACGAGGACGAGGTTCAGGAGGATGCGGCGGTTGCATCAGGAAAAGATCATACTACCACATCTCTATAGCCAAGGATGCTACTTCGCTAGCATTCCATCTTGATGGTGGTATGATGGTGGTGGCTGGTGGCTGAAATCACAATTGTTGGAGAGCAGCGATCCTGCTGGTTGTACCTGCGGGTACCGGTACTATATATCATCCATCAGTATAATAAAAGCAGCAGGCCTGTGCCTTGTATATATATTAGGATAGCACGTACTCTCAGCGATTTCGCGTTCCGAGAACGTCTGCTGAATCAATACGCTTGCGTTCCTGACGATCCTCCTCCTCATGCTGCAGAATCACAATTCACGACTTGTTTGGCTTTGTTTGATGATGTAAAGTGGTGATGTAGTCGTATATAATAGTATTTGTTCTATGTATTCTAATTTTCAAATAAGTGTTCTGCTTGCTAGTACATTGAAAGATGAACCACTTTGAACTTTTACTGCTGCCTTGGAGGAGGAAGAGGAGGACGAGCTCCAGCATTATCATGTAGTTATTGCATCAGGAAGAGATCATTGGTAATAGTACGTGTAGTACCAGGAAAGAACAAACCAGCATCATCAGCATCTTCTTGGACAATTTTGATCGCATCTCCAAGGATGCTAATCAGGTCATCTTGGAGGTGATTGAACTCACATTTGATGGAGAGCAGCTCGGTCAATGGCGGTTCTTGCATGCTGGTGGTGCCTGCTGTTGAAGTTGAGCTTCTTGTAGTAGTTGCTGCCGCTGTGGCGCCGTATAGCATAAGCTGAACAAGTGAGTCGTTGACTGTATTCGAGTTCACTGTGGGCTCGTCGTTGCACCAGCTAGTACTTGAGTAGTAGTAGTTGTTGTTGTTCGAGTTGTTCGAGTTGCACCTGTTTTTGTTGCTGGTGTTGCTGGTGGTGCTGGTGGTGCTGTTGTTGCTATCAGAGACCATGATGATGATGTTGGATGAATGCGCTTTGTTTCGGTGGAGTTTGAGTTTTATGATAACACTATGTATTATATTGTGCATTCCTTTTTGTGAAAATGTGTGTGCGCAAATTTATTTTGCTTTTTTGTAATCACGCAAAAGTGCAATCGAAAATGCGAATCAATCATGAGGCTCTTCGTCCGCAGTCCCATTTCTTTAGGTACGGCACTTGCTGAAGAATACTGCAATGGTACAGGTGGGCATGCTGGCAAAGGTCTTTCACCCATCATACATCAATATTTCCTTGTTCTACTATTCGCCGGACAAGTGCGAACAGCCAAACATTGCGAAATAGTACTCGTAATGGCTGTTTGCTATTGCGTGCTCTACTATATCCACGCTGAATGAATCAATCAATCCTGGTGGCGATTTTAATTACTACCCGGCACTCGAATTAGCATAATGGCTGCGTGCCTTATTGGCTCACATTAGTCCACGAGTCCAACTAGTCGAATCATATCAGTCGAATGAACATCGATTACTCTTACATGAGTGCTCCTACCGCACAAACGCCCCCTTACGCAGCATGTCTACAGTAGTCTTGTCAATCTTACCAAATGTCGAGTACATCTTTTACCTTTGCTACGAGCCGACAATAATGGGGCAATGAGGTGGCGACAACCTGACGAATACATTCTTATCCAGACTGCATTGGAAGTTGTGTGTATCCAGTACACACCTTCTCTTCTGATGCAAGTGTGGCTACCGCGTTCTACCCAGGGAAGTAGTTCTCCATAGAGCTCATGATATCTCTTTAGCAATCTTTCTATCGGTATTGTGCCTAAGTTAGTTTTCATTCTTTTGTGGGAAACGGCAGGCGGCGCTTGTACTATAGGCCTTGAAACGGGTAAACTGCAACAATGTGTTGTTCGTTGTTCACGTTCTTATGGGCTTGCTTTGTTTGATGCTGTGAAGTTTGTTGGTCCTACTATATTTGTTGTTCTATGTATTCTTATTCTTATAAATGGAGCTTGTTGCTGCTTCTTCTTGTGTGGCTGCTGGATCATGAAGGGTTTACTTTTACTGCCTTGGACGAGGACGAGGACGAGGTTCACGATGCGGCGATTGCATCAGGAACAGATCACACTACCATCCCCATAGCCAAGGATGCTACCTCGCTAGCATGCCATCTTGGTGGTGGTATGATGATGGCGGTGGCTGAAATCACAATTGTTGGAGGGCAGCAATATTGCTGGAGGCACCCGCTGGGCGTCGTATCATCCATCAGTACCAGCTTGATTTATTCTGGACCAGCACCATCCCTAGCATATTGTAGTATTATTGTTGTTGGGCCCACATACGTCATGGGTATGATAGTACTAGTCCTAGCTTGCTTGTGCGTGTGGAGGGCATTTCAGCGCAGCACTGACTTGTAGCTACTAGCTACTAGTATGACAGCAGGTACAGTATTACTCCGTGAGTATGCGTTCAAACTTTTCAATCCGCTTGCTTGATACCAATTCGGCTTTGTTGTTTGATGGAAAAGAAGTGGTTGTGTGGTCCTATATATGTTCTATATATTATATGTGTTGCTTGTTGTATGAATGATGAACCAATTTTACTGCCTTGGAGGAGGAGCTCCAGCATCATGATGTCTTTGCATCAGGAAGAGATCATTGGTAACAGTGCGTGTAGTAGTAGGAAAGAACAAATCAGAATCATCAGCATCTTCTCGGACAATTCTGAGAGCATCTCCGAGGATGCAACTCAGGTCATCTTGGAGGTCATCACTGAAATCAAAATTGTTGGAGAGCATGAGCTCGGGCAACGGCGGTTGCATGTCGGTGCCTGCTGTTGAGCTCCTTGTTGCTGTGAGGCCGTAGTAAACCAGCTGAATAAGTGAATCGTCGACTGTCGTGATCCTCGAGTTCAGCTCTGCTGTAGGTTCGTCGCAGCTTCTTGAGGTGTTGGCAGAGGAGTTGTTGGTAGAAACCATTATGTTGAATGAGTGCTTTCTTTTGGTGGAGTTTGAGTTTTATGCTGTGTAGTGTCAAAATGTTTGTTCGTGTGCTTTTCTTCTTTTTTTCGTACCGGTAACACGTAAGAGTGCCAAAATGCGAATCAATCAGCAGCTTTTCGTCCCTTTTTCACAGCACTTGCTTCTCCGATGTGAGGCGCGACCTGAAGAATACCTGAATGATACGGGATGTGACTGACGTATGATGACGCGACCTTAAAATACATCAGAATTCTTCTTTCAGTGTTCCATTCTCAGGCAGCAGAAGTCCGAACAATCCCACCGAGCTCTATCCACGCGGAATGCGGTTTGTCCGATGAATCATTTGAGATGCTGCTTTTACAAAGGAAGTGAAAACTTCTCGCTATTATCCGGTACACTACCTCGTACCTGGTACTTGAATTCGCATGGTGGCAGCACAATGAGCCTGGAAGCGGGTACAATGCCGTCTCAGGATTTGGCTGCGTTGATCGGACACAACACTGTGGCTATGCATTTTCTAATTAACTAGAATGGCGATGAAACCTTTGGAGCCCCAATAAAGACCCAAGACTAGTGTGGTTTGGGAACAATATGTAACGGTAAGACGGTAAGTAGCGGAGGCCTTTTAGTTTTCATCTCTTTTTTAAAAATGTTCGGCAAGAGGTGTGTCTCTCAGGCAGACCAAAAAGGTGGCCTAATTTTTAAAAATTTGCCACGTCGTCCTGAAAACTGCACGGAGACAGCTTTTCAGAATTTTGGTGCGCCCTCTTTATTCAAAGTGATTTAGGGTGATTCGTTTCGGTCTCCCATTATCGATTGCAGACTTATTGAATGCGAAAAAGTTTTTTGCGTACGTCGGTATTGCTTCAACTCATTGAGCAGTTGGGTTGTGCCAGCGCACCTTCTTCGCTAATTTTTGAACAAAACAAACGACCCAAAATTTTTGAAAGAGCACACAAATCCAAAAACGATGTTTTGAAGCTGATCCTCCTACAGACTACAAATATTCAACCAAAACACAATGATGTCGTCTCCACTCCATCTATTCCTTCAAGACATGATTCAAGCAAAGACTGCCGAACTGGGTGCCGACAAGTTGCATGTTCGCATGGCGGAAGACAACGCCACTGCCCATCGCCAGTGCGCCAAGTCCAAGAGACGCAGTGGAAAGCACACCCGAAAGCACTCCTTGGATATCAGTGATCACACCAAGGGAATGAGCCGCTGGGAAGCAGGAGCTCGTTAAGCAAAGCAATGGCGGCAAGATCAAGATCGAAACAAGAATTCAAAGCCAGCACTCCAGCCGTATCATTATTCTTTTCAACGGAAGGGCGAAAGTCGACAAGAGAAGAGCGCAAGCAAATGTTCATAATCTGTGCTCTCAAGGCCCCCAAAAAGACAAGCGACAGTTACCTCTGCTTGGCAGAAAGGGTCACATTGCATGCAGCACAGCTAGCTATAGCTATTGCAACAATTTTTACTTTGATTGAAACATTTGATGTTAGCAAATTTAAAAGTACATAAATCAGTTTTGTAATATCATTGATACTCTACCTGGTGACCGAGTCAATAGAAACAGAAATCCAACGATTTTTCGGAAGCTACTTGCTAGTATCGGGGTAGCTACTGTACGGCACTGTTTATTGTACGCATGGATGAGGCGACATCTGCAAGGCTATCTGTTCTACAAGAAAAGTCTTGATGAAATATCTACTTGTATATGCTACAAATTGCACTAGCTGGTGCTATCGCTTCGCTCATTCATGATTCTTAGACATGCATGATTGTTCCCGCAAAACGAGCTGTGGATGCTTTCTTATAAAAAGCCAGACACTCTCCGATTGCCTGCTTCACATGCAACTTCAAGAGGAGTAACTGGGCCTATCTTGGTTTCAAAGTCGGCACCTGAATCCAGCATCAGCTGAACAGTCTCGGAAGAGCGAGACAATAAGGCTTCCATTCATCATTTGCCTTTGCACCTTTCTGTAGAAGCAAGCGAGCTACTGACAAGTCGCGGTTTCCATATGAAGCGCTCTGAGCCCTTCACAAGTAGTTGCCTCGAAATCTGCTCCTTCATCCAGTAACAGTTGAACTAGCTCCGCCTGTTCACTTTCACAAGCATTGGTGTGCTACCTCACCAGTCTTTGCCTCTAAATCGGCACCTCGGTGCAACAGCATCGTAGACAAGAGACGGCACACCGCAAGGTTAGCACTCCCAGTCACCAAATTGTGTAGTGGTGTGATTCCTCTCGTTCCCTCTGCTGCAACATTAGCGCTTGCGTCCAACAATGTTTGAATTAATTCGATCTTAGCCCTGCAGCAGGCTATATAGGCTCAACTGTGTGCATCCATTTATAAACGGAGCTTCCAAGTGAGCACCTCGGTTCAACAAAAATCGTGCCATGTCCCCACTCGAAGACATATGAAGTGGCGTAGCGCCACTGACTGTCTTCGCTTCAATGTTGGCGCCTCGGTCCAAAAGCAATTGAGCTATGTCCATTCTTCGACCGTCACCGTGACAAGCCAGGTGAAGAATTGTGTGGCCTTCGGAATCCTGAATGTCGATGTCCATACCTCGACCCAATAACAGTTCAATAGTTGCAAAAGCAGTCTCCTTGTCGGATAATGCTGAATGCAGAGCTGCAGCGCCAGTGGTGGTGTCTTTTGCTTCCGTGTCAGCTCCAGCATCCAGCAGCATGCGAATAACTTCTAGACCGCCTCGGCCACACTCATCGTGCAAGAGAGTATTTCCATCATCAGAATTTGCAACAATGTTCGGATCAGCACCACGTTCGAGCAGAAGCTGAACTATTTCCAGCTGATGCATTGTACATGCCATGTACAGCGGGGAAAAGCCATATGTATCTATTGCTTCCGTGTCAGCCCCAGCATCGAGCAGCATCCAGCAGCATCCAGCAGCATCCGAATAACTTCCAGCTTGCCTTCAAAACCCGCTTCGTGTAAGAGAGTAATAGTTCCATCATCGGAATCAACAACAGTGTTCGGATCAGCACAATATTCCAGCAGCAGATGAACCACTTCCAAGTGACTGTTTAAGCATGCTAATTGCAGCGGATGCCAGTCATCCCTATCTGTTGTGGACATATCAGCTCCTCTGTCCAATAGCAAACGGGCTAACCTCCAATCTACCTTTGTCACATGCATAACACAGTGAGGTTAGCTGAACATTTCCTTCCAAATTTGCTCCTCTGTCCAACAGCAGTCGCGTGCTCTCCGCTATTCACAAAATTCTTTCACCGGTTCAAAGTTTCCTTCTCCTGCAGCATCGCAGGAAGATAGATTGACTTCGTGTCTTACGTCTTTTGGGTGATGGAGAACGACTCATCCTTCTTGTATACTATTACTGGCAATGATGAAGTGTTCAAGGAACAGGATTGTGAACTATTTTGATGTTGTCATATTATGCGGGTTTGATGTGCATCGCAACCATAATGCCACACTGTATATTACAGTTTTATTCTATAATATACAGTACGGTCGTGTCTTCTTATTGATGTGACAAATGAAAAGTGTCTGACCACCCTTCCGTGTTCACGAAAATTTGCTTATCTCTCATCATATAACATGCCAATAATGTATCACTTAGTTTCACCATAATGCCAGACCCAGAACAACATTCTCAAGAGAATGTCAACAACAATAACAACAACAACAACAACAATAGCAATAGCAATAGCAATAGCAATAGTGACGCTATAGACGATGAAAATGATGATTATGATTATGAATTCATGAAATCCATGTTTGGTGGTGGCAATGATGATGATGATGACAGTAGTGATGATAATGATGATCCGCAAGTAACAGAATACTCGTGGTCCTGTCAACAAGATGACACCAAAGTGATTTATCATTTGGCCTTTTTGGCTCCCGGCCATGGAGATGCCGTCTGGAATTCGAGTGACTGCATTGCCCAACATTTGCTTTTAGAAGAATACCGAACCAAGAAGTTGTTTCCTTGTGGCAAATTTGAGTGGCCACCCGAATCGGCCCTTGAATTTGGTGCAGGCGCCGCCTTGCCCAGCATGATTTTGTTGAAAGAGGGAACTCGGCGACTACTAAGTACGGATCAAAAGATTAATGAAGAAACCTTTGATGCCTTGAATCTTTCCTTTCAAAAGAATGCACCACAATGGGGCATCTCGCAAGAACAAATACAAGACCGGGTCCGTGTGTTACCTCACTCGTGGGGTGTGGGCATGGATCAGTTGCGAGAGGCAGCTACAATCGATGGAAATGGTAATGATGATGATGACAGAAACGCTGGCAATATTCAACTGCTAATCGCCTCGGACTGCATCTACGATCCAACCCATCATCGAGCCTTACTACAGTCCGTGGCAGGCACCATGTCCCGAACAAAAGGTCGTTTTGTAGTAGGCTATAGCTTTCATATGAATGTACCACCGCATAAGGTGATGCAGTTCTTTGACCTTGCCGAGAAGGAGTTTGAGTTGAAAATAACTTGTGAATTCCAACAAGACTACAATGGCCAAGAAGGAATTGGAAACCATGATCCCAAACGAGGAGCTGTCTATATCAAGGTTCTGGCGCACAAAAATTCCGACTTTTTCTCGTAACAGCAGCAACTTGTAGAATATTAAAAAGAAAGAAAGAAAAACCATAGCTAGCTATCGAATAGGCCTATATATACTATACACGTGTACCCTGCTTGTAAATGGACTAGCAGACTTTTAAATGGACTGAACAGACAGGCAGATGAACAGATTAACAAATATCCGACTGATTCCAATACCTGATTCTGCTTGTGTGCTCGGTCCTTTCCGGAATTGCGTTGGGTTGTGTCGTGTATGGTTGCGTACCAGTCTTGTTCAAGGAATAGCAAAAATGAATCATCATCAGCGTCATCACTGGTAAAGTTAGACGTGATGAATGAATCGTGTTGGTATAAATGTTACATCTTATTAATAGTACGTAGTAGTGGTAGCCTGCCTTCCATGGTACGTGTACTGTGCTAATGGATGCAAAAGTTTCATCATTGATAAAGGTTGTTTGATCTCTATGTTTGTTTATTGGTTACTGTAGTCAATCTAGTGGCTAGCTCTATAGCAGAAACATCATCATTGTGAATGAATGATAGATGGATGGATGCATGCATGCATGCTTTGAACGTGTTATTGGTCATATTTGTCCTCAAGGGCCAACATATGTTGATGGATCTCGAGGAATCCCTTCCACTCTTCCCAGTTGGGTTGTCTGGTGTAGTCAAAAGGTGTAAACCCCCGCTTGTCTGGAAACAAGACTAGTTGTGGTGCCTCTTTAATGATAAGCTTGACAATGTCAAAGTTCACTTGACTAGCCCAGCAGGCATCGTGAAGTGGCGTCCGTTGTTGGTCGTCCACAATGGTAACATCAACCTTGGCCACTTGGACCAAATATTGAACAATTTCCAAATGCCCTCGCAGGCATGCAAGGTGCAAGACGTGTTGTCCAAATCGGTTGCAACAGTCTAGGTTGGTCCCAGCTTGATGGAGTTTTTTCACAGTCTCCAAATCCCCTTCGCGGCACGCCATACTGAGTTCCATGGTATACCCATCGATCATGTCTGGAGTATGAGTCCGTTGCTGGGATTTGCAGCACTCGACCACTTCCTTGGAGGAAAAACCGTTGGCTTGGTAAATGGCTTGCGCGTAGCTAGTAGGTGTATCGTAATCTTCACTGGCAACAGGGTTGCGGCTAGTAATGATGGATCTACTGCTGCCAGAAACAGTTTTGACTTTCTTGGTGAGAGGTCCATGTTGTTGTTCCTGTTCTACAGAGGCTTCATCGCTGGAGCAGCAATCAAGGCTTCGTTTCATGTTCATTGTTTGGTGTGTTTGTAACTTCTTTGTGTCTCTGAACTGTGAGTTTGTGTTTATGTCTATGTGACTACAACTGATGTTGGAGAAGGTTTGAATGTTTCAGAAGTGACTTAGCTCCTCTGTGCTGGTTTGGAGGACTTAGCCGATATGGCTTTTCGTGGTTGAGTCGGCTTTTTGCTTCCATCTGTCAATTTCTTCAAGCGAAAAAAGGTACCTTTGTGTCGCACTATATAAGGGACATAAACAGCTAACACAAGTTTCATTAAACGAAAAATCCAACGGCTTCCGCAGAACACACGCTATCATGACATGGGATCACGACATTTGTACTTGCGCTCGTGTTGACTCAATCTCACCGAAAGTGGAGTCGGAGCTCTTCCTGACGCCTCCAAAATTACTTATTGCATTGGATAGAAACCAATATGTCCTACCAACATCTACGGGATCATTCCCTAAATTTCCTCAGAACCACCTCATGGAACACCCAAGTCAGCATAGAAGAATCGTTATTTCCCGATGCTGAGTCAATTTTGCTGACTCAATCTCCTTAGGGTTTTTCCAAACAATTATACGGCTTTTTGTCGTTTTTCCTTCCGATCAAGCGCAAAACGAACCTTTGCCCAAAATCTCCGATAATTGTGCGGGAAAGAAGCGTGTCTTTGGTGCACAAAGCCTCCTTGTGTCTTGCATCCGTTCGAGAATCTGCGGACGGCCATTCATGCATGCCAATCAATGGATGATGGAGTGGAATATTCAATATGCGATGAGATGAGATTATGAGCCTGAAGAACGACCACTCCGAGCAGTTGGAATCGGTAACGCTTCAGTATGTTGTATAATAACTCTTTACAGTGATAGACTGCAGAATACAAATGACTCAGGATAAGGATAAAGCAAATTAGGTTTGCAAATAATCATCTTACTGGTGATTATGAATAGTATCCTTGGTGGGCACACTCTTTTTAGACACGAGTCTACTTTAGTACCCAGGAGTGAATCTTGTGATGGACTCCCCAGACATTCAAAATGGAACCGTTCCAAAGTCTACCAGTAAATTGATTCATTTATTAGATTGACAGAAGAGCAATAGACTGGCAGAACGTGGAAGAGCGCAAGTGGAATGTAGTCTAGAATTCACGCCCACATGGGGTAGTAGCTTGTTGGTACACAGCATACGTTGTATCGTCAGCAGGAATATTGATCATTAGCGTCAGTATCTCAAGTTGGCCAAATGGTCGCTGTTGAATTGCATACGTTACAGGCCACAAAAGACACCAAAGTATGGCATTTTTCATTGCCATGTCAGTTTCACTTGTCAGCGCTGAGGAAAAAGCTGGCAGCGGCCGCCACCATGTCCAACTTCCTTTCTGCTTGATGCTCTACTGGACGATGATACCCAAATTTCTGTACTCCGCCGCATCGCCAAAAATCTCCTCTGGTTGGAGTCTCCTTGAGATTGTTATGATCAAGAATGCTAAATCATACATTTGGCTGGAATGGCTTCGTTCTTCTTCCTTTGGCCAATGCAATACAGCTGCTCTCATATCTTTTCACTTTCACGACCTCTCCAATAGTTTGATCCATAGTCAAATGTCAGCTCTTCACCACATGCAATGTCACGACTGGTAAAGAAGGCACACTGCTTGATTCGGCCATTATTGTTGTCACTGCCATTCTCATCATGGCTCAAGAAGGTCAGTAGCATCCGCACACAGTTCGCTTTGGATGCGTCTTCATGATTCAAATGCACTGGTGAAAATACAGATCGATCTTGAGCTCTTTCGTAGCCATCCACATATGTATTTCCACCGTCCAATGTCATGAGATATTCGGTATTTTTGATAGAGTCCAAACTGTTCCGTGCTTCGCCTTGATAGAACCCCAAAAAGGTATGTTTGGGCAATACTACTCCTCCTTGCTCCTCGTCCATCCAATAGGCACCATATCCTTTTATAGTACCAGTATCTTTTATTACAATTGACGCCTCGATCAGTGGATCGATTTGACTCGCACTTGTCAATGCTTCGGTCATTTGTTCCAATCCTGGTGGTGATGGTTGCGTTTGAATCCGCAACAAACCATCGCTACCCTCATAGGAGATCTTTCCTCCACCTGGAAGTGGGATGGTCCATGCTTGGTAACGAGAAATAAATGATGACAATAGAAGTAATATAGTGAATCGAAGACTCATTGTGATATTACAGTATTAAATGAGCCTAGCTAGGTGGTGCATTGTAATAGTCATATTGTCACATGGATTTTTGATGATGTTGTGAAAGACTTGTTGATCCATTCGATTCATTCTTTCAGACGCTGACGTCACAGAGGTCAAATCCAAACTCAAACACTACCGGTATCACTTTGGTCGTCATCATCACCATAGCATCAGATCACCAATATACTGTATATTCCAATCCTCCAAGCTTATCATGAGGGTTATCTCCCTGATACTGTGCTTTCAATTATGTCTATTCCAAAATGATGCTTTCCAGTCTACACTTATTTGGCGGCAACAAAGGAGCAAACTAGCATTACTAAATCATCATGGTGTCATGTTGTTGCTTTCAGCATCCACAAATCCAAATGACAATGAAGAAGCCGGCAACCAGAATGGTGGAAAATATGCTCTCAATGCCATGAGAATGATACTCCAGCAATCATGGGATACTGAAACCATGGGAGAAATTCCAGCGGATGCCAATGTTGGTGCCAAGGAAGCCTTTGAAACGATTCAACGAGCCCATGCCGACGGAGTTTCTGTTTGCTTTGTGGATTTGCTCTTGCCAGCATACGACATCAAACAAGGACCCGAACTATATGATGAAGTCATGGCTGTGGAATACTGTATTGCTCTATCCGAGTTCTTGGATGGGAACACAGAAATTCTGGTGAAAGATGACAAGGTTCGCAACACTGTCTCCCGCATCTTGGAGGTCCGTGAAAAGGAGGCGGAAGAAGAACGAGAACGAGCCGCACAAGAGGCGGCCAGAGAACGGGAGCGACTGGTAGTGGAGGCAGCAAAGCGAGAAGCTGAAGTCAAGCGGAAAGCAATGATTCGGGATCAGATTCTAGCCAAAGAGGCGGACGATGAAGGGAGTGAAGACGAAGACGAAGATAATGAAAATGACGATGGTGGTGATGAACCATCCGGTGAAAGTGCCGATGCTTCTGACCTCGATGCTTTTCGACAAAGTCTCATGGCAAGCTGGGACAGTGAAGCCGATGATGTGGAACTAGAATCGAAAGAAGAAGCGCCATCAGAGCTTGGTGATAGAATCGTGGATTCTGATTCGGCTGGTGAGCCGAGGGAAGCAATCGATGAAGAGGCCGAGACTGAAGTATCAGCTACTACCCCAGTTACCTCTACTCCATATGTCAAACGATATCGACTTGCCACTCTCTTTGGCAACCGTGAGATTAAGAAATCAAGCGAGATGATGGAGCAGGTGGTCGAGACGATTCGCCAAAATGCCTTGCCACAAGAGGATGAGAAGAACATGGTCATCTTGTCGTCCCTCAGCATTCAAGAGACAGTTGCAGTCAGAAGTCTTGTCGACAAGTATCAATCGCAGAAGAATATTATCCTGGTGAATTGCAAGCTAGATCCATTGCCACCAGAATTGAGAAGCGCCCAAACAGTGTACAGCATTTTCCCATTGATCGCCAAGCCAAAGGGGCCTGTGGAATCATCGGATGAGAAGCCACCAAGAGTGGTTGTGTTGCGCCGATATCCGAAACCTTGGGAAATATACGTCGATATTGGAGAAGGCTTCCAACTAGCCGATAGCATCTCTCCTACAAGTCAAACGAAACGGGAGCTTCCATTAGAGCTCATTACAGATTCAGTAAGGAAATGGCTTCGATAGAAAAATGTGGTTGCAAATTTCATGAAAAGTATTTTAAAATTTTTCTATTGTCATAAATACATACATTTACATTGTCTTGTTTTCCGCAGTCGCTTCCAGGCGACATCCAACGAGCGAACGACTTTGTGTTTTGGTGCGATCGATCGATCAATTGATTACTCCAGACATAGTGCGCAGCATGAACATTCCACCTGTGGTGTAATGCCAGCACAATTTGCCGTAATAACAGGTTGTGGTTGCATATCGCACATAAATTCAACACTGCCCGTCAATCTATTCAAATGCAAAGTTAGTCTATCCAGGGATTTCAATTGACTCCATTCGGGTGGAATAGGCCCATCAAAAGCGTTATCATGCAGCGTCAGCACATTGAGAGAGCTAACGTTTGCCCAGCCTGCGGGGAGTCCGCCGACAAATTGATTGCTGTGAAGATCGATGATTTCCAAAGAGTCCGGCAACGCTGTTGGTTGCCCCGGAAGCGGACCACCCAACTGATTCCGAGAAAGACGTAATATTCTCAGTCTAATGTCTCTCGCAATGCTTGGAGGAATACTGCCCGACAGCAAATTTTGCCCAAAGTCAACTACCTCCAAAGAGGAAAAGGCGCCCATGTTCTCGGGCAATGTTCCCGTCAAGCTATTCGCAGAAAGGACAATTTCAGTCAACCGATTGTCGCCATCAAAACTATCCCACGGAAACTGGCGATTGAGTAAATTGTTGGATGCAACAATCGTTGTTAGGCTCGCCAAAGATCCAATAGCGGTGGGGATGACACCGAAAAACTGATTGTCTGACAGGTACAAGGCTTCCAAATTGGTCAGTCCTCCAAGAACACCAGGAATCCGTCCTGTCAATCCGTTTTGTGTCACATCCAAAACTTGTAGCTTCGGAAATAATTCTACAAAATCCAGAGTCCCTCTCATGTTGTTGTTGGTGACGTTGAACGTCCGAAGAGTTGGCATCATCAAAGAGCCAACATCGTCGCCTACCATCAATTCATTTGGACCCAAGACAATGATGCCAGTCAATTCATTGTATCCAAGGTTGATACTTTCGATGCTGGACAATTGCCTCATTGCGATTGGCAATGAGGAAGAGAGCTGATTCTTCGATAAATCCAAGTTTCTCAAATTCGGCAACTCAGTCCATATCGAATCCGGTATGGATCCCTCCAATCCATTATACTGCAAATGAAGGGACTCCAAATTGTCCCATTTCCAATCAGGTATCGTACCAGTCAGTTCATTGTCCTGAAAGTCTAGCGCAATCAAGTCCGACAAGGCCGATAACTCCGGAGGAAGTTGTCCTCGAAGATTATTACCAACTATCATTTCATAGTGTCATTAGTATCAAGCAGAAAGAGATTCAAAACAAACCAGCCTTTCTCTCCAATTTCATTCTTGACAGAATATCTAACGTACCTATTGATAACTGAACGATGGCTCGGTCATCATCACAAATCACTCCTACTGTTGTGGTACTCTTTTCTTCTCCTCCATTGTCATCTGTCTCTATTTCCATATTCCAGTCGCATTCATGTCGATCCGACAAGAAGTGCAGTTCATCACTCCATCTCAACTCTCCTTCCGTCGAGTAGTACAAGACGGCCAAACTGTACCGGGCCTCCCGCCGTGCAACATCGTTCACAAGATCCAACCCATTGGCACGATCCCTCTTGACCAGCCATTCCAAGGCTGCATATTGCGGTGTGGTTTCGTCCTCCAAGGATCCCGGCGTAGACAAGTATTCGAGTTGCGACCTGGCCTCCGAATAGACGTCCCCAAAGGCCGCACCAAAGACGTACAAGAGAATGAACATGAGACCTCCAGTAGATGAAAATAATGTAAAGAGAGCCGTCATGTACAACCATGCTTTGGGTTCCTTGCGATCTTTTTTGGCCTCTTCTTCCTTCTCTTTTTCCTGCCTCAATTCTTCAAGCGCCATGACCATGGACTGACTCATATTCAGCGCAGGTGGCGGACGAATGAGACCATCTGAATCCGACGACTCTCCATCCAGGGCTTGCAATTCGGCCCGTTCTTGCAACGTTGGATTCACGTGAAAGCCTTCCGACGAGTACCGACGAGGTGTAGGAACAACGCCTGGCGAACCTTTGGGATGGTGGCGTCGGTGGACCGTGACAAAGCGAGCTCCTCCTTGCTTGGGCTTGTTTGCATTTGGAACTTTGTAGGCTCCAATACTATTGCGGCGTCGTCCACCTCGACCATGATTGGTTTTTATACGTGACTGTCCAGTAAATGAATCGCGGGAATGACCAGTGTGTTCATCATAGGAATGATTACTCTTGGTAATTCGTTCATCATAGGTATGGTAACTCTTGGTAATTCGTTCATCATAGGAATGGTTACTCGTTTTGTTGAGTTCCTCACTTTTGGTATCCATCATCTTGACCTTTCGCTTGCCACGAGTTGTGTTTTGGATCGGCGACGAAATAACACCGGCATGATCGACTTTAGAAACCTCCACTGAATGCAGAGTATGTTCCTCTTTTGATTCTATGGTATCCGCGCCTAGGGTGTCATGCGAGCGCATACTTGTTTCTAGCGGGCCTCCGCCTGAATGTATACTCACGCTTTGTTCTGAAAAATCAGAAGAGATTTCTACAGCAGGATCCTTCATTTTCTGCTCCATTTTAGAGGCTTCAGCCATATGACGCTCCTGTCTTTGCGGTGAAACAGGCAGCGGAAGAGCATTGGTTGTGATTTCTTGAATTTCACCAACAGTTGTATCCGTCCGCTCAAGAGACTTCATTGGAGGTGGGACCAGCTCTGAATCATCATCTGATGCTGGTGGGGCCAGTTCTGATTTCGAATTGCTCAGGTGCTCTGATTTTGAGTTGCTCAAAGGCTCTGACTTTGAGTTGTTCAGAAGCTCCTTTTTAGAAGTCACTCTAGTGATCTCATCACCTGCCGTCTTCAGAAAATCCTCCGTGGTTGAGCTGTTCATTTTTTCTTCTATTTTCGAGTCATCCATTTGAGACATCATAGTATCATTATTATGATGACCCTCTAGAGTAATCCTGTCGGGACTTTGACTTCGACTTTGAACTTTAAGCTTATGCAATTCTGGATGGGTGAACCTTGAGCGCTTCTCGTCCCAGCGGGTTTGTAAGATTTGCTCGTGAAGAGGTTTGTTGTTTTTATTAATCTTGCTAAAGTATCCTGAAAGATTTTCAGAATACTGTATGCCGCTAAATTGATTGAAAATACGCTAGTCCGCTCTTCGAACCGCCAAGGGATACAATCGGTAGAAGACTGACAAGACGCTAGTGGTTTGAGAGGCGAAGGTAATAGTGTGATGATGTTGGTGCAGTACCAGTAAACGGCATTATCTTCGAGCCTGCCTCATTTCGGAAGCAAAGCGGGAGGATTTTACATATCGCAGCTTTGCCCGCCGACGTCTAGCTGACGTTTCACATTTACGACCATATTTTGGGGGATTCGCGTGAAGATGACGATGGTAGTGTACGTATTCAGCACGTAAATACCTTACCTACATTTTGAATTGGGGCTCACTTGAGACCTGACGTATGTAGTCGATCGAATCAAAGCATATTTAGAATTTGTGGAAATTTTGGGGGGACAAAATCATCAGCATTTTGGTTGGATTGATTGACACAGAGGTTTTCGCGATGAAGATCACTTTCACCTGAAGATAGTATCCACCGACAGATCTAAATTGCATCGCAACTCAGTCTTCGCCGACGCTTTAGATTCTTCAATCCAATTGAATCAACTTTAGACTTCTCAGCATCAAGAAGGACCCCTCAGCAGCCAAACCAAACTACAGCTTTGAACTGAAACATGGTACGAGGCGACAGCTTGCAAACGCTAGCAGGATACAACAATGCGAAAAAGAGCTTCCGACGAGGAGGACATGACGGAATCTTGACAGAACCAAAAAAAATCTTTGCCATGTTTGTTTTACTGGTGATCTTGGCCATCACTGAATCCATGAGATCCACTGTTGCAGTTCTGTACCACAATCATCACCCTCAGGACTTAGGTTCCGCCGCCGAAGAAGCGAAACCGATAATACGAAAGCAGCAATGTCCAGTTGGAATTTTCAACAATGATACGAAACATATGGACGTCAATCCGGAATGCCATCCTAATTCTCAGAAACTCTTGTCCATGGAACGAGTACCTACCACCAAAAAGATTACCTTCATGTTGATTTACTACAACGATCATCACCACCTGGCCCATCAATTACAATCTTGGAAGAATTTCTCTCAAATGGCCTTAGATCAGATGCAATTCTTGATTGTGGATGACGGGAGTGCTCCTGGCCACACGGCCAAAGAATTTCTTCAGGCCAACTATGAGTATGCGGAATCCATGGACATTGTCATTTATGGCATTGAACAAGATTTGACGTGGAACATTGGGGGTGCGCGTAACCTGGGATTCTGGATGGCCAATACGGAATGGATATTTATGAGCGATGGGGACATTCAAGTCTCTCGTGAAACCATGGACTATGTGGTCAGCCTGACCAACCAGAAGGTGGATAATTTTCCGGGCAACGAGACGGATCCTGCCACTCAATATGTAATGAATGTCTTTGTCATGTTCCAACGGTATCGTCCGAGTGGATTTAAACCACATCCTGCTGTTATGCTATTACCAAAGGCTTCTTATTGGTATGTAGGAGGCTGCGATGAAGATTTTGTGGGGTCCTATGGGTACACGGATCCTCACTTTCGATACAAAGTCGAAGTGGATCCTACCCTTCACTTGATCAATGCCTATCCCGACATGGACGAACAAAAAGTTCCGCCTCTTGTGGAAATGGCCGACGACATTGGATGTCCCAAAGAGGTTCAATGCCTTCCAGCCTATTCAGGGTTCAAGCCTCCAAGAGAAATTACGAAAAATCAAAAGAAATTCTTTGCGAAACGAGACAAGGGACTATGGTCCCACAAAGTCTTTCGATACACTTGGCATTATGTGTCATGGAAGAAATCATGGTGGAGTTGGCTAGTTTCTTCTTGAAAAGATACTGTAGTAGCAATAGCAACAGCATCTATCAAATGGTATTTTGATACTGTACTTCTTCAGCTTGGGTATTGTTTAGTTCTAAATAATTCGAAAAGTGAATGAGCCAGCAGGCGGATTGTGCCAACGGAGAATGCGCCGTTTGACGTTGTTCTTGTGTCATCGATTGTTACACCTATGCTAACACAGAGACGATATAGACTAGGTCCCAGTATAGTAAATACGACGTTTGCATCAATATGAATCGACAATTGTCTGGTGTAAAGAGCCGGAGCAGCAGTAGTAAAGGCTTCGATTTGAATGGGAGTGATGACGAGTACGATGATGTTGATTTGGGCAACGCAGGATGGGCTTCCTCTTCCAATAATGATGGTGATGTTGTCCAGCAGTGGACTCTGCGGATTAAATCCTTTCAAGACTTGGAGTTGCAGCTTCCTTCCAATGCTATAGTATCTGACTTGAAGGAACGGACCAAGAATGCCTTGGGGGATCGTGCGAAGAACCGGTACATGCGATTGATTTGCAAGGGACGACTGCTGTCGCCTGATGACTCGCCTATTCAAGATTTTAATGTCAATGATGGTGACGTGGTTCATGCTGTTTTGGCACAACCACAAGTGCAGGCTCAGCAGCGACGAGACAAACGAGACCATGTTGTGGATGCAAACACGACTACCAACAATACTACTACTACTAACAACAACAGTGATGGTTCCACACTTCAGAGACGCCAACGGCGGCGTGGACGTGACACTGTGGTAGGTCCTGGTGGTAGGGTCACTCGTGCCCAACCTCCTGAAGGTGAGGACTGGGGAAATAGTAGTAGTAGTGAAGATGAGGATACGGAAATGGGACGAGAACGATTGGGCTTTGATCGATTGCGAGGGAGCGGCATGTCCCGATCCGAGATCACTGCCATTCGAACCTACTTTTCGCGACAGGTCGATCGGCATATTGAACAGCACCCGAATAGCCACGATGAAGAACCAGATTTGAGAAGGCGGCGGTTCCTTATGGGTATGTATACATCGTTTACTCTTGTTTTGAACGTTGCTCATGTTCAGTTGTTTCTCACAATTTTTCCGTTGGCTTTTTTTCCTTCTGTCAGAGGACGATTGGATGGCTCTCCAAGGTCCAGCTTCCGAATTTCGATTGAATCTTAATCAGAGCACACTGCTTCGTTTCACCACTGGGATGTCTGGAGCCAATGGAATTGGTGGTCGGAATTTGAGGGTCCCGGCAAGGACCATGGGGACTTCCCGTGACTTTTATTGGGGGTTCATGCTGGGTTTCTTTGTTGGTTTTGGGATGCTCATTTGGGTGTGGGTGCCATCGATACCACATAAGCAAAAATTGGGTATCATGACTGGCATTACCATGGCCTTGGCGCTGGAAATTCTTCAGGACGAACACATTGATGAATTTGATTTGGAATAATAAAATATGCTAGGACTACTGCATTAGAATTAAAAAGATTAGTATGGTTGGAAGAGAAAATAGTACTATGCAATTCAGCTCCATAAGAATACATACTTGATGCGTTGCGAAAAGGATGAGTTCCTTACTATTGTACCATTTTTAGCTCTTAAGGGACTATACCGGCATCGGCTAGCTTGGACCGACAGTATGCTTCCTCCTTCTCGGGGTCTCCTCTCGCTGCATACCATTCCCAAAAGGGAATGTTGACTAATTTCCAGCCTAGCTTTTTTAGCATTCTTTCCTTCATGGCAGAAGCACCATTTATATCTTGATCTCCATAATTCCAATCAAAAGTGCATTGATACCGTCCCTTGTAGAAAACAACGGAGGACTCATGTCCTGCCACTGCGGCTTTCGTGGGTCCATTATCAATTTTGGTAAGAAAATGTCCAGGGCCGTCGACTTCAATGCCAATCTTGGTATCGACCTGAGCCAAATCCAAGCTTATCATTTCCGCGTCCATCGACGTGACAAAGACACCATATTCCTTTTCCATGGTAGCCGCATCAATCGTGAGTTCTTGGACATGATCAAAGCCTATCTGATCAAAAACTTGAGCAATCTGCATCTGAAACTTGCTGGAAACTAATTCCAATTCATATGAATCTTCGACTCCCAGAGGGCTTGAGACAATACCCTTATGTTTACCAAACACGTCACTCGTTAACCAACCCTCGGGGAAATTCGGAGGAAGAACAAAGGAATGATTCGGATTTTGCAATGCCATATTGGTTTGGAGGTAAAGCAATGACATGACAACACTCGGGTCCATATCCCCGTCCTTGTAGATACTCTTGACATAGGTCGGATCTGAGTTTTCGCCTGCTCCCAACAATCCCAAGTACAACAACTCGATCAGCTTTTGAGGATACTTATCGGAGACGGCGCAAACCCAAGCAATATTAGCAAGTTCTTGGCGCTTGAAGAGCTGCGACATCGTTTTGACTGACAATTCTTTTCCCTTTAGTTCATGTGTGACATAATCTTGCAGAGAGTCGAGCGATTCCGAACAGCAATAGTTCAGAGTTGCCATTGCCCTACGGATCAAGTCGAAGGAATAGAACAGTGAGTGGATGAGAAGGCACACATTTGTGGCTATACATTGCAAACGATAAGATACTCACCAGAGGCTGTTTGCTATCTCTTGACCAGTGAAATTGGACCCTCTTTTTTCACCCTTCATGTATCGACGAAGACGAGAGTCCAACTGCGAAGCCAGGGCACTTAGGAATCGTTCATGTCTCATTCCCATAATTGCAAAGGCCCAAGCCGTATTTGAAAGGTCTTGTGGGGATAATCGAGAAAGATTGTCTAATGAAAAGGAAAGTTTGGGGGTGTTGAAATTAGACAATGTGTTTTCAAACTGATGGGAAATTGAAAATCTCAATCTTGCTTACCGTGAACGTTCAAATCGGCTTCCGCAATCGCATAGAACAATTTTTGCATTAGGCTCTCTCCAACATCAACGAAACTTGCGCTGTAATGAGCCAACCGTCCTGTCATCGGAGCGATCAACAAGTCGTCCTTTCGACTAAACGACAAATCCGATGCTAGTTGAGCCTGTCGAGCATATGCCCAGGCAAGGTTGCCGATAGCCTGAGGCGAAAATCCTTCCAAACCACGACCAGTGATCCTTGCGTCATCAGCAGGACCTACAAGGTGCACCGCAATTGCCTTGAAAAGTGGAGGGTATCTGACTCCAAGCTGAGTAAATCACAAAACAAATATGAGTGCAAACTTCAAATTGCAGTACGATGCTTCATCAACACACTCCAAACGCTACATACCCTGGATAGACTCCACAACGAATCTTTAATTTCTTGCGGCTTGAAATCTTGAGGGCGTCTCATGAGTTCCTGTGTGGCGATCGCTACAACATTGGTGATTGGATCCCTTGACGCCTCGTGCGGTGGGGTTCGTGCAGACTTTTGCAGCAGCGTGTCAAAGGACTCGGCATATTTCGGAACCATACCTGCAGTCGCCAGTGCCCAGAGAACTAGCAGAACAAAGAATATTAGCCTTGTCAATCGAGTAACTATTGGGTGCCATTTGCTGTACTTACCGTTAGTCAATTCTTGAGGCTTCGTTTTCGAAGCTCGCCTCCCATTCACTTTTTTGGCAATCCCTCTGTAAACGGACTCATCAAGAAATTCCAGAGACGCAAATCCCCAAAGAGTCGTCCCGATATCTTGAGGCGTGACTTTACGCTTTGGATCCGCAAGCTGATTTCCAATCATTGTTAAGATCTCGTCGTCTTTCTGTCCAAGCCTGGCCAACGCCCATGACAAGTTGTTCAACTCTTGACTCCGAAATCGATGAATTACTTGTTTGGCTGATCTGATAGCAACTTTCACCGTGTCTTCCATCAGCAGCATGTCTCCCTCGAGGTCATCACTTGGAAGAAAAGTATAGTCATTTCCAGCATCAGAAGTGGTACCACCCTTCAGACCAAAGCCTATCGTAGCAAAACTCCAAATTGTATTTGTAAGTTCTTGCGTCTTATAATTCGCCCCATTTCGTTTGATGAGTTGCATGGCGCATTGCCGGACGACCCGGAGAGCAGCCACGCCTTCAGGACCATCCGCTTTTCCCGGCCGCTTGCTCAGTATCGTCGCAACTCCCCTACAAAATAATCAGAACATGAGTATTGGAAACATTTTCACTTTTTGCGTGGCACAACAGCAATGGAACCTACCATACAAGATTTGCTAGCTCTTGGGGCTTGAAAGCATCTACAAATTCTGGGTTGTCATCCATCAGCTTGGCAACGAATGGAATGAATTCCTCTTCTGGACCCATACATCCAGAAGTTGCAAGCGCCCTGACAAGGAAGAACAGATGAGACAAGGGAGACGCCATCAGTTTTCAAATGTTCAAACATACACGCGCAATTTCCAGCCACCATTTCAAGATTCTTACCACATGGAGTTGGACCATTCTTGTGGTCTCAAGCCTGCCGAATCTTCTACATCAACCGCCCGCAATAATGCGGATATCACAAAAGCAAAGGTTTCAGGGCAACACCTCTTTGTCGTTGCCATGGCCCACAAGAGGTTCGCATATTCCTGGAGCTGAAATCTATTGGAATTTATCGTTCTGGCACGATAGGATATGTGATCCAAAATATAGCCGCACAGCTGGGATAGGGCCGGAATCCAAGCACCATTCTGAGCATTCGGGTCCCCCTCTTTTCGCCGTTTGGCAGTCTCGTAAACCAGTTTTCTAACTTCTTCCGCCTTGGCGTACATGAGTTCTGCTGACACCTCGGTAGCATCGACTGGTTGAGCAGAGCTTGGTGGAGCTATCTTCAGCTTGGCGATTGCCCAAGCCATGTTTGATACTTCTCGATTCCCAAATCGCAAAGGCCTCCCGCAATCATCTACGACATCAGCTCCACCCATGGCCTCTCCTGCAGATGCCATGAGCAAAGCAAACCTCGGATCGGACAAGATCTTGGATCGATCGTTTCCTTCAGGATTTTGCCAGGCCCAAGCCACGTTGCGACCGATGCGATGCATCGAAGTGGAAAAGTTGATGGAATTGAGCTTGCTGCCGCCACCTACATTCGTCAGCGCGCCTTTGGTCGACGCCAAGAGATTTAACACTTCGGCAGCGTTCTTTTGTTGCGTAATCTTGGCGTTTAGAATACCATTTGGACTCAGGTGTCTATTATGACCGCCTTTCCGTCTATTCCCTTGTGAATTATTTGGTCGGCCCTGGTTTTGCCGTCGGTTTGTATCAGTTTGACCATCGGCAGAACTTTGGAATTGTCTTGTATCTAGAGTACTTCTGAATGACAAGCTATTTCTTTGGATTTTGTGATTTGCAAAGCTCTCTGAACTGTGTATCGCTGCACAGAGAATCAAAAGCAACAGTATCGATTGAATTGTGGTCCGTTGGGACGTTGAATGTATCATTTTGCTTACGATTTGAAGGTGCGCATGTGTGATGTCTCGCTTGTGAGAAAGTACTTTGGATGATTATTGATGGACGAGGCTGATGTTGATACGCGAACAAATTTGAAGTGTCCGACATATGGATTGGAAAACAGACAGGCGTTCGATGATTCCAGAATTTCGCACGCCGGCCACGAGTCGTTTTGAGAGTTCCGTTGTGGTCCACCCAAAAGACTTGTCACATAATGAAAATGAGCCAGCCGCGTTCTTGACACTCTCTACTTACTGATGAAGGAGGGGCAAGTTTTTGAGGTCACGGATCAGATTTTGACTCTCCGATGTCACACATAAATCAGAAGCTTCCATCACAACAGAATCACAATCTGAAGTCATACTTCTAGTTCGTTCGGAACTATTGAACATGAGAGGCCTTCTACAAATCATCTCAACAGTACTGCTAATATCCCTGGCTTCAGCAACAGAGTCCAACAACAATTGTCGGTTTGCACTTGAAGTCAATAAAGACAGCTACCTTCCTGCGGAAGAGATTGAAGTAACGATGACTCAATGTGATCCAGACTTGGATGACTTTGTTGCAATCTACGATGCCGACGTGGATCCAAATGAAACACGAGGTCATGTGACGTATGTAATGTGGATGAGGACGTGTGGATCCAGCTATTGCTCGGAACCTGCCGACTCGTCGACGTTCTTGTTCGGCAAAGGGCACAATAAGCACAGTTGGCCTCTGCCGATGGGAAGGTACAAGGTTCACTTGCTAAAGAAAACTGGAAAACGAGAATTCGAGACCTATGCTACTAGTCAATCGTTTATGGTAGAAGACCGTGCGCCGAAGCAAGTCAAGAAAATTGAAGTTGACAGTGTGTAGACAAAACAGTGACATGAGACTGTAGTTTTTTGGCCATTTCGTTGGCCGAAACGTCTCATCATCGATGAATGAATGGAATTGTTAGTGTATGTGTGAATTCGAGGCCAGGTTGCTACTGCCTTTGAATTGTGGTATGAAAGCTGCTGACACTCGACATCGATTCGATCCTACTGACGTATGTTGTCTAAGATCATGAGATTGTCTGCGTCGCCGATCGGATGGGTGTGTCTAAAGAATTGCGAACTCAGCATATTAGAACTATATAAAACTCATTTTCGGATCATTCCGTTGCGTACTGTATGTGTAGGATGTTGGCGCTGTTCTCATTAGAAACTCAAACTTGTCTCTTAGATGATGTTACATTTGCCATCATTGATACTGTCCGAAAATAATTTCACTCTTTCAGTTTATAATCTTGCACTATTTCTTTGCTCCACGTCGAAGCAGCACGTACTAGTCCAATATCATTGCAACGGAGAGAGCGAGAACCGATTGCTAATATAGATTATTCATATTCACCATCCCTAAATATATCTTAGTCAAATCGTGGTATGCGATCGGCCAATTTAGCACTCGCTGATCGTGACCTCAACAATCCTTCTTTTGGGCACAACCACAATGTCTCCAACTATACCTACAATCTTCTCCCGCAAGCAGGTTGGGCGCCCCTACCATTTCAATTTGACCATTTTGGAACTATCATCCACGTTGATCCAGGACCGCATCCAATTGGTCCATGTCAGTTAGTCCAAGAGAATCCGGGGTGCTGCTGTCAGCAATTCGGTCACCGTTTCGAACAAATCGGATATACTTTTTCTCTATTCCCTTTCTTTCGGCATATAGCTGGAATACAGCACCCATTGAATGGTTCCTATTCATCTTGAAAAACGCCTCTCCATTGGCTTTATCCTTAATGCAAATAGTAATGTCTGCTGGGATCGGATTGGCTGCTCTGGAGCAATCGCCAAACATAGTTCTCTTCTTTTCCTCAGGAAAGTCCCAAATTGCACGGTCTACATTCTCCGATCCAAACTTCTTCAATAATTCCGAGCGTATTTTCTCGTCTCTTGTCTTCTTTGCCTGAATTTCCAATGCTCCATCAGCATTGTGCAAGACAACCCGACCACATAGCATCATCATATCGTGGCAATAGTTGCCAATGTCGAGAATATGCTGACGCCACATTTGATCCACAAGGTGAGAAGGCGATAGTAGCTTTGCATCCCAGTCTCCAAAGTCCTTTTTCAATGACAAGAACTGACGGTACGCCTTGAGGATAGTCTTGGCCTTTTCCAAGTTCCAACCGTAGTTTCGCATGCATCGCTTGACCAAGATTGTAGCTCCTTGATTGCCACTGTAGTTGTCAAAGTCGATCATCCAAAAAGTATTCTCATTGAAATCAGCTTCACGATTGGTGACAAAAACAGCCTTTGTATCAGCGGCATCATCAGCGCCGGCATCAGGATCGTCTTCTCTTGCGCGTTTACTGGAGTTGGGAGTGCTTGTCATCTTTGTCATACAGTAGTGTAGTACAATAGTGGTTTGCAGCGAGTATGATATTGTTACTATGCAACTGCAGATAAACCTACCCTGATCTGGGATTGTGACAAAAAATGTGAATGCAAAATTTACCGTTAGGTTCGATCAAATGGATTGCAATATAGACCGACGAAGGCCGTACGCCATTCGACTGTCATCATAATCCTAATGGATAACAGTATTGTTCTGTAGCTTACCTGGGTACCGGTAGCGATGATAGCCTACTGTAATGCATCGAATTGATACGTCTGTTCACGAGGCAACCCAGCTTTTCCTAGTCAAATTGGGTTTGGAAACCCCGTTAGATGGCAGGACCGTCTCCATTTTTGGCACCCAACACCACCACCACAGTCTCCTCTCCATCCACAATATATCGTCTTCCATCACAAGTAGATAGGCAGCACTAGAAAATGCTGTTCCGTGATCCAAAGCTGTGTGTAGGCACCGGACAGTCGACTTTGCCCAGCCGTCGTGGAACTAGCATCCACATTTATCCAGGATCGCATCCAAGTATTCATCGTCAGTCATTTCGAGAGAATTCGGAGTTTCGTGGTCCTTAACTTTGTCGCCATCCAAAAGAAATACTAAATCAAGTCTCTTTATTCCCTTTCTTTGAGCATACGCATTGAATGCTTTACCCATTGTAGTATTTCTTTTGATCATGAAAAATATCACTTCACCGGCTTGGTCCTTAATGGAAAACTTGATTGGTTCATTATCTGTCAGGATTCCATTGATTGCTCTACGGGAGCGAACACTGGCAATACAGTTGCTAGCCTTTGGAAAGTCCCAAACTGCACGGTCTACATTCTCTGATCCAAATTTCTTAGTCAATTCATCGCGTGTTTTAAAGTCGTCCCTTGCTTTCTTTGCTTGGGTATCCAATGCTGCTCCATCAGGATTGTGCAAGACTACTCGACCACATAGCATCATCATATCGATGCAGTAGTTACCAATGTCCAGAATATGCTGATGCCACATTTGATCCACAAGGTGAGATGGTGATAGTTCCTTCTTCAGTGTCAAGAACTGACGATATGCCTTTAGGACAATCTTCGTCCCTTCCAAGCTTCAATTATGATTTCGCATGCAACGCTTCACCAAGACTGTAGCTCCTTGATTGCCATGGTAGTTGTCAATATCCACCATCCACCATGTATTCTCATTGAAATCAGCCTTGCGATGCCCGACTATTGGCCTTTCCAATGTCCCCATCCGCACCAGTATCGGCATCATCTTCTCTTGAGCGTTTCTTGGAGTTTGTAATACTTGTCATCTTTATTCTTTTGTACTATACTGTTGGTATAATGCTGTCAAGCTGATACTGTATATGACTGCCAAACCTGTGATATGCGTTATTTCCAGTCGCATTTTCATTTTATATGTGAATGCCAAATGCGGTCCTTCCTTCGTCAGCCTATTTACAAATTTTCAGCAAAACAATGATAAATTTTGGCGAAGTCATGATCATATAATTCCTATGACAGTTTCAGGTAGGATAGGATTACTGTGTAACTATAAAACTTACCATCGCACTCGGGCTGCTTGACAGAAATGGCCAGGACAAATAACTCCAAGAAACGCGCCAGAGAAGGTGATTCTGATGCTGGGGCTGATAATGGAAGGGCTGCTTTTGCCAGCCAGCATGGGACGAATCCCGTTCCAACAATGCTAAACTACCAGTTACAGGCACTTCTTCCTGAAATCCACGTCAGATTGGCATCCAGCGAGAACGCAACGCGACAATTGATACATCAGGTCAGTGTTTTGCCACAATTGGTACAGCAAGTCAGTCGTTTGTCAGCGAGTGTGGAGGGGCTTACAAGACAGATGTCAATGTCGGCCGCTTCAGGCAATCCACAACCAGCAGCTGTGCCTGCTGCAAACAACACTGCCATCAACCAGGCAACGAATCAATTGGGACAGCAAGTCGGCGTTTTTCCACAACTGGAACAGCAGGTCAGTCGTTTGTCAGCGAGTATGGAGGGGCTTGCAAGACAGATGTCAATGTCGGCCGCTTCAGGCAATCCACAACCAGCAGCTATGCCTCCTGCAAACAATACGACCAACAACCAGGCAACGAGTCAATTGGGACAACAGGCGAGTCATTTACCAGCGAATATGGAAGGGCTTATGAGACAGATGTTGGCAGTGGGCGCGTCATCTTTACACAATCCACAACTGTCAGCTATGCCTCCTGCAAATACTACTACCAACAACCAGGCAACGAGACAATTGGTACAACAAGCCAGTCATTTACCAGCGAATATGGAAGGACTTACAAGACAGATGTTGGCAGTGGGCGCCTCATCACAACTGTCAGCATCGGCTGCTGCAAATACTAATAGTACCAACAACCAGGATGACGAATGGGGAATCAATCATACAGTCCAAAAAAAACACGAAAGCGTACGAAGTCTGTATGATGAATGGTTTGGTCTTGGCGATTTTGATGGTGTTCCAATCCGTGGAGGGATAGCTAATTGTGAGATGAAGTTTGGGATACAATGGAGGGACAAGAAGTCGTCGAATCGGATTTCACAGCAGAAAAGGATTTGCAGGGTGTTGCAAAGGGAGGTCGATGGAGGGAAGGCGCTGGACGATGTCTGCCGTGAGTGGGACAAGGTATACATCCAACAATGTGGAAAGAACATCACAAAATTTGTCGCAGAGTTGCAAGAGCGGGGTCACATACGCAAGATAGCAAAACGCGGAACAAGGAAATCCAATTGACCGAAGAAACTGCGGCTACATGTTCTTTTACTTTATATTTTTTATTTTTTATTCGATGTGTATTGGACATTACTGTTCGATTCGATGGCCACATACGATCCATGATTCATTCCTACTTATCCATGTCATTGGTGCATGAATTGTCATTACATTTGTGAATCGAGTGACGTAACCACTATTTTTATATAAAACTTGAATTGAATGTGTTATGAAAGCTGTTATGAAAGCTGTTATTGACACTCGACATCGATTGATTGGTTCGATCCCACTGTAAAGAATGAGATACTGTAATCTGAGCCGCCGATAAGATGGGTGTGTCATGATTAGAACTGTGAACTCGGCGCATTAGAACTCCAAACAAATCATATCCTATGGCTCTATTATGGCTTTTTTCATACAAGAATCACAGACTTGTTTCATATGAGGGCTGGCATATATTGAATATATCAGCATCCACACCGTTTCTTCTGTTGCACGTCGAAGCAGCGTACCAGTAGTAGTCCAATATCGTCGCAACGAGAGAGCGAGAACGGAGAGAATGCTATACCGGTTGTTGGGATGCGGCTGTGTTGGATGAGATCACTCGAACAATTCGTCGGACCTCACCTACCGCGGATCATGGTGACGATCCACCTGTCTGTTGGTTGCGCCCACTTGCCTGTTGGTTGCGCCCGCCCATTACGGAAGTTCCACCATATTATGTTTAGAAAGTCCCACTGCCATATCGGAAAACGTAGCTTTTCGAATGAAAACATACTGCAGTCTCGCTTTACCATCCACATACAAAGCTTCGATCACGAGTAGTAGGCAGGAAACCTAACATTCTGTTCCATTATCCAAAAGTTTTGCAGAGACACCACAACGCTCAGTTTGCTCATCTTGGAACTAGCATGCACGCAGACGACGTCTTGCATACACTCGATCCGTGTCACTCATTTCAAGAGAATCCGGAGTACAGCTGTCACGAATGCACCCATTGCCTTTCAAACTAAAACTGTAATTCTTTCTCTCGAGCCCGTCACGTCTTGCATATCGCTCAAAAAGAACAACAATTCTCGTGTTTCTTTTCATCCTGGAAAAAGTAAGTTTGTTGGATTCAAGAATGCCAATATCGACGTGTCCGTCGTCTGGGATCGGATTGGCTACCCTAGAGCAATCGTCAATATCAATATTCTCAGGAGCCTCCAAAAAACCTCCCTCTTCAAGCTTTACATTCTCTGATCCAAACTTCTTCAATAATTCCGAGCGTATTTTCTCGTCTCTTGTCTTCTTTGCCTGAATTTCCAATGCTCCATCAGGATTGTGCAAGACTACTCGACCACATAGCATCACCATATCGTGGCAATAGTTACCAATGTCCAGAATATGCTGATGCCACATTCGATCCACAAGGTAAGAAGGTGATAGTTTCGTTGCGTCCCAGTCTTCAAAATCCTTCTTCAACGACAAGAACTGACGATACGCCTCGAGGATAGTCCTTGTCTTTTCCAAGCTCCATCCACAGTTTCGCATGCATCGCTTCGCCAAGGCTGTAGAGCCTTGACTACCACTATATAGTTGTCAAAGTCGATCATCCAAAAAGCATTCTCATTGAAATCATGGATACGAGGAGGAAGAACCACCCCATCCGTCGCTGGATCTTTCTTGCTGGCACCAGTCATCGTCTCACTTATTGTGATCGTTTCGAACCCATGTCTTGGTGTGTAAATTTTAAGTTGCAGGTTTTGTCGTGCGAACGTTTGTGTATTTTCAAGTTTTCCATTGATAATATAGATACCTAGACTAGTGCAAACATTGGTTCAACGGCAAAGCAATGGGATTAACACAGCTTTTTGTATCACCACCAGCCCCGCGCCCAGAGCATCAAGACCGTCTTCTCTTGCGCATTTCTGTAATACAATGCTGGCCACCTTTGTCCTCTATATAGTACCAGTAGGTACCGATAGTTTTAAAAAATGGACATCGTCATTGTCCTTCCATCGTCGGTTCGTCATTTTTGGATTTCAAAACAATAAGCTGTGTTGTTTTATATACGGTAGTATACACTATTGATGGCCACGCATAATATATATATACATATATATACGATCTATGATTCTTCTCCATTCTCGCCCATGTCATTGATCTTCTTGAATATCAAGTCTTCTGATGCGTTGAAAAGAGAATAACATGATGAAGATAGTAGGCTGGAATCCAGGTCATTTTTCAGGGCGTCGCAAGACCCTCAAACGCAACAACAATAAGAAAAGTTCGATTGGATTAATGACTATTGTTTCCAGTGGTTTCATGGTACTGGGAGTCTTGTATGGGTTGTTTCTTCTCTCTCTTCCCTCTTCTATGGGCAGATGGAACGGCCATCTCGCAATTTCAGCTGCTGAAGCCGAAACGAACAAGATATTTGCCACTCCTTCAGACACCTGTCAATACCGGAAATATCCACCACGACGATACTACGACTTATTATTGGAGGAAAGCAGTTTGCCATCCTTCTTGGAAGTCGAATATATCTATGGTGAACTTCCTCAATTATTGATTGATCATGGTCATCATTCGAAGAATGCCAACAAGAAGCTCTGTGTCAATCAATCGGAATGGCAAAACAATTCAGCCAACGATGACAGATTGCCCTTTGCCGATGGCACCAATCCCTCCTTGCTCAAAATTAAAAAAGACTTGGCAATATCAGCACTATTGCCTAAGGAGGCCTACTATTTGGCCACCATTTGCATGACCAATTCGCAGTGTGCCTGGAAGGATACCCGGGAAGAACAGCTCGCCTACAAGATTTCCACCCAAAAAGATCCATCGACGGTCCGAACCGTCTTGTTGGTCTTGAATGAAAACTTTGAAACTCTGGCGGAAGCTACCATTACCACCATTATGGATGCACCGACTTTTGGAAAACAACGGATCCAACAACCAAATGCGAAGCAACAAGAAATCTATTCCTTGGACGATGCTAGACTCTTTTACCACAAGGACGAGATTTGGGTATCCTATCGAGAGGGCAGAATATTTGGTTACGACAAGCAAGTTCTCAACAAGGTGCATATTACATCGTCGTCGTCGTCGTCATCGTCATCGTCAAATGTACTGCAAGTCACGCTCCAAGCATCCGAAGTAGAAACCTTGTGCTGTGGTCGCAACATGGCGCTGATGGAAAATGTTCGCACACAAGAATTGCAAGCCTTGACGTGGGTGGATCCAGTTACCGTTGAGAATGTTCCACTCAAACTAGAACAACAATACCATCGTCGTCTCACCGCTGTCAAGAACAACAAGAACAACAACAAAAACCAAAAAAAGAGTCACTTTCATGGAACCAATGGATTCATGGTGCATTTGCCACACACAAACGAATTCTTGGGCATTGGTCACTTTCACCGTCCACCCTCTAGAGACTTTGACAATGAGTATGCTCGGTTTGGTCATCATTACACCCATGCCTTTTTTACTATCTCGGATGAGGCACCTTTTCGATTGACGCGATTGTCTCCCGAGTTGCTCCTTCCCAGTGCGGCCAATCCAAAAGATGCCGAGATTATTCAATTCTGGAGTGGATTGGAACTGGTCGATGATAAGACATTGACATTGGCCTATGGAATCAATGACTGTGAGGGAGCTGCAAGGTATCTATCCATGTCGACGGTCAATGATCTTTTGAGGCCCGTACCGCAAGGAATGGAAGTTGTGGATTTGATGAAGCCGATGAAGTTGATGATTTCTCAGCACTGATACTATTATTATCATGTTTTATCGGGTTATTATAGTTGCTAGTACTGCCTGGCACACCATGTGAGTCAGTGATTCTGAAAGATTGGTACTGGAAAATGGTTGATGGCGGGTGCAAATGGTAACCAAAGCTTTTACGAACGTGCGGCAAATTCCTGATTGCAGAGTCCCATATTTATAATGGATGCAGCCTTATTGCCCCCACTCACAGCATTGGCAACAGTTCGAAACATGGTGGTAGCATCACCAACAGCATAGACTCCATCTACGGTTGTCTTTTGAAATCCATCGACCTTGACGAATCCATGTTCGTCCAGTTCACATTTCAACTCATCTTGAAGGATATTCTTGGCATTGAGTTCAAATGGAATTCCGGCATACATGGCCTTGACTGGTAGCTTGGTTCCATCTTTGAGTAGTATCGTAGTAATGTGTCCATTTTCATGTTGAATTTCCTGGACGGGGGACGCCATGACTTGGACACCATTCTTTTCAAAAAGTGCTAGTTCCTTCTCATCAAAGGTGCCACTGGATACAATCTTGATATCTGCAGTGAGGTTCCGAACCAACGGAAGCATGTGCATGGCTCGTTCTTTTGCCATGAACATGGCCGTCGGCTGGGAATGAAACTCGTATCCATGGCAGTAGGGGCAATGGATGACTGTGGTGCCCCAACATTCTTCAAAGCCTGGAATATCGCTTGGGAAGGTATCCGTGACACCACTGGCAAAGAGAAGAGTCTTGGATTCCAGAGTATTCCCCGATGCGGTCTGCACTTGAAATGGATACATTGTCGTCTCAGGAGCATCATCGTCACCACCACTTTTCTTTTGGATGGAGACGACACGATCCTTCAGGAACTGAACAGTCTTGTACTTGTCGACAATCTGTTGTTTGCCAATAGAGGCAATTTCATCCGGAGCAGAACCGTCTCGAGTCAAGAAATTCTGAGAATGGGGAGTGAAACGATTGCAGGGCAAACCTTCGTCAATGACCACAGTTTGTCGAAGACATCGTCCCAAACAGAGCGCAGCAGATAAGCCTCCGTAGCTTCCTCCGATAATGACGCAGTCAACAAGATTCATGATTATAGTATGGTATCCCTGTTTTTTTGGCTGGTTTCAAAGGGTGAAGAATCGACTGTCTTCTTCTTGTCCAGATACTTTTTTATGTTGTGCGACAAAGATATAATTTGAAACGTGACGCCACTTGGAACAGAGTCGAACACTTGCAAAGGCCTTACGAACGCCAGGCGAAAGCCTTATCATGAGGCCAATATAATAATCGCCATCGAGAAACAAGCACAATCTTTCGTAGAATTGTCACGGCACCTACGACCTTTCAAGCCATTGAATAATTGAGTTTACAGGTACCAGATGCGGCGCATTCGCGTGCATGTGTCTTCTTGAGTCAACTCTTTCAGCAGCAAGAATGTGTACTATCGAGGAGTTCAGCATCGTTGGATACACTAGACAGTGTAGTAGTACAAATAGTAAATGATCATTTAATTGCCGATTTATGCTACGGTAGCTTTAGATATATCGCGAATACTTGGGGGAAGACCCTGGTACCGGTACTGGTACCGCCAGGACTTTGTGCAATGTTCGACATTAGACGAACAGGTCCGTTCCAATAAGCCAAACTGCGTACGGTAGTCATACCAGTGTTCGTGATACGACTACTCTGAATAAAATGACTTCCAACTTCGCATCTCCAAAACCATACTATTGTTTTGAGAATATATAATAAAAGCATCAACACTACATCATCACCAGTAACATCACCATGACGACTGAAGTAGTGCAAACGATCCGCAAAGGAATCACTATCCTTTCTTCACTCCCAGTATCCGTCTCTTTTGGTTTCTGTTGCTTCATCTGTATCCCACAAACAATGTTCATTATCAATGTGACACCCTACATTCAACAGGAAACTCTGCCCGACAATACAGTGACCTGGTGTCTTTTGGGAGCCCAAGCCTTGCCTGTTTTGGTTCTGGCTTCGTGGGTCATGGGTTTGCTCATCAATAGAACGGCACACGCTTGGTTCAGCGTCGAACAAAAGGGAAAATCCAAACGAGACCAAAAGGATTCTTCACCGGGCATCAGTTTCGCCAGCTTTCAAGCCAACGAAGCTCATGCCTTTTTGTATCCCATGATTGGATATGTTTTGATTTCATTAATCTTTTTGGGAGCCATGGTAGCCTTTACGAAATTTTGGGACGATGGATTGTCAGTGTCCTTTGCGCCAGAAGCCATAGTGATGGTGTTGGGGAATTTGCTGGCTTGGATTCTCGTGCTCTATCTGTACACGGGCATTATTCTCAGTGCCCCCATCATAGTCCTCCATCGAAAGGGGGTCATTCAAGCAATGCGAATGAGTTACAATCTAGCCAAGGACGACCAAACAAGGTGGGAACTATTAGCCTTGCTTATCTTTTTCCTGATGTTGGGAGCTCTGCTCGACTTGGGACTGGAGATGACAGTGCTACGAGGAATTTTTGGCAACTATGACAACACGAAGATTGCATATTGTGTTCACTTCAATGTTCTTCTGATCCTATTGTTGCCGTTGTATTCAAGGTACGTATATTTTTGTGGCCAACCTATATGGCCGAGCGAGATTGCAAAAAAGGTCTTTTGGTACTGACAATGTTTGCTTCTTCTCGATCCACCACCACAGTGTCTTGACTGCGCAATACTACAGTGTCAAGCTATCAGAAAGAATACGAAAGCAAAAGAGAGGAGGGGATGATATCGGGCTAATGGGATTTGAAGTAGACTAATGACGAATCAATCAAGATGAATGTCAATATACTTGTTTCAGAACTTTTGTTCTTGCGCTTTTATTCGGTCGATCCATACTAGTCCATCCTAGTCCATCCTATTCTGCTATGGCGAGGCACTATTAGATTGCCATTTGGTCGCCCATTCTTCTCCCAATAATTCCCCTAGCTTTTGGTTGTACGGCTTGATGGCGATCCTGATGCGATCTTCGGTAGCCTTGGATAGTCGATACATGTCGTCACGCTTGCCATCGGGCCCCGTCGCTTGATTGATGGTCGTTTTGTACTGTTCCAGCGTTTTGGGTTGTAGATTCATGAATTTCAATACCCGGTTATAAGTCCCATCCGGATCCTTTCTCAAGTCTTGATTGTCCAAGGCCAAAAAGTGGTCCTTGGCTATTTCAGGAGACTGATGAATCTTTTCTAACACGTCCAAAAATGGTTTCAATTGGATGGCATAGAGCCCCATTCCAATGGGCGCATTCAGCCCAAGATGAATGTATTTTAGCCAAGCTTGCTGACATTCTTCGGAATCCCAAAAGGATTCAAAGTCCACCTTGTTCCAGTCTTGCAAGACACCCACTTCGTAGAGAGCCTCCAAGTCGTTCAGTACAAACTGATCCAAGGACGGCACTGGATTTCCCCAACCATTGAGTAGAACGGTACTAGTACCGTCCTGCTTGTTGTGTTTGGCATTCTTGACGACTCTCATTTTCATGTCGTATTGGGAAATGGCCCGATCAATGGGATCTCGTAGAATGCAAAAGAGTTTGACCCATGGCACTAGACATTCAATGCGGGCTGGAACTCGATCACTGTGCATCATGTAATTGGGAGTCATGTCCAGCACCATCTTTTTGTGTGGGTTCTGTTGATAGGCCATCTTTCGTCTTGCAAAGTAACGCTTCATCTTTTCATCTGGATCCCAGCTTGGTATCACCGCCTCGATGGATGCCTTGCGAGGAGGAGTATTTGACTGTTGCTGTTGTTGTTGCTGTGCCTCTTTACGACTACCTGCATTATTCTCCGAACCATCATCATCAACACCACGGGGACTACGTTCTGGTCTATCAGTATTTTCTTCTTCTTCTTCTCCTCCTTCTTCCAACAGCTGTCGTCGAGGAGGACCGCCCGGATTCCGCTGGATATGCCGTTGGCCCTTGTTGACCCGTCCATGCTTGCTGACGAATCGTTTTCTCATTTCTAGTCGTCGTTTCCGTGTCTCTTCCTCTGTAGGAATAACGTCTACTGCTCTTTTCTCACTGTCACCACGAACAAGACCGAGCTGTTGTTCTCTAGTGGATCGTCTCTTTATCTTTTGCGTGATCCCCATTGTCATTTGACTGTATAGATCTCGACCTCGTTTCCGTGGCAGTTTTATTGCGGCAACATTGCCGGCACGTGCTTCCTGAAACAAGTGATAATCCATGGCTTCGTCCAATACATAGAGTTCCTTTTCGGATCGTTCAATGTCATCATGCTGGAATAAATATTTGGACAGGGCCGTGGTTCCTCCCTTTTGGACCCCCAACAAAATGGCGGTGGGCAGCTTGCGCTGGTAAATTTCCAATTCGGACAAGACGGCATCTTCTCCATTGGCGTCACATGTTGGTACTGCCAACAGATCCCAATCGGATCGATTGTGACCCTGATGGGATTCCCGATTGGCAAATCCAAAGTACTTTGCCTTTTCCACAGCAGGTCCCAGAGCAAAATCAAATATCAATTTGGTTCTCCATTCTTTTCGTGGTGTATTATTTGGCGGTTCTGGTGGTGAGTGAGAAAAAGTCGTCGTGGAGGAGAGACTTGGATAGTGATAGTCGATGGCATAATAATTATTTTGCTCATCATCCATAAAAGAGGACCAGATCAACAGACAAACACCAAATCCCAACAAGACTTTTCCTCCTCGTATGACATTTGTTTGGACAATATTAATGCTGCTGCTGCTTCTGCTGTTGGATGATTGTGACAGCTTTCGTTTTCTTCCTCCTCGTATTTGCATTTTTATTTTTTGTGTATCTGTTTTGCCGTGTATATTATGCCGTCGTAGATTCTTCCAATCGCTGCAATAGGAAGATTTATTGTTACCAAAGGTGAAGGGATAATAATAATGATAAGGAAGTGATCGCTGTGCTCTGACCATATGATACACACACAATAACAGGGACGACGGTTAGGAAGAACTGAAAATAGGCTGATGCGAGCGGGCAAAAAATGATAAGAAAAAGAGGACCCGGATCCAATTCCTTTTTTATCAGCACGCCTGCCATATAACTCAAACCAATGACAGCTCTTCATATCAGAACCCCCTGAAAATATAACATCAAGTTATTTCAATAACGCCGATTTGAGATTGCTATCCATTCATTCATTCATCCACACATGCAAAATCTGTGTCACAATCTCTCCCAAAACTATCTTATCTCCTGGGCTTCAAAAGCAGATAACGGAGATATCGATACTGTGCCTCTTATGATCGATTGATATATTCACTACCAGTTGATTGGTTGAGTTAATTTATTGATTTATTGATTCATATGCATTGAACTTTCTTGACGGTCGCTGTTTTTATTGTTACCTCGATCGATCAATCATGACAATGTCTTTTGCTTCTCAAAGACGTTCCACCGTTTCCAAGAACAACAAATCAGCAACCAAACAGACTCATCAAATAACGGGACGAAGAAGGAAACCAAAACAAAATGGACTAGGAGGACTACCACTCATTCTTCGTTTGACATTGATAGTCCTATTATGCGTCATCATCTTGACCGCAGCAGTCCTATTGCGATACTTCCTTCAGAAATGTTTGCTACTGTCAAAGAATAGTCCTCTAAACTATTCGGCAGTCGAAAAGGCCAAATTCTATGGCCTGTCCCAACGAAAAATGAATTCGGGACAGGGAGATGCTTCGTTTTGGAGCAATTTGAGCAATGCGACCTGTGACGATCAAGGAGCTTACGAAATGTTGGAATTGGGAGAAATCCAGCGATTGCAACTACCACGAGCCATTTTGATTGGTGTGCAAAAGGGAGGAACTACAGCTCTCTTTCAATATCTGGATCAGCATCCATCCGTGGAACGAACCAAGAAGGAACTCTACTTTTTGGACGAAGACATGGACCGACTAGTCGGCCATGCCGGAACGATTCCTCGCAAAGTGGCACGCAATCTATATCATCAAAAGATGAGAGATGGAATGGTGGAAGCTCGGGCACTGGAGAAGCAAAAGAATCGGCACATGCATCAACTAAAACAGAAGCTAAAACAGAATGGTGGTGCGCAGCTTGCTGATTCTTCTCTGGCCGACAACAAGCAGCTTCGTACTAGGCGCTTGCAACAAACAGACAAGTTATTGCCAATTGTTCATGGAGAGGAGAATACACAGCAGAAGGAAGATCTCGACGACGGCTTTAGTCGAAGTCACCATGGTCCACCGCCGGGCGATGGCCAAATCAAACCAATCAAGAAAAAGACCACTCCTGCTGCTCTGACGACTAATAAATTTGTCATGGACCTGACGCCCAATTACATGTTTCACAGCGATCGAGTTCCCAATCGAATCAAGTGTCTGGTGCCATGGGTTCGTTTGCTGGTATTATTACGGGATCCAGTGGCTCGAGCTCGCTCTCAATATCAAATGAAACTGCAAATGGTCTTGCCCAAGAGTCATAATTCCTATGGAAATCCAATACCATCCTTGGACGAGTATATTGAAAATGATTTGAATGCCTTGGAGGAAGTCGGAGTCTTGAAAAATTGGACCGAGGTTGACTTTGAATCCTTTTGGAAGTCCGAGGAGTGTTGGAAGGCTTGGCAAACCTATATCCACAAGGGACTCAACGCTCCTGTCGGCATGGGATTGTACGCACTCCAACTGAAACCCTTTTTGGACGTTTTGGTAGAGATTCACCACGGCTCATTGGAATTATTGGCAAGCCATGGAATTCTCTCCGACTACTTTTTGGCAATCGACAGCCGAGACTTGCAAATGGAGACCGACAAGACGTATCAAGAAGTGCTGAAATTCTTACGATTGCCATCCTTTAGCTTGACGGAATACGCAAGGGTCAATAAGGCAAGCAGCAAGGATCATGCGCAGCTGAAGTCTAAATTGTCACCAGCGATTCAAAAGCGCATGCAAGATGCGATTGCACCCTACAATCGGAAACTTGGGGATCTGCTTGGAGAAGAATGGAAAGACAAATGGACAAGCCGTTGATATGGATGGGCCTTTGCTAGAAACAAACTGCTGAGGACGCTCATGAAGGACGCACGATAGGACACATTGGCTTATTGCGAAATCATAGACCTGGCAATCTTATTCTGAAATGATGGAGGGAGGTTTCTTAGTAATCGAACGAATCAATCCACCGCTAATTCCCTGCCGAGCATAATGTGAGAACAAACCACAAACGTCAGAACTCCGGCCCTCCTCACATCATGCAGCAGTATGCACTGAAGAAGGACAGCTCTACCCAGCAGCATACAGTATCGAGTGCAACCACTTGAACGGTCAACCATCATGTCCACAAGCAACCTACTTTTGATCAATCAAGTAAATTCAGCAGTATCACGACGTAGATTCCGTTCGAGCAGAAATCTGTATGTCCCGAGGGTTGAAGAAGGCGCCGATGGGGACGAAAGCGACAACATTTCAATCAGCAGCTCCCAAATTGCAGACAATCGAAAGTTCATCCTTCGTCTGAAGACTTGGGCGACAACGACGAAACAAAGCAGTAGGACGGCCACTGGCAAAGGCATTGCGCGTCTTGTGGAGAAAATTGCTCATGATGACCGAGTTTCAATCGAGGACGAAAACCTCATTTTGGAAACAATCTCGGTCCAAAGAGGATGGTGGGCAACTTTGGTGGTGATGGACACGCTTATTGTTGCGCTGTCTACGGCAATGTTGTGTTTCGAAGATGTCACTGACAATGGGCACTGGTCGGAAGCTGCCGGGGAAAGGATCCTCTTTGCATATCATGCACTCTTGGCACTGTTGTTGTATATCACGGTTTGCCATTTGACGATGGTACTCCTGGTATCAGGACTAAGCACGTACATTTTCGAAGTGAAAGGCATTCTCACGTTTTTTGTGCGATGTCACAATTTGTTGGTGCACGTGAATTTTTCCGGAATGATCTTCATAGTTCCAGGTTTCTTGTTTGTTCCAGCTTTGGCGCAAGTGTATTCATATGGGCTTTGGCATGCAATTCCGTCCATCGCGATGTGCTTGAGTACGTTTGTATTTATAGCCTGGATGTATGTGCGAGTGATCAGGCCTCTATTTACTGGTTTGTACAATGAAGAGTATGACATTGGGCCCCTCGGCTCCGAAGTTGGCGATTTGGAGAAAAGGTAAAAATGGCGTAGTCATGTAGTCTGCATAATGCCAACAATAGCATTAGTATTAATTTATTAATACTACCTTTGAGACTTACTTGCGATGAAATAGCTGGCATACCGTCTGCAGATTGTCGGTCAGGTCTATTTTAGTGTCCAAATGCAGGTGTATTTTTGGTATTTGATGTTTTGGTAATGAGATTGTCTAATAATACCGGTACATGTAAAGCACTCGGTATGTATACATAGCATATCCTCGTCTGCAACTTTTGACTATCACCACAGAGATGCATTCTAGTATTCATTTGTAGTCTTTGTTTCTCGCATGTCACAAGGCAAGAAATTTGCCGCTTTGGCTTCCGTTTTTTTCACCTCAGCCAAGCAAGACAATCCGGAGGCAGCCAAGCAAGCACTTTCACCACAGCAACGGGATGTCTACCACATTTATCGAACTATGCTTAGTGTGGGAATATCGCCTACTCGTGTTAAACTATTGATGCTACTTTCACGTATACCAATAGAGGTGATACATGCGGTGATGGTTCAACCTACGGATACAAACCGGAAAGTTCAATCAAGGAAGCACCACGAGATGGAGCATGAGCTGGATGCAATGGCGGCATTGATGGTCAAACGAGAGCAATGGGACGAGGCCTATCGACTGTATCGACAGATTCTTACACTGAAGCGCGAGTCGCATCACCGTATGAGTACAATTAGCAAGTCCAAAGACCATGTTTCGATTCATTCTACGTACAATCATTTGATCTTTGTATTGTTGAATGAACATGTCGGAAGCGATATTCCAAATAGATTTGAAAAGGCCATGGAGCTCTATCAAGAAAAGCTGGATTCCGATTGGGACAGTTTTTCATCGATAGACTATCGGGGGTCCGGCTCCTGGGAGTCCTGTCAGCTCCTGAATTCTGTTTTACTTGATGGAAGACGCAACGATGCTTTGTTATGGTATCAGCAATTGGCGGAAACCAGAGAAACGAATGGCGATGACGCCAATTTAATCGCAACCATTTACCACAGAATGGCACTATTGTTAGACAGAGCGACGGATTCACCTGAAATTCCGATGGCATTAGAGCTGTTTGAAAAAGCACTGCAGCTATATTTGCAGAATCCAAGGGATAACTTGGACAAGATCGAAGTCACCTGCAGCAAGTTATTGAATCAACGAAACCGACAATCGGATGGTTTGTTGGGACTGGAAAATGATCAAAAGATCTTGGATCTCTACCACCGATTGGTAGACGTCTACACAGAAGTCTGTGGCGAAAGTGATGTGATGGTGGCAGAAACGTACATAAAAATTGCACAGTTCTTGGAGTGGCGGGGCCGATTGGAAGAGTGTATCGAAATTTACCAAAACCTTGCTGAGGTGCAGAGACGGACCCTTGGAGACAAAGACATTGCTCTTGGCACAACGTACATTCGAATTGCATGGCTTTTCAGACGTCAAAACAACTTGGAGGAGACCCGAAGGCTGTATGTTATGATATTGAATATTTACCATTACCACTACGCAAAGGCAGATGCCAGCGTTGTTGCTCGAGCTTATGTCTACATGGTTGACCTTCTCCTTGAGTTAGGTCACGTGGACGAAGTAATTGATTTGTGCGAGCGATGGCTCCGTACTTGCGAGGACCGGATCTTTGAAAGCGATGCATCCACAAGCTCAAACAGCAGCAGCAACAACGAGTACAGCAACAAGTTGGCCCACAGAACCCATACCTCTCTTGTCAATAAGCTGATAAAAGGGGGTAAGAAAGATGAAGCCATGGGCGTTTGTCAACGATTCTTGGACATGTATAAGGCAGTCTTTGGCGAAAAGCCTCATCCACTAGTCGTCCATGGGCGACAATGTACAGCGAAAGTGCTACGGGAACAAGGAAAAGAAGCAGAGGCGGTCGAAATGGAGCGGTTAGCCAATGGAACTACCATTGCTTTGATTGTTCAGAAGACATACTTAATTAATAAAGGAGGAGAAGACGCTGTTGCATCGATTTTGAAGCAGACCAGCCAAAATGCAAGCCAAAAGCCGGCCCTCCGAAGTGAGACGAAGGAGTTTCTAAGCACACTACAAGGGTACCTTGACTGCCGAAGTAAAATGGATGCCAAGTACCGTGAGATTGACGAGTTTCAGGTGATTGCAAAGTTTGAATTGAAGACCGACTCGAATGGCATTATAGTACCAGTCGCAAGTAGGAAAAATAGACCCTTATTCAAGCAGAAGTACCAACAGCAAACAGTGAATGGACAGCCTGTTAGAACTCTGAATGATTTGTATGCTGCTGCTGAGATTGCATTGCCTGTCTTTCAAGAGACGATACAGAAAATTGTGTGCCTCGTCCGTAAACGATCGGACATTTCTGAAGGCGATATCATTATCAAGTTTGCAAAGCTAAAAGGCAGAGATCGATCAAGTAATAAGGCAGAAGACGACTACTCAAATCGAGATCCCGGACCAGGCATTTCATGGCTGTTTGATATTGTCCGAGGAAGTATTGAGTTCACATCGGCGGCACAAGTGAGAGCATGTCTCGAGGTTATTCAAAACGATGATTCCATCCACATTGTCAAAGCTAAAAATCGATTTCAAGAACCGACTCTTTCGGGATACCGCGATTTGAATATTCAAGTTCGCATCGACACCCAGCAAGGATTCTTTCACATTTGTGAAGTGCAACTTCATCATCAAGCAATTCTCTTCTTGGACAAGCAACTGAAGTCTCACTCGTACTACGAGTACTTTAGAAAATATTTCGCCGGCTCAATAGGAAGTCTCCAAAGCCGTCTCGAGGACTTGAGACGGATCAGTGAAGGGGGAGTCATAGATAATTCTTTCTTGATTCGATTGGTGGAAACTAGTGACGACGAAGAGCGATTGGAACGACTTGGATCCTTGTTCTGGCATCAGCTGTGCGAATACAATTGGGCCCTTCGAGTTTACAGGAGGATGCTAGACATTCAGCTCGAGGTTTCTGGAGCGACAGATTCCTCAGCTAAAACATACCTAAAGATAGCAATGCTGTTGACAGAAAAAGGGAATCTGGATGAAGCATGGGAATTGTGCAAAGCTTGCCTACAACTTCGAAGGCATATTGATGGGGAAGAAAATGCAGCATTTGCTGAAGTATACATTCAAATGGCACTGATCCTTACCTACAGACAAGGTGCTTTTGATGATGCGTTGAAACTATGCAGGCATGTGCTTGACATCCAGAACGCGACATTTGGACCAAGCAGTCTACCTGCTGCTGATACTCTAAACCATATTGCAGACAATCTAGCAAAACAAGGCCAACTCGAAGAGGCATCTAGTTGTCTAAAAGATTCGATTGAGATCAAGGCGAACAATCTGGGCGAGGAACACTCTTTAGTTGCAGTTGGGTTGCAAGTAATGGCCCGACTTACGATGGATCGAGGCAAACTGGAAGAAGCTTTACAGCTGTTTGATCGATCGCTAGAAATCACGAAGAGGACGCTCGGGGAAGAGCATTCATCAATCGCCAAGATATACAGAGGTAAAGCGCGTGTACTGCACGACCAAGGCAAACTGGATGAAGCACTACTTGTTTACAAGAGATCACTAGAGCTCTTGAAAAAGAACTATGGAGAAACTCATTATCTTGTTCTTGATACATATGCAACGCTGTCAGATATTCTTCATCAGCAAGGAAGAATATCAGAAGCTGAGGAGTACAGCAACAAAAAGCGAGATGCCAAGAGGAAAAAACTGGGTCTGGGTGGAGGTCAGAACATACTTTTTTCGGCAATTCAAAGTCGCAAAGGCGGGCACACTGCTTAGTCTTTGAAAGATGCATTGAAGTGAAAAGAAAACAAATCGTGAAGGTTCTCCCCGCCCATTATTCAACAATGAAGTGCACACTACTACATTCGTATGGTAGATGGTGCAGGATGATGACTAGCTGTTAGTCGGCTATGAGAGCAAGTCGTGCTCGCTGTACTCCATCTCTCATAATTTGAACAGTATTTTATAATCTTATCATACGGAAGGAAAAACTGTCACAACAGTATGCCAGGAGAGAACATTAGAACCAAACCTCAAGTCATCATGAACCTAGCTATGCAACTACCGATTGCGGAAGAATTGGTTCTTTTGCCGCTTGAGCAAGTGACGTTTCGACAATGAACTGGCGCTGATTGAGCTGCTACGATTGGCTGGTTCCAGCCCTGCAGCGCTCTGTCGCATAAATGAAGGTCTTGGAGCTATCAGCTGGATTTCATCGGATGCAACTTCATCGAAATTCTCATGAATGGCCACAGTGAGTGGTGAGCGACCAATGCCAAAGAAATAAAGGGCCTCTGCTGGGATTGGTACATCATGAAATAGAGGCTCATCCGCACAATCTGGATGGGCAACGGCATCAACACCAAGCGTCGATGGTGGGGCTGTGATGCATGACAGGCAACCAAAACATAGCAGAAGGATGACGCCAATTGCATGCGACAACTATCGGTGTATTTCAAAGAGAAAGCAAATGTTAGTTCAACGCCGCTTCTCTTATGTTCATGGTAAGACTGGCGACTAGCGACAACTTACTCCAGCGGACAATACAGATGTTTTACCAAGGTATTCATCCCACAGTAGCCATACTGCTCTCCAAAAGTTCACCACTCCCACAGCGAGAATCACCGTCCGAAAACGACCAGCCAAAAAGTTCATTGCCTTTCCCGACGTTGGATTGGTTGGTATTTCGGTGGGAATGTGCATGACTACATCTTCGCTCCCGAGAAACAAAAATCCCAGTCCGATTAGGTAGCTCCACAGGATGGACATTCGTACATCTTCAACACTGTCAGTGAATCCCCAAAGAGACTCATCCATCAGATACCTGAGAAACACGTCGAAAAAGCAATAGCATTGAGCACGACACATGGACAGCAAAGCAGGGAGCCGCCTCGAGAAGAAAGTACTCACCAGAATCCCCTCCAAAACGCAACCACGCCCCATGGCAGGATAATAAAGCTAAAGAACATATCAAGTCCCATCAACCAAAAAGGATCTTCATCATTCTTGGCTTTCCCAGCTGGCAAAGATATGGATCGATACGAATTCACGATTGTGTTTGCCAATGGCGGGGAATATTTTTCTGGTCCGTCCACCAAGAATATTGCGGGTGGAGCCAGCAAACTAGCACCGGAGCATAGGGCATAGCACACGAGGGCTCCTAGACCAGCACTCCATCCGAAATTGGTCACAGGACCCACATCACTCAGGAACCACCGATCGAGAAGGTACCAAATGCCGTGCCAGGTATTGACCGTGGCAAAACCTAGAATGTATACAATCAAGATACGAAGAACAGATTTTCGAAGAGGTACTGTTGTACTCTTCCACCAGCCTCGCCACTGTATTCAAGGAGTTAGAAAAGGGTTGCCATAGCGAATTCATAAAGCTCCTAATCGAATAAGACTTACCACCATGACAAATCCAATTATCAGCAATATCGAACCGATCAGATACGTCTGCCATGCACTTTGAAATCGTACTTCTGATTCAGATTCAACTGCTGCGAAACAGAAAGAGTCCCCAGCCAGCAAGCTGGCGTTACTGGGCTGCCCGCAAGTCCAAATGTCCAGTAGCACCCAGGTTCCCTAATATAATCAAGATTCATGAGTTACAAAAATCAGCTTGCCGTTTGGTGGATCGTTGCCAAAGCTTTCTCTTCGAGCACTTACTCGCCAATAGGACACCACCAAAAATCCAATAACATTTGTGTATAGCCAATCTTGGACGAAGCGATAGACCCAACTCCAAGACGATTCCTTTGTTTCTGGAACCACACATTCTTGTTTATTTGGTCCTCGTGGTACTTCATCAACGACTTGTGCCATTTCTTGCAGTGGCACTGAATTCTCTTCGTCGTCGGTCCCCATTCTGTCACAAATATTAGCAATGTAAGTTAGGTTGTATCAACATCAACGTACAATGTAATGCGGCGGCAAGTAGAGCCTCCGAAACCACAAATAATAGCTTGATCTGAAAATACATCGTTGTCGTCAAGTTTCATTGGTGCACCCCTTTAAAATTTTCCGGCATAGAATTTCAAAACAGTTTTCACAAGTATGGACTCCATTCTTCGTCACCGCACGTTCCTTGATGGATGGCTGGAACAATTGTTGCCATCACAAGTTTGATGGCAATTTGAGACAACGAAGACATCATTGCAAATTCATAATGAGATAGTGCAGTTTTCATCACCGTAGAAGGTTGTCAAGACACTGAAGCAAAGAATTAGAAGAAGTTGGAATCAATCCAAGTGACAACGACGATTTCACTTCACATACACCAACTCTTAAGATTGTTTTTTTAACTTTTGTATTACACAGACATTTACAAGTATTAATACGTATATAGGCGATGCCTGAACAGTTGTGTGAGTTGGGCAAATCTGTGGAAGTAATCGCAGATTCCCCTGAATACACGTATCGCTGCATCATGGATGAAACGAATTCACAATCTCGTCATTCAAAATCTTCAAAGCATTGCGTTGGTCAAATAGACTAGGATGGGGAGTGTAAGCATCGTCTTGAATATGGTATTGCTCTCCAGCAATCTCGCGGGACTACTACTTCTGGTTGCCGCACAAGTATTGGGATCGCAGGAACCACATTGATCCGGAAATTCCAAAAATCCCACTTGTTCGCATGCCTTTCGTCGTTCCACATTCAATTCATTTTGCAAAAACATGATGCGATCTCCACAGGATTCCCCGTCGGCATCGGCATCCCAAGCCTCGTCGCCACACGATGGACAGCCACAGTGAAAATGATCTGTTGGATCGTCCAAAACACAATGCTGCGAATCGCAAAATTTGCAATCGTCTGGATACTCGTCGTGTCCAATTTGATAACAGGCTCGTGCTTCACTCAAGGACCCCCCGGAGGCTTGCATCAAGAAGGAAATTCGATCACCGCACGAAAAGGACGAGGTTCCCGTGGGTTTGTTCCAAATCTCATCGGTGCACGAACGGCACCCACACCGCATGGGCGTAGTGGGTGGTTCCGAGACGGGTGCGGTGGTAGGACTCGGCGCGTCGGGATCCACCAACAGGCCACCTCCGCAGACGCAACAGGAAGCATTGGGAGTATTGCCATTGCTGTCGGTCCATCCTCCAAAGTCTTGACAGGAATTAAAGACGTAATATTCAAACCAGGCGCAGTTGGTCACATTTCCAAAAGCATCGGGTGTCAAATTGGTAAAGGAAGGGTCGTCGACGCACTGCAAGCCTGTGGTATTGTTATTATTTTGGTCATCATTCATAGAAGGCGTAGTGCTGGGAAGGTCCGAGGGAACCGAAGAAGTAGAAGGTTGTGCAGAAGGTGGCATGGAGGCTGTCATGCTGGGTTGGGCTGAAGCACCAAGGATGGAGGGAAGCTGCGAAGGACTGGCGCTTTCAGAGACTGTTGGCGCGGCCGAATCAAGTTCAGTTGGGGGAGTGGAAACTTCAATGGAAGGCTCACTGGGACTCGCCGAAGTGGCCATTGAAGGTGCTGTCGAAGTGGCCATTGAAGGTGCTGCCGAATCGTCCACGACTGGGATATCCGAGCCTACCGTCGTAGTTGGTGTTTCTGAGGAGGATTGCAGCTGCCTCTCTGTAGGACTGAGGGAAGGAGCGTCCGAGGGACCCATAGTCGGTGGATCAGATGCATCAGTAGGCACATCGGATGCCGTGTCGGTGGGACTATTAGAATCCAGACTGGATGGGGCATCTGATGCAATCGGAGTGGGTGGTGCGGAAGGAAAGGAGGTAGGATTGGAGCTGTCTTCCGGTGTAGGGACCAAGGACGGCTGTCGAATGGTTGGACTCAAACTTGGCACATTGCTGATGCTCGGAGGAGGAGGGTCTTGATTCTTGGGGGCCTTTGGTTCCTTGTTTTCCTTTTGAGCAGAGACATCCTGCAACAAAAACAATGACAGGGATGCCAATAGGAAAAAGATTCTTGTGGCGCGAGGTATGCTTGTACCAATTATCGTCATGATTGATTGATAGATAGATAGATTGTTTGATTGATTGACTCGTTGCGTGCTTGTCCTTCTTTGTATGTGAGCTTACTGTAGTTTCTGAGGAGGGAAATATGTCCAGTACGACCTTCTGTCTACCAAACGGTTGATGATGATGCTTGCTGGTATTCGTATCAAAGATTTGAAGTCTTGACAGAGATGAGATTTGGATCAAAAAATTTGAGACATCTTGGAAGACAAGTCTGTCGCAAGACATTGGCCAAAACAATGCCGAGCAACGGCGATCAAAACGCTATTTGATTGCGCCGGCGAAGGGTCGTATCATGTGGATCACTGATTAGGTTAGTCGGAAATATTGCGGATATTATGTTGAATGTGATTTTTTCTGTTAGAAAGCAGTGTTCTAACGTAGACGAAAGCTCGAGAACGAATCATTGGATTCCTTTCATCATACTGACGACGGTCGAACGACCGTCACAACAGCATTGCTCAGCAACACCAAGTCCGATCAGTTTATCGAACTTGTGTGCGAGTATACGTCAAGAAATAAGGTTTATTTCGATGCTTGAGATACATATGAGAAACATGAGTCGTACATCAGCTTCCAAGTATCAGCCATTACATCGACAACAGCCTTCACAGCCTACCACCCGCATTCTTTCCAGTCGCTGACCTTATTGAAACGGGTTTCGATTGCTTGAGTCCTAGGTACTGTCGCAGAATCCTACGGATTAATTTTGTGTTCTTTTGGCCTGACTGAAAAGAGTCCGCGACATTACCTGTTTCATTACTTGGCAATCTCTTTATTGCATCTGTTATCAACGACGCCAATCCAACAACCCTCACATAGACACAGACATAGTAAATACACAATTCCAAAGATGTCCAGCAATTGGAACCAGTATTCTGACACTCCTTCCTCCGCCCCAACGTCCTCTCTCGAAATAATGGAAGAGGATGCCGATGGTGGCAGCGGCAACGACGGAATCGTCCGAGATTCCAGATTTCGACGGTTGAACCTGTGTCAGTCTCGGAATCTCGCCCTTTTGTTTCTCTTTGTCCTCGCGTTCTTCATTGCGGGGACGGACATTTTTGAAAGCAAGGATTTGTCTCTTCGGGATATGGATGACGATCTCAATCGACTTGCGCAGCCTACTAATGAACAAGAAGTAGTAGGTGATGACTTGGTCGATGGTAATGATGATGGTAATTACGATGAGGAAGATGAGGACGAAGATGGGAATGATATAGATTACATGATCAACAAGGTGAACTTGGATTCCTTCAATCCCAAACGAGACGGAGTAGAGTTCATAAGTCCAATTTGCAACTACACTTGCCAGACGGATCGATTACCCCATGAAACCCCATTGTATCCCGGACAAGTCTTGTGCAACGAAATGCAACGGTTCGGCATGACAGAAGAGGGAGAATTATTTTTGCAAAATTGTCAATTGACCGATCAAAACGATGGCAAGTTGACCGTCTTTTGGTCTGCCAAAGAGGCTCAATTGACACACGACCAATATCCAATTCATTTTGAAATGGAAAAGAATGGTTACTTTCAAATCATTTCAGATTCATCGGGTGACGTTTTGTTTGAGCAACGTCCCAAACGCAACGTTACCTTTTATCGTTTGTGTCTAAGGGACAGGCCAAAGTTGCACTGTCCCTATCTGCACTTACACAAAGATGGAGTGGTAGTTTTGAATTGGATCGATGACGTTCAGGGAAGGTGGATGGCGCGGGATGTGAAACAGGAATATGCTGAATTGTTTCCGGATATGGACTAGCTCGTAGTAGTAACAACAAGCAACAATGATACTATCGCGCTCCTTGTAGTAACGAGTTGAAAACAACTTTACAGTTAGAGTATGGAATTGAAATATTTTATTGTCACGCCATTGGAGCCTTAATGTAGGTTATAGTGCAAGAATGTTAGGCTACTACCACCCCTGCGGTACAATATGGTAAAAGTTAGTGCAGTATGTATTATGTAATGTGGTCAAAGGTGGTTGAGTTGACTCGTACGACCCGTAAGAAATGCACCGCAATCAATAGTACCGATAGCGACAGACACAACGAATATATAACTGCAACAACACTTCTCACATCCACAATAGCCGTCACCACCCAACACCGCCACTCTTTCCAGTCAGAGGCACGTATATAATAGAGTTTCGATGATTTTCAAAAGAAAGTCTTTTCAGAATCAATGATCCTTGGGAGATTTTCAAAATCCGGCAATTGCAGTATCTTACGGCCTGCGCGGCGCCTGATTGAAAGACACCGCAACATTATCTGTTTCATTACTTGGATCTGCAAGCAATCCAGTCTCTTTATTATTGCCGACGCCAGTCCAAGCATCATACACAAAACAGTAAATGTCGAGCACTCGGCATCCACCTGCCTACTGTCTCGAAACAATGGAAGATACTCCCAAAGGCAATGGGGTCGTCCGAGATTCCAGATTTCGACGCTTCAACCTGTGTCAGACTCGGAATCTCGCCATTTTGTTTCTGTTCGTCATTGTATTAATCATAGCTGCTGTCTTGAGTGCGGGGACTGACGTTTTCGAGAGCAGAGATGTGTCTCTTCCTGCTACCAACAATGGTAAAGGGGGTGATGAACTGGTGGATTCTCTCAACAATGGTGGTAATGATGATGGTGATAAAGGTGACAACGCGGATGATATAGATGACATGATCAATAAGGTGAACTTGGATTCCTTCAATCCCAAACGAGACGGAGTTGACTTCATAAGTCCCATTTGCAACTACACTTGTCAGACGGATCGGTTACCCCACGAGACCCCATTGTATCCCGGACAAGTCTTGTGCAACGAAATGCACCGATTTGGCATGACGGAAGAGGGAGAATTCTTTTTGCAAAATTGTCAATTGACCGATCAGAACGATGGCAAGTTGACCGTATTTTGGTCCGCAAAGGAGGCTCAATTGGCACCGGACCAATATCCAATTCATTTTGAAATGGAAAAGAATGGTTACTTTCAAATCATTTCGGACCCATCGGGGCAAGTGTTGTTTGAAAAACGTCCCACACGAAACGTCACCTTTCATCGTTTGTGTCTAAACAACAGACCAAAGTTGCATTGTCCATATCTGCATTTACACAACGATGCAGTGGTAGTTTTGAATTGGATCGATGACGTTCAGGGAAGGTGGATGGCTCGGAATGTGAAACACGAATATGTTGAATTGTTTCCGGAAGACATCGGTGATGAAGGCGCTGATGATAATGCTGGCGCTGATGACACCACGAATGATGAAGATGATGTGGATGACATGATCAACAAGGTGCACTTGGATGCCTTTAATCCCAAACGAGACGGAGTTGAATTCATTAGTCCAATTTGCAACTACACTTGCCAGACGGATCGATTACCCCATGAAACCCCATTGTATCCCGGACAAGTCTTGTGCAATCAAATGCATCGATTTGGCATGACAGACCAGGGAGAATTCTTTGTGCAAAATTGTCAATTGACCGATCAGAACGATGGCAAGTTGACCGTATTTTGGTCCGCAGCAGTTGTTTGAAAAACGTCCCACACGAAATGTCACCTTTCATCGTTTGTGTCTAAACAACAGGCCAAAGTTGCATTGTCCTTATTTGCACTTGAGAGAAACGGGAATGGTAGTTTTGAACTGGATCGATGACGTTCAGGGAAAGTGGATGGCTCGGGATATGAAACAGCAGTATTTGGGATTGTTTCCAAATGTCGACAACAAAGATCGCTTCTTGTAGTTGAACACAAGGAGCAACTGTATATATTCCTAGAAGCCTTGAATTTCTTTAATTATTTTTCAGCACGCCATTGGACCGTACATGGGTTAACAACATGGTGCATGTGGTGGTCTGCTACTCCCACTGTATCTTGTATCGTCCATTAGGTTGAGACGGGTTCTGAGTATGGTTTGTGAAGTGGACTCGTGCGACCCGATCCGGAAATCCACGCGTCAGCTGGAAAATTGTAAGCTAACGAGAACCCGACACAACCACAACGGTGTAACTGCATCACCGCGTATCTTTTCAAAGGAGCCACGAACCACCGGAAGATAGTTCATTGTTTTTATAGATCTTACTAGTGAGGGACTGACAAACAGGAGTCTACGCTCATCAGAAACAACAACAAAAGTCAGCAACAACTCGCTCAAAGATTGGTTGACTGATTGATTCAAAAACCATCTGATCGGAATCATCTTCTCGTCCAAAATGATGTGGTGCATTCGATATCTTCTAGGTGTCCTGATGCTGGCTTGTTTACAAGCATCCTCTGCAATAGCGATCAAATACCCAGGAGCCTTTGCTTCATCATTTATTTCGTCTCGCCTATCCAGAACCACTGGTCGGCGATACCACCTTCCAATGATCCGAGGTGGTGGCAGTGATTTTAGTGAAGAAGTCGCTCCTGCCAAACTCAGCTACAATGCTTCCGCCGTCGATGCTGGTAGCCTCCAGATATCCGATTTGATGGAACAATTGGAAACCAATGCTGAATCGGGTTTAAGCCAAGAACAAGTGGTGGACCGTTTGGAATTATATGGCCAAAACAAATTGGACAGTGCGGCAAAACCTAGCATTTGGAAACTCATTGCCGAACAATTTGATGATCGGTTGGTTCAAATATTGGTGGTCGTTGCCATTATCAGTGGTATCTTTTCATTTCTAGAGCATTCCGAAGGGGAAAGCTTGTTGCAGAGCTTTGTGGAACCCATTGTCATTGTCGCTATATTGGTGTGCAATGCGGCTGTGGGTGTCTGGCAATCTCAATCCGCCAGCGATTCCTTGGATGCCTTGCAAGAAATGCAACCGGCAAGGGCGACTGTCATTCGCAATGGCGAAGTTATTGGGGAACTTCCAGCAAGCGAGTTGGTGCCGGGAGATATTTTGCAGTTGCGGGTCGGAGATAAGATTCCGGCCGACGCTCGTGTTTTGGAGTTGCAATCCAGTACACTGCAAGTAGATGAGACGAGTCTGACGGGAGAATCTGTAACAGTCTCGAAACTATCGGGAGCAGAAGGCCAAAACGACCCCGGGGCTCCGATTCAATCGCAATTGGGAATGGTATTTTCGGGTACCATGATTACTTCAGGAAATGCCTTGGCAGTCGTTGCACAAACAGGAATGACGACACAATTCGGCAAGATTCAACAGGGAGTCACCATGGCCAAAGAATCTCAACAAAAGACTCCCCTCGCCCAAAAGTTGGATGACTTTGGTCAACAATTGACACTGATTATTGGAGGAATCTGCATTGCTGTTTGGCTCGTTTCCATTCCCAAAATGAACGATTCGTCCTTTGCCAACTTTTGGGAAGGTGCCATTTATTATGCCAAGGTCTCAGTGGCCCTGGGCGTGGCGGCCATTCCAGAAGGTTTGCCAGCGGTGATTACATTGTGTTTGAGTTTGGGAACTAGACGGATGGCTCAACGCAACGTCATTGTTCGCAAACTGCCTTCGGTGGAAACTTTGGGTTGTACCTCAGTAATCTGTACAGACAAGACGGGAACCTTGACGACCAATGAAATGACTGCCGTGTCATTGCTAATGCTTGAGGGCAAGGGACAATTGGTGGAACATGTGATTGACGGCACCTCGTACAGCCCCATTGGCAGTGTTGATGGAATTGATCAAGACGAGATTGACAAAAAGGGAGCCGTGGCAGATATTGCAGCCGTAGCTGCCTTGTGCAACGATGCTACCATTCTTGGCAATGATGATGCTTGGGGAGAACAATCGCACGACGAAGACGTCGTTGACGAGCATGGCAACACGGTTCAAAAATTGCATCATGGTGGAAGTAACAAGAAGAAGAATAGCCTCTCGAATATTGGAAAGAAGATTTATGACCGTACTGGCGAGCCGACGGAAGCAGCCTTGTGTGTCTTGTGCGAGAAACTTGGGGGAATGCAAGAGTACACTCATGGGCAGCATATTGCACAAAACGGTTCTTACCATTTGCATGTACCCCCGAGTGTCTTGGCATCGGCTAATGTCGACATGTGGCGGGCCACACATCCTCGAATGGCAACCTTGGAATTTCATAGGGAGCGAAAAAGCATGAGTGTGGTGTCGTCTTTTGGAGATAAGAAGAATCGTCTCTTGGTCAAGGGGGCTCCCAATCTCCTTTTGGAACGCTGTACTCGCATCAAGGATCGCGATGGCAAGGTGACCAAGTTGACTGGAGCGATGCGCTGGGAAATCCAAGCAAAGATTACCGAATTGGCACAGCGACCATTGCGATGCCTGGCACTTGCGGTGAAGGATGGCAAGGATTTGGAGAAGTCACTGGCTCGGTTTGATGGAAAAGATTCCTCGAAACATCCATTGCTGAAGGATCCGTCCAAGTACAAGGATATCGAAAGTGGGCTGACGCTGGTTGGTATTGTGGGTATCAAGGATCCGGCGCGTCCAGAAGTTGCGGATAGCATTCTAAAGTGTTCCAAAGCTGGTATTCGAGTCATGATGATTACTGGAGATGCTCGAGACACTGCAATTGTAAGATGATCGGTCTGTCGGGAGCTTTTGTGTGAGTGTGCTGGGTGGTCTCTCACTTTTCTTTTCATAGGCGATTGCCAAAGATGTCAACATATTCGACAGCGAAGCGCCCAATGATTCACTCAAAGCATTCGAAGGCCGAGAGTTCTTCTCGAAACCAGAGGAGGAACAATTAGAAATTCTGAAGAAAGATAATATCGTTTTCTGCCGAGCCGAACCAGCGGACAAACAACGATTGGTCAAGATGCTGCAAAGTCTGAACGAAATTCCAGCAATGACGGGAGATGGGGTCAACGATGCCCCTGCACTGCAACAGGCTGCAATTGTAAGTGTGCACCGCAACAGCGGTATTTGTATGCTACCCATGTATCTATTCTAACTTGAGGAATTTGCAATAGGGAATTGCCATGGGTACAGGAACGGAAGTGTCCAAAGAAGCAGCTGATATGGTTTTGGCGGATGATAATTTCTCCACCATTGTCAGTGCAGTGGAAGAAGGAAGAACAATTTATGCGAACATGCAAGCCTTCATTTGCTTCCTGATCAGTTGCAATATTGGAGAGATTTGTGCCATCTTCTTTGCCACTCTTGCCGGATTCCCTGAGCCATTGACAGCAATGCATCTCCTGTGGGTCAACTTGGTTACAGATGGTCCACCGGCGACAGCCTTGGGTTTCAATCCACCATCACCCGATACGATGGATGCTCCACCTCGTCCAAGTGACGAACCGATCATGACAAAATGGCTACTTACGCGGTACTTCATTACAGGCCTGTATGTAGGACTAGCTACTATTGGAGTATTTGTACAGCATTATGTTCACGAAGGAATATCCTTATCGGAACTATCGAACTGGTCTCAATGTGGAACAGTCTGGTCACCAGCAAATGGAGGAGCTGGAATTTGCGGTGCACTATTCAAGGAATCTGGACGAATGTATCCACAAACTCTCGCGTTAACGACACTGGTTGTCATGGAAATGCTGAAAGCGCTGTCTGCAGTGTCCGTCGACAATTCATTACTCCAAGTGAGCCCGTTCGCGAATAAGTGGCTTTTAGCTGGAGTGTCAGGACCTTTCTTGCTCCATTTGGCTGTTTTATACAGCTCCAAGCTGGGAGTTCCAGTCCTTGGCGAAGCCTTTGGAATGGTAAGTTGAATCAATTTGCATTATCTGGGTGTGTCTAAAATTGAACTAATCCAAAGCTCTGCTACTTCAGGTTCCATTGACGTCTTCCGACTGGCAAAATGTACTTCTATGGGCCGCTCCCATTTTGCTTGTGGACGAAATTCTAAAGGCAATCGGAAGGAATCTGAAGCAAAAGGACTTCAAGAAAAGCATATCGAACTAGAAACTGACTGTTTGAGTGCAAGAGCGCTTTATCGTCGGCTGACTACTATAGTAGAATTGGCGAGAACATTAACGAGCATCAAATAAATAACGCTATCCATTTACTTTCAAACTTGTTCAAGACACACAACAGCCGGAACACTAGTTCACTGGGCCGATATTGAGCAAAAATTGCTCTCCACTGTGGTCGTCAACTCCATCGTTATCATTGTTGACCCAAATATTGCCAGACGCATCAACGGTCAACCCTTCAACCTTCTCAGTAACTAGTCCTCCCGCATACATTAAGTCGTTAGTCAAGTCATGAACAAATGTCTTCTGAACGGTGACTCCGTCGGCAATCGAAAAGTCACCCAAGTCAATCTTGTATATCTTCTTGATGGCAGCATCGGTGAGACCTTGGTTGTCACGTTCCAAGATCAGGAATTCACCATTTCCAAGCGATGCAATGTCGGAAAGTCCAACCCAGCCACCGTTTTGACTTTCAGGTGTGTCCAATGGATAGAAGACAAAACTCCAGGAGTCGGTGGCCAAGCTGTAGATTCCAAGACGCGGTTCGGTATCACCAAGTGCGGTCCAGGCGCGTTGGAAAGCAACAACAACGTTGTCTCCCTCGACAGCAACACCTTCCAATCCGAATCGTAGTTGGCCAGCGTTCAACTCGGCTGGAAGGGTCACAGCTGTGTTTACGACTCCAGCAGCGTCAACCTTCAACAACAGGTTGGGAGTAGTGACAGGGCGGGCGGCGTCATCAACGGTTCCAGAACCTTCACTCACAAGCCAGAAGCCATCATCGACAGCTTCGATGCCTTCCAAGTCAAGATTGACCGTCTTGTCGTTGTTCATGATGACAGCAGTCGCGTTGGCGTCAAGAATAGCGGAAAGGACATCGTTGGTATCAGTAATCTTGACTTCAGTAGTGACAGTGTATGGATAAGCGGAAGGATCAATCGCAAACATGCGGCTCTGTTTGAAGTAAGAATCTTCGACTGTGTAGAGCATGCCATCCTTAAAGGAGAGACCACTCAAAGCAGAGAAAGGAATAGGGTTGCCATCATCGCCATTGGCAGATACCAAATTGGGGTAGACAGGAGCAGTTTCTGAAATGTGATAGACCGTCACGGCGGAGCGCATCTTGTCGGCACGAGAATCTTCTTCGGCAGCAACAACAAGCAGGTTGCGAGAAGGAATCGCGAACTTTCCTTCGGGCTTGACACCAGTAGGAAGCACTTGGCGGAAGACAGGGTTGGTAATATCCGATACTTCGAATACAAAGACCAAACTGGATCGTTCGGATCCAACAAATAACAACTTCAAGGACTCAAACTCCGCGTAAAGAACATTTTCAGGTTCATTACCCTTGTTTTCAGAGCGTGCATCGGGGTAGTGTCCGTAACGGATGGTCAACTCGTCAATCATGTTACCGCTTTCATAGACAACAGCACCCGTAGTATCGAAGATGGTGAAACCACGGCTTCCACCATCCAAGTCACCTTCATCAGCAGTAGCAAAGTACTCGGTTCCAATCCAAGTGACACCATCGGGTTCACGAGGCACGGTAACCGATCCATTTTGTTCAATAATGTCTTCTTCCGTAATATCCACATTGGTGACAGTAGTAGTTCCAGCAGAGAAGGACTCCATGATTTCAGCGTTGGCCAAGTCGACCAAGACGAGTCCATTGTTCTCTTGGAGGGTCACAACCGCAATGTTATCTGAATTGATGGAAACAAACTCGGGTTCAGGATCACTGTTGTACAGGACACCGTCCAACCCAGTCATTTCCACCTTGGTGGCAGTCCACTCTGTGGGATCTTCAGACGAACAGTCGACAATTTGCAAGAATCCGGCCGGCAATTGAGGGAGCAAACCGCCATTCAAGTCTTCGTCGCGCTCGTTTTCGATGGCGATCGCCATGAATTTCTTGTCTGGACTCAGAGCAACCGAGTCTGGTTGTCCACCCATATCAATGTTGGCAACGATGGCTTGAGTTTCCATATCAATCACTTGCAAGTTTCCCGAGGGATTGACGAAGTCAGGAGAGGTGTTGACACCCACAGCAACGTACTTGCCCTTGATGACAAGCGAAGTAGTTTCTCCTCCCACATTGACCAATCCAGCCTTCATCGGAGCCATGGGGTCAGAAATATCGATGAATCCGATCGAGTTTTGTGTCCCGTCCGTGTAGGCAATCATCATGCCATCCTCGGAAGCTTGAACAATCTCGGCCACTGTCTGTTGGTCCGTGTTGCAAGTATCATCGAGTTGCATACAGACGGGAAAGGTGGCGATCCGATTGAAATAGTAGTTGGAATAATCCAGGGGTGGTGTCATTGGAGCTGGTGCGTCGGTAACATCCGAAGTTGGAGCCGAATCGACTGCTTGTTTGGTGGAATCTTCACTGTCCGAGTTGGCATTAAGAGTTCCTCCAACAATTAGTACTAGGAGAAAGATGACCACAAAAGCAGCAACTCCTAGCTTATTGATCTTGGCGGGTTCCTCGCCAGAGAAGACTTCTTGGGCATCAGTGTTGGTGTTGCCTTCTTTCTTGCTTTGATTTTCTTCGTCTACAGCCATCTTGTTGAGAGATATGTGGTTGTTGTTGTTGTTGTTGTTGTTGCGGATTGTGAGATATGTGTTAGCGAAAGTGCAAAGTGTGGAAAGGTGAAAAAATTCTCTCACATTGATCAGTTGTCATCTGCTCGTCACAGATTCAGTGAAGATTCCCATCAGCAGTGTGTTACTCTTTGTCCAACCATTAAATGGATCTACATGCGCTTGGAGCGGTCATCCATTCTCAGAAGTGGAGACCTTATATAAAGAAATCATCTTGTGCATCTTTTGAGGCTAGAGCGATATGTTGGAGATTCATTCATCTACAGTACCGGTAGGAGATGCGATCTCCGTTGTCAAGATTCTTCAGGTCGAATCATCACATAGGGGACGGACAGACTTCTTTTAGTCGGAGGTTTCGTCGATTCAGACACGGCAGGCTATTCTTGCGCCAGGCGATTTCTTGACAAGTGGTCTCACTTCTCGTGATGGAAGTCGCATCACCTTTGCACAGCCAAGGCTTGCGGTTTTATGAGGTATAGAGACAGATCCCTGAACACCTGGAGGTGATGCACCTTTCAAACTTGTTGTGTGCCGTCATTGTTGCAATGGACACTGTATCCTCCTGGACGACCGTGTAAGCCTTTTTAATCGATCCTTTCAATCAGCATCATTTTGTAAATATAGTAGACCGCGACGGCACTATCAATCACCTCCAGGGTTTCGATTGTTTGCACGTTACTGGCTCATCCTTTGCGAATATTGTTGGTGCATCTGAGGGTATGGTTCTCCGTCAGATACGAACTACTACACTCCGTTTGACTGTCCAAGATTCTGACATGGGTGCCGCCCAAGATAGAAGCTCGCTGTACTCTCTGTATTCGGAAAAGAACATTATAGGGTCACCAGCCTCAAAATCCCGGGTGGCGTATAGTCTGCTGGCGGAAGTGTCATGATCAGGATATTCTTTGACGACATCGGCAACACGTTCGTATTCGTTCCTCGAAGTACTCGCCACCATTGCAAACAACCGCTTTCCTATCACGTTCACGTCCGGTTTTGCATCATCGTAACCTTTTGTATTTAGAAGAATCTGCCAATAGAATAGATGTCCCAGGGTCGTGGTCGTCATCCCCAACTTGCTGCTTGCTTTGCATATCTCCGAATGGGGCATATCCTCGTGCATCTTACTTAGACCGCATCAGTATATCCGGTGAAACCAGTGTTCTCGGAACCAATATATGGGTCCGCCTTAGGCCATCTCCGTAGTCTTTATCCTGCAATCTCTGCTCACATTTTAAAATAGGTACATCATTGTCAGGTTGGCGTCTCTTGGAACTTCAAATCTAGTCGAACGATTCAAACCATGGTTCTTTTTCAGCGCAGACAGGCAGGCGTGGATGAGAAGTTGTTCTGCGTTCTTCCGACTCACTCACTCGTCAACGCCGAAGTTCTTTCGAAAAACACGAAGCAGCATAGTCATCATTTTTCGAGAAGACCCTCCAAGAGTGTTACCATCTGTCGATTCTCCCAATATATAGAAAGCAACAACAAGCTCAGACCGGAAGTGACAATCTGAGACGAAGCAAACTTATTTACTTACTTGTCGTTCTACTAGAAATAATTTGTTTTCTTCGCTTCACACCACCCGCATAGAAGAAACGCCAACCAAGAAGATACTTTTGTCAGTCCATATCTTTTCAAAATGGCGTCCGTAGCATCAGCAGCAGCCACTAAATGCAGAACTCTTGTTTACTGCACTCATCGTCTGCAAGGACCATCATTCTCAGCCTTGAGACAACATTATGTGGCACCATCATTATTATCACAACAATCCAAGAGATCCTTTCACAGCATCCACGAGCAAGGACGACGAACCAAGTCTACTGCCACGACTACAACTACTAGTTCTGATCAGCAAACTACCTATGATTCGGACTTGGTAGTCGTCTTGGATTTGGACGAATGTTTGGTGCATTCCAAATTTCTCACCCGCCAAAACAGTAGTCAGCATTATACCATCCAAGTGAACAAACCTCACGAGCAAACAATATTGTCTTCCTTTTCGGAAGCTGGCAGTCCTTTGGTGGATACCTTTCACATTTCCTTGCCCGGTGGAGATCTGGCCAGAGTTCATCAGCGACCTCATTTGCAAGACTTTTTGCAACAGGTCAGTTCCAAATACGAGACCCACTTGTTTACCGCCGGCAAGAAAGTGTACGCCGAGTCTGTCTTGGAACAGTTGGATCCAGATGGCTCCATTTTTACCAATTGCCTCTTCCGAGATGACTGCACCTTTGATCCCACCATGAGGGCCTACGTCAAGGATCTGGACCTGCATTTTGATGACCTCCAAAAGACAGTCTTGGTGGACAATAATCAATTGAGTTTTTTGAACAATCCAGACAATGGCATTTTGGTCTCCAACTTTTTTGACGATCCCAATGATACGACGCTCTTGGCCGTGTTGGAGCTGCTCGACGAATTAGAACAAGAAGAGGATGTTCGGCCATTGCTTCGAGCCCAGTTTGGATTAAGCGACTTTTTGAAGCGTCGGCAATTGCACGAACGAAAGAAATTGCAACTACAGCAACAACAACAATCAGATCGAATGATGGAAAGCGAGGGACTCATGATCAATGTCTCGGTCTGAGCTGCCTCTCTTTGATTTTTTGAACATGCATACTGAACGTAATTGAGACAAAGTAATATACTACAACTATAACTAGATAGAACACGAAATGCATAGATTTTTTTATAAGATCGAATCTATTCTGTATTGCGTGTGTGAAATGTTCAGCATTCCATGGTTGGCCTGCATCTTTGTCCTTGCACTGCTTCCTGGTCGGACTTCTTTTATGATTGCAACCATCGCATGGGTGGTGCCTGGGTTGTGTCATGCTGTGTTGCGGATGATGATGAACAGAAATCATGAAGACTGAACCTGCCAACCTGTTGTTTCGAATTTTTGCCAAGAACCTTTTGATAGAATAATTACTCCAAAGTTAGACTGTACACAGGCCATCGTATATCCTTTCTGCCCAGTACGACCGATAAAGCTTCTCCCACTTGTATGTGTTGGCCTTCTTCTTGAAGTATTCTTCTTTCTCTTTCACACTTGCATCCGTGACGTCCTCCCAGCTGTCGACGAGCCATACTGGCAGATGTTCAAACACAGGGTCCAGCGGAGAATGCGGAACAATTGGTATACAGCCACATAAAAGTGCTTCCCATGTTGCATGCGTATCCAGACCGTTACCAGGAGGGCTAATGACAAATCGGTGTTTCTTCAATTCTTCGAAAAAGGATTTTAGAGGCATGTTCTTCATAGGTGTGAAAGCAATGGACTGCTTTGCAGTTTCATTTACAATGGATGGAATTTCACCTCGGGTGGCAGTCAGTGCGGGTGTGTTCCTGACGTAGTTAATAGTTCTAAGGTTGGATCCCTGGTTCATTGGTCTCAAAAACACAAGGGATGTCCTGTTAGTTAGATGGAACAATGCTTTGGATTGCTCTGGGCTGGACGCTCCAAACCTCTTGTATTTGTCGGCCCGCTTGTTTTTCTCCTCTCCAAACAATTTAGTGCTACTCCAAGCCCATTTCAACCCAATGGGGATGGGTTGCAACTTTGGATACTGAGGCAAGTGCCGTGCATTCATGGCATACGCTGCATGCAGATTCGTTTCGTTCAAGTAATATTCAAACTTCTTTTTCCCCCGCAGGTACTCTGGCCAAGATTTATCTACCTGGTTGTTAATAATCAATGTGATTGGATGCGGTCTCGATCTAACCCAGTCTCGAAGTCTTTCTGCCGAAGGCTTGTGCCCTTCGGTGGAGCGAAGAAAAAAGGTTCGTCGGTTATCCACAATGTCGGCCCAGAAATCTTGTGTTAGGAATGGTTCCCCTTTTTCGGAAACATGCTTGCCAAACGTAAGGTTTTGCGGGAAACCAATATAACGTTGATCAACAGCAGGATCAGGAGGTGGACAAGGCCCGACACCTGCTTTGGGCGACGACAGAGTCACTGATGTTTCAACACGTTTTTCGTTTGCTCGTACTACCCCATAGCCAGACGTTGTAGACGATGGATTTATAAGAAGGAGGACCATGAAAGAAAAGAGAACGAAGCTCATGAGTTGCACTGGTCGCTTATTCGTCAACTGGGAACCCAACAATGTCTTGATTGATGATGAAAGACCTGATGGAACACCACTGCTTGCCTCCAAATCAGGCTCGGTCATCATTTTGTTGGTTCAAGTGAGAAACTTCCTTAATAACCATGTCATGCGAATACACAAACCATGATAACTTCCTAAAGTCCCAGAATAATGCAAAACTGTCGCCAGAACAAGTTGCGTCCGGATGTTGAATGCGGAAATTGGTGCAAGCTGAAAGTATTTGAAATCTGTGCAAATGACCTGTCACTCGTGACTCGTAGTTGTTTGAGGGCGAGTCACGAACAAAGGGCATCGAACAGTTTCGAGTTCTTTCATACAAAATCCATGTGTACTTATTGCCATCGTCCCCTGACTCACTCACCCTTCCAGACTATCTTACCACCAAGCAGAACCGAGAGAGACAATATATAATGATACGCTCCAGTCTGCGACAGCATCATGATATCTCTTCTCGGATAGCGTCATCTATCACCACAACATCTGGAATAGGGCAAGCACAATCATCAAGGCTGATACGACGACACATCACATCGTTGCATCTTTCAAAATCAAGTTCCCATCACATCATCAGCACCACAAGAGGCCTTCGCGTCTACCATAGATCTTTTGCAGTATTTTCACCAGATGACAAAGACGACAAGAAAAAGGAAGAGAAGAAGCCACAAACAGAATTATCCAAAGATTCCCTGAAACGACTATTGGAATTCTCCCGATCGGAATGGAAATGGATTGGTCTTTCCGCCTCTACTTTGGGTGTCACCTCGTCCATTACCCTTTTGTTTCCATATGCTTCAGGAAGGTGGGTACTGTTTGATTATTGGTGTCGTATGATGGACTGACTGACTCGCATCGCTCACCTACTCGTCTAATTTGTTTCTCTGTCATCAGTGTGATTGATTATACAATTACGAACGCTAGCGATGGGCATTCTCCGCTTTTATTGGCCAGTGGACTTTTTGGGTTATCAGCAATTGCTGGTGGTGGTGTCTATCTTAGATCGGTATGGTTGGCCAAGGCTGGCAATCGAATCGTGGCGCGACTCAAGCAACAATTGTATGCGAGTATTTTGCGGCAAGAAACTGCCTTTTTGGATCAACACACTTCGACTGGAGACTTGATTTCCCGACTGACGGCAGATGCTACTTTAGTCCAACAAGCTGTGACCAGTCAGGCTGTAGCCGCCTTGAGAAGTATAGTAATGTCCCTCGGATCCGCTGGCATGCTCCTGTATACATCTCCGACATTAGCAGCAGTCTCGTGTTGTACTCTGCCGCCCGTCTTTATCATGACTCGCCAAGTGGGCCGCAGACTGGCAGAACAACAAAAGGGGATTCAAGAATTGTTGGGCGATGCCACCTCCTTAGCTGAACAGTCCCTGAATCATGTGTCCACCGTCAAGCAATTTGTCGCCCAAGATTTTGAAGCCACGCGGTACCGGAACAGCGTTGCAGCCGCCCACCAAAAGGCAGTGGATACGGCCCACATGCAAGCCCAACTGGAAGCAGGTGCGCACATTGCAGGAAATGCCGCAATCTTGGGTGTCTTGGGATATGGTGGTACCATGGTGTTGGATGGTTCCATTTCGGCAGGAGACTTGACAGGATTTGTCATGTATTCCTTGCTCTTGGCTGGTAATTTGTCAGGATTGACGGCTATTTACAGCGACTTGATTCGATCCATGGCTGCTAGCAAACGGATATTGGATATTTTGGATCGAGAACCATTGATTGAAACATCCTCCACCGCTTCTTTTCAGGCATTGTCCAACTCGAAGAACCCCCTTGCGCAAATCGAATACATTCCAGCCACTACGAGTAACTTGTTGTCAAACGACCAAGCAGGAGAAAGTGGTCAAGTTGCGAGTACTGAAGAAACCGTCCAACGACCGCAAGCCGCTTCCATTGACATCCAAGGTTTGAATTTCTCGTATCCATCGCGACCGGACATGCAAGTCATGAACAATTTTTCCTTGACGATTCAACCTGGCGAGATTGTCGCACTGGTCGGTGGCAGTGGGAGTGGCAAATCGACCGTGGCCAATGTATTGACCCGACTCTACGATATCAACGATGGCACCATTCGGATCAATGATACCGACATTCAGGACTACGATCCCAACGACTTGCGGCAAATGGTGGGAATCGTGTCGCAGGATCCAGTATTATTTCGAGGAACCATTCGGGACAACATTCGTTACGGCAAATGGCAAAATGTTTCGGACGAGGCCATTGAACGAGCCGCCAAACAAGCCCATGTCTGGGAATTTGCTCAAACCTTTCCCAATGGTTTGGATACCATGGTGGGTCCGACACAACTGTCCGGTGGCCAACGACAACGAATCGCCTTGGCTCGTGTCTTGGCCAAAGAGTCCCCCATTATCATTTTGGACGAAGCAACGTCTGCCTTGGATGCCCAAAGTGAGCACTTGGTCCAACAGGCCCTCCAAGGTTTGTTTGCCCAAGGTGGCAAGACGATCATTTCCATTGCCCATCGATTGTCCACCATTCGGCATTCTTCACGGATAGCTGTGATTGAAAATGGAACCGTCGTTCAAACAGGAACCTTTGATGAGCTCCAATCGATGAATGGGCCCTTTCGGGAGTTGATGAAAACCCAATTGATTGGGGATGCCTCCTAGATAGTTAGTTGTGACATGATGATTTGGACAGAGATAGCTTTTTTAAAAATTTCGCCAGATTATTCAATCATCATCCAATGCCAAGACATTGCAATAAAATCTGTATCTAGAATGTTCCAAGCTCCTATTACTCTTGCTCTATATTTGTCATCTTTGAAATAAATCGCCATTTCTATCGCCACAGTCGTTCTCTTTCGCCATTGACTATTGTTCAACCGCACTCAAATTGTGAAGCCGGGGTTTCCGTTGATGCGGCCGGCTCGCCCATTCGTTGGATCTCGCTTTTTCTTTAGCCATGTAGGAGCGCGCCAGCATCGAAACACATGCTCAACAATGCCAAACAAAAATACACTTCATCCAGAGAGGCGAAAACGAAATATAGTAGGAACCTAATTTTTCGGTGTACTTGCCAAACGAAGCACACATATAAAGCAAGCAAGAACGAGTAGAAAGAAGCCGTGACATCACACCAGCTTCCCTCTAAAACCCCTGTCTTTCCGAAGCAACAACAGCAGTAGCAGGCATTATCAACAAACATGTTATCTGCAGATGATTTTCAAGTGCGATGTGTACGTTTCATTCATTTGCATTGTGGTTCCAGTTTTTGTCTTTCCTGCACGGCAATGATGACGGTGTGGCTTCTGGTTTTGTGGTTTATGACTCTATGCACCATCATTGCTAACCTCTTTGTTTCTTTTTTCTTGACGTTGATGCAACGGTGCTCTTCCACGATTCATTCACTCTATTCATTCATTTATTTTGTCACTTTCCACACAACGTTACATACCAACACACACACACACACACACAGACGGTTCGCAAGGCCATTAATAATGAGGACGACGACAAGGAGTTTTCCGAACCTGAAGACATGACTTGTACCATGCGAGTGTGGCATGGTCCGAAGAAAAGTAGTCAAGATGCCGAACTTTTGCTGAAACCAGTGGAACAACGGACCATGAGTGCCATGCGAAGTCGAGCGGACGAACTCTCACCCGTCTTGGTGAACAAACGATTTTCTTCCTTTGGAGAGGGACGCAATAATCGATTTCAAATGGAACAGGAACAACTGAGTCAAGCTAGTAGCATTGGAACTGTGAAGCTACCCTTGCAAGAAATTTTGATTGTGGAAAAAAAGGGACAAGAATTGAGTGATCCTACCATTCACATTTTCACCGTTTCGAGTGGGTGTTATGAATTTACCTTGAATGAAAATGGAAGGGCCATTCTGCTGGCATTTCTGCAAGCGAATTTGCCCAAGGAACGCATTCGTGGAGGTTTCACGTTACAAAGAACCAAATCGGATGTTTCCAGGTATTCTTGCTCGACCATTGGGAACAAGACGTTGGATGTGGAAGCACTGACATCCAACAAGGTGGCGGAACGAATTGAAAGTGAAACCATGTCCGAGAAGCTGGGAACCAAAGTGGGTCGTGCCTTTTCGAGTATTTTGGAGAGTAAGTTTCATGCATGAATGATAGATTTTGCAAATGCGATTGTGCATGCTGAGCTAATGGCATCTTTTCTGATTGTTTCCAACAGTGGTCGAATGTTCCTGCATTAGCTGTGGCGGCAGCAGTTCTTCCTCGGTTCATCCCGAGCCAATCAAACCATTGTCGCCATCGGATACCAAAGAGAACAAGCCCAAGGCCAAGAAGATGAAAACTGCCAAGAAGACGAACTTGGAAGACTGTGGATTTAGTGTCGAATCGGAACCCAAAATGGAGTTGGTACGATAGAAAAAACGACGGCAACAAGAAATGAATGTATCAAATTACGATCCAATTTGGGTTTCTGAGGAACCAAACAAGTGAAAACCTTGAACGCTATGAATGTTATGCTATATATGGGAGCCGCCGAGGAGGAGCATCACTCTAGTGCCCTGGGACAATCGTTGCAATATGAAATATGAATCGTCCATGGACTCGAGCGCTCAGTTTAAAAAAGGCCAATCATACTATGAAATTTATAAAGTGAACTCTTTTGAGAGTAACGATGTACACACACACCTCTTTTTGGGTTTTACCGTAGCTTGCTTTTAGAGTCATTATCCTATCTGATTGGTGTTATTAGATGACTTCTCCACCGCAACTATTACTCAAAGAATGATTGTCACAAGATGTGTGATTTTTAAAAAAAGGTACAGAGCAGAACTGTTGCAACTCCATATGGTTTCCATCTTCTCCGTAGTGTCACCATAGGAGCTTCCAAGACTAAAAGAAAAAGACAAAAAGACAAAAGTCAGAATACCAAACTGTGTCATACGATGCAAACATGCATCACCCAACCAAGATGAAAATGGTGCTCGGATTGCAGTTAAAAATATAAAGTTCTCTCATGATGTATCAAGAAGGGCAGTTACGCCAAGTTTTCCTCATTGCCATATATATGTATATATAGATGTATATTCATCGAATTGAAAAAGGTGGGAATGGAGAGGACGAGTTTATGGACTCACCATTGGATGAAAAGACAAAAGACGCGGCCATTGGAATGCTTTGTTTTTTTTTCTTTCTCGTCCCATGTGCTTGATCATGAAAGTGTGAAGATTCCACTTCTCTTTCTTCTATTACGTTTCACCTTCGTAGGTAAATTCGTTTGGATACCCAGTGACAGCTGCAGAGCAACAGCCCAGGAACTGAAAATGCCAAAACGTATTTCGAGTAGCCACACCAGTCCAACAAGAGAAATAAAATGCCAAGAACTACATAGATAATGATTCCTCCATTGGAGGTGTCAGGCTTTCCCATCTTGCATCGGTCCTTCGAGGTTAAAATACGAGGATATCTTTCACAGTGAGCAAGCAATACCGGTATACCTCATTGTCATCATCAAACATTGAGTGAGTTACTCGTATCTCGTACCAGGTATGCTTCTCTCAGAACCATTGCTTTGACAGACGACGTACAGAGCGCAAATACTCCAGGACTTCCCAACCTCTCAACCTTTGTCGGTTCAGAAGGTGGCGGGAAGATGACAAGGCGCTACCAACAATTCGGATTGACGTTAGATATATATTCTTAGGGCGTTCGAACCCTACTGTAAGCAACACGTAGTCTGCCATACTGTGATAACAGTTGACTTTCAGAATGCGACCTCCTCGTGTAAATTCCTCCTTTCAACACAGCAGTTTGTGGGCTCAAAAAAGGGCCCAACCAGCCCGTGCGATATCTGATCGAGTTCTTCTGTTGGATTGTCTTTTTGTCCTTATGCAACAAGTTACCATACAATTCAGACAGACACAAACATTATGCGGTCATCTTCCAAAATCCCTCCTGCTGGAGCAACCAGTGACACAAACACTTTTAGTACGACTACCAAGCAGTTTTGGCTGCAAAGAGTCAAACTGAAATTAGGATGATCATGACGAAACTGCCGATGCTGCTTTCCAATCTCCTATGGTTTGCGAATGTCATCAGTGCCTTTCAAGTCGACACCGTAGTCGTCTCGCGTGGTGTTGTGGAGCCTTTTGGCTTCTTTGCTGCAGAAGAGAATCTCACTGCCAATTGTGTCTACGATGACAAAATCATCCTCCGACACCCCTCCTCCTTGAATGAATCGGATCGATTCTATAATCTTGGGAATGCCATGCTCAAAGCCGCAACCATTACGGTGGATCGAATCAACAAAGATAATTGTGGCGTGGTGGTTGGGGGGAGACGATATGCTATAGAACTTCACAGTTACAGTGATGATTCCGACGGAGACAAGACAGCAGCAGTGACGAGGGCCATTGTGAATCAGTCCAATTTTCTATTGGCTGGTTACTCAACCACGCTGGCAAACATTCAGAACCCCATTGCCGATACAAGCAACAGGATTTCCATCACTGCTGGATCCTCCGGAGCTAGCGCTCATGCAGCGAGCAGGCACGCCTTTGGAATGCTGCCACCGAGTACAACCTACACCAAGAACGGGTGGTTGGCTCTCAAAGCAAAAGGGGCCAAGACAGCTGCCATCGTTAAGGATGATAACCTAGTCGCTTGTGGCGAAGATGAAGCTGCTTTTCATGGATTAGAACTGGTGTATTACCAAGAAAACGCACCTGTCAACCAGACATATGAAGTACTTGAAGAAGCGGCATATCAAGTCTCTCTACTTGACCCCGAAGTCGTGTTTGTATGCCTGCGTGGTGACCCTGCAGATTGGGTCAAGGCAATGAGGAAGCACGATTGGACTCCGAAAGCTGTAATTTGGGGTGGAGGAGGAAGATTCGGTTCTGATGACTTTGTGGAACGAGTCGGAAGCGACGCTCAGTATATCATGGGGATGGCATCGTGGGACAAGAGTCTACCTCCGATTAAAGATGCCATCACTGGCTGGGTACCAGAAGAATTCTTTGATTTTTTTCAATCCGCTGCGGGCATACCCCCAGCCTATCAATATGTCGCACAAAGTGCTGCAATTAGTATTCTGCTTCAAGCCGCCGTGAAGGCCGGTTCCCTCGATGATACAGACGCAATTCTTGAGATCCTACAAACTGAATCATTCTCAACTGTCTATGGCGAAGTGTCCTTTGATGAAAATGGGCAGAATGAAGCGTCGTATCCCTTGCTGCTGCAATATGACATGAATCGAACCCTGCAACTGCTGCACCCCGAGGAACTTCGCAGTGGCAACTTTGAGATGGTCTATCCAATGCCAACCTGGAAAAATCGTGACTGTACCATCCTTTCTAATTGTACGGAAACGGGAGGAGGATGTGGAGTGGACGGGCAATGCACTTGTCCAGAAGAATCGATTTCAAAGGGTATCGGTGAAACAGCTCACTGTCGCTTGCCCCCACTCGAAGAAGACATGACGTACATTTCGGATGGCTTGATTCATCTTGGATGGGCGTTGGTGGTGATCCAAGGATTGGTATCCTTGTTTCTCTTTGCTTGGACTTGCCGTTACCGTGAGACGAACATTGTGAAAGCCAGTCAACCATTGTTTCTTCACATGGTCAGCTTTGGATGCTGCGTCCTGTCTTGGACCATTATTCCAGCATCCGTTCAGGGAGACTATCGGTACCTTCAGGACCCAGAGACACGACAAGAGACCGACCTTTTGAATGATCAGATTTCCAATGCTGATTTCGGTGAGTAACCAAAGAAAATACCAGCACCACTTCTAATGATCTGCTCATGTACTCACACCAATTTCTCTTGTACAGCTTGTATGGCAGCCCCCTGGTTGTTTGGATACGGGTTCAGCATTGTATTTTCAGCGCTCTTTGCCAAAATCTACCGCGTTCGTATGATCGTAGCCAGTGCAGTGAGTTTCCGACGAACGCGAGTTCACGTTAAGGATGTCATGTATATTATGGTAGGCATCCTTGGAGGAGAATCCATCATTCTTCTCCTTTGGAGTCTCATCAGCCCACTTACTTGGGAGCGAGAAGTCATCCTCGGAGACGAGTATGGACTGACCCTGATATCGTCTGGGCGGTGTGTCTCTGACTATTCATTGGTGTTTCTGCTGATCTTTTTGGGCTTCAATCTCTTTATTCTCTTTTACGCCTTGGTGCTATGCTACTTGACTCGCACCTATCCTTCCGAGTTTGCCGAGAGTCGATGGATCACGGCTTGTGTGATTTCGTATATGCAGATTCTTTTACTCGCCGTGCCTATACTTGCAATTGTGGAAGGGAACAACAACGTTGCATTCTTTGGGCGAGCAGCTATTGTCTTTCTCATGTCAATGTCAGCCTCTCTCTTGGTATTCGGGCCTAAGATGTACGCTTTACACTATACGAGGAGCGAACAGGACGAAGCAGATCTAGTGACGCGGTCAAAGATCTTTGATCGGATGTCGGCAGCAGTATCACAGAAAAATAGCGACAGGAACGACGCAACGGTATCAGGTCTCAATCAGAATGGAAATCGACACAGCAGAGACTCGTCTAGCTCCGCGGGAATGCCAAAGAACTCTTGGGCCATGGTTGGCTACGAAGATTCGGAATTCATATCTAAATCAATTACAGGATCTGCCTTTTTCAAATCAAGCAATGATTCTACATCCGACCAATCGACAGAACCACCGACTAAGAGGTCTGCATCTATCTCTCAGATCGAGCCAATTGAGGAAGGGAGGAACGAACAAGCACCTTCCAGTAAAAGATCGCAAAGCGAAAAAGTAGACAGTTCCACTCGATCCAATTCGGCAAATTCAGTCGATGTTTGGGTTGAGGCTGCTTCGGACAGTAAGCCTCAGCGGGATAGTGCAAGCTCTGGTGCGGATGCTACTTGAATTTGAATCTAATGATTGCCATCGGGTGTGGTTCATTTTTACGCAGATATAGATACTCGATGACCCAGTAAATTCGAAGCAAAACAACTTGAGAAGCCATGTATTGTTTAATGTTTTATTAATAGTGCACATATTTTATGATACATCAAGTGTGAGTGGTATATCCACTTTAAGTCTGATATCCTCACTCTGTATCATGTTGTTTTGATACGATCAGTGTTTTTTTTAAAATGATGGTTTAGGATCGCCATGTTGCCATTGTTACTCGGCAATCTCCTCGTCATCTCCTTTCTCCAATTTCGAAAGTTGTAGAGCTCGATGCGATATGCATGATGCCCAGGTAAACAACGCAGCATTCAGCGTCCACCTTGGGGCGCACTAGACATATAATGCATTCGACTCGCTGTTGTTCATCTGCTTCTAATTTTTTTTCTCCTCGTACATTTTGTGATAATATGTGTGACATCAAATCTGAATCTTATTGGCCTCACGTTTGCTAGCCGTTCGCCAACCAACGGAGCTGTTGAAATACTATTACTTAGGAGTACGACATGTCTCAGCACGTGCACATACGTGTACATTTGGAAAATTTTATGAAACACACGAGAAAACTCACACCGCTATAAATACCCATGAAAGAACCAAGCCACTTGAAAACCATGCCAATCAAACCTACAAGGAGGCGGATAATACAGTTTTTTATTGCCTTATGTGCAGTTCAAATAGATGGGTGTAATGGGAACGAAATTGAATGGGGAAATCATGTTGATCCAAGCATCCAATCAAGGATTTTCCTCCAGGGAGTTGGACACGATCGACATACAAGGAAATCATCGAAGAAAGATAGTATGTCATCATTAGATAGTACTGGAGTTGGACACGATCGACATACAAGGAAATCATCGAAGAAAGATAGTATGTCATCATTAGATAGTACGTCGTCATTAAGGCAGTCAAGTCCAGCACCGTCTGTGCAGCCTACATCAAGAAGGCGGTCAAGTCCATTACCGACTTCACAGCCTACTTCAACAAAGGGACAGTCAAATCCTGTACCGCCGCCTTTCCAGCCTGTTTCAAAGGGACAGTCAAATCCTGTACCGCCGCCTTTCCAGCCTATTTCAAAAGGGCAGTTAAATCCAGCACCTTCTTCGCCGCCTACAAACCAAGAAGGGATGGCACAATTTCATGTTGATAGGTCGCTTTCTCCAACTGGAGAGTCAACAAGTCAAACAACAGAAAGACCAACAGAAAGGCCAACGGAAGAGTCAACAAAGCAACCAACCAAAAGGCCTACAGGGCAACCAATAGAGCAAGCAACACGTCTACCGACGACCGATGTGCCTATCCAGACAAGAGCACCAACTGCTAGGCCTACTCCGACTGTTCTTGTCCCGACAAAAGCTCCAACAAGGACACCAACGGCAACTCCTACAAGGACTACAGCTGTCACTCCAGGTCCAGTTCCTGTAGGTGTACCAACGGTAGCTCCAACAAGAACACCGACGGCAGCTCCAACAAGAACTTCAGCTGTGACTCCAGCCCCGGTTCCTATTGTACTGACGACAGCCCCAACAAGGACGCCAACGGCAGTCCCAACAAGGACTACAGTGTCGCCTCTTACTGCTGCACCAACTTCCCCGAGTTCGTCCCGAGCGACAAGAATACAACAAGATCTTGTTCAAGTCACGGCGGAAAGCACACTGCTCGACTCCACCACCGCACAAGGACAGGCCATGCAATGGCTCATCAACAACGATCCAGCACAAGTAGAACCATCCACCTACGCACCCTTTCGACAGCGGTACTCTTTGGCTACTCTCTACTTTTCTGCCAGTGGGGACGGTTGGACATTGAATTCAAACTGGCTTCGTGATGTGCAATTGTGTTCCTGGGAATTGATATCCTGTGACCAAGATGATGATGCTGTAACACAGATCCAACTAGGTAAAGTCAATGATCTTGTTCTTCAGAACGGAAACTCTGGCTCATTGTCTAACTATATTGTTCTTTTGAATTGAACCCGCCAGTCGGAAACAATCTTGTCGGAAGTCTTCCAGCTGAATTGCGATTGTTGACAGGACTACTGTCCATTGACATTTCCCTCAACGAAGTCAGTGGATCGATCCCTTCTTCCTTATTTGGGGAGTTGAGTAGTCTACGAGTATTTCGCTCACACAATGCAAGGCTCTCTGGTGGCCTTCCCGAAAGTATTGGACAAGCAACTGCACTCCGCGAATTGGACGTTACTGGCAACGAAATCACTGGATCAATCCCGTCTTCTGTCGGAACAATGGGAAATCTAAGTAAGTTTTTAAAGACGGCTCTATGCTTTGCTGGCTGTTGCACCGTTTGACCCCCTTTCTGACACTTGCGCGTTTTCGATCAGCCCAACTGTTCTTGGGGCTGAATGATTTACAGGGCACAATACCAAGCGAAGTTGGTCGCTTGAAGCTCTCCCATTTGTCTGTCTTTCAGAACGATTTAGAAGGCACCATTCCTGGAGAATTGTTTTCAGTCACGACTCTGCGTAGACTTGCCCTTTCGAACAATCGTTTGTCAGGAAGCCTCTCAAATGGACTCGGAAATCTTCGGGGACTGCAAGAATTATACCTCGATGACAACCAATTCAGCGGCTCCGTTCCTCTATTCTTCGGTCTTCTCACGAATCTGATTGACGTTTCGTTCGCTAGAAATGCGTTGACAGGAACCATTCGCGACAGCTATAGCAGATGGTTTGCTCTGGAATCGATTGAATTTGCGAACAACCAACTCACTGGTGCCATTCCCAGTGGTTTGTTCTCTTTGCCAGAAATAAGGACTATTCGTCTTGAGAATAATTCCTTCGACGGAACGATACCACCAAGCTTTGGCAATGCTCGCCAACTTGAAACGTTGTCATTGCAAGAAAATCTTCTTTCCGGCACGGTGCCTGCAGTTGGGATTATGGCACTAGAATCCCTGAGGGAATTGCAACTTTTCGATAATCAACTTTCGGGCAGCATACCAGAGTCGTTGTGCGAATTGGTCGCAGATGGTGCATTGGAAGAACTATCGGCTGATTGTGGTGGAGTTCGTGCGCCAAGGATCGATTGTCCGTGCTGCACTGTGTGCTTTGATCCCAGTTCGTCAAATCGCAGCTGAGTGGAATGTACAATTATTCATGACATGAAGAGTTATACCGTTTCATCTTGTCACGGTCCACAACAAACTTGAAACATTGAACATGTGCGCTTGTACGGTACACGTACACGTACCTGCTACACGTACGTGTACCAGTAGAAATACTGGTACACGTGTACGTGTTGGTAATATCATTTTATGTATCTCAAGGCGGTGTCATTTCGATGACAAGAAGACATATATATAGATATAGATATGACCCTTTATTCGCACCACATTGGTTCAACAGACCGTCTAAAATATGCAGGGGGTTAAATGTTTCCTTTGTTCCAAAAAAAACCCAAAAAATCGAACTATCTAGAAGAAACGCCGGTTTCTGTGCACAATTTCATTTTCTGTATGGGGTTATGTAGTCCCAAGACATCCCAAGACTATTGACCTACCTGGCAAAAATGTTGTTATGTCTTCACCCACACATATATGCATCGTTTTCTGCTTTCAGACATTTTATGAATGACTGCTTGATGGAGAGTCTTTTACCTTAGATCATAAAACCTACCCAGAAGGGCACAGCACACACAAAAAACAGAGCATACCCAACAGTACAAGTGATCATGAAGCTATTGTCAAGCTTATCGCTAACACTCTTACCTGCTGCATGTCTTGCAGCGATTGAATATCAATGTCCATTACCCGATGCGGCCAAGAAGTTCAGCGCCATCGTTCTAGAAGATATGGACAGTGCTGCTCACAACGTGTACACCGGTGTTGCCGTTGGAGGTGTGTTCAAGAATACTAAGAAACCCAATTCAAATATTGCAGTTGATGGCGAAAGTTTCGTTGGAAGCGTCCAGACCCCCATTAGAATCAATTGGAATAAGGGCATTAACACTGGATCCACGTTGGAGGATGCTGGTATTGACTGGTCCTACTTTGAATACATGGCGAAAAACACCTTTTCCACCACCAGGAATGGATACAAAATCGTGAGAATGACTTCGGGTGGAAACTTCAACACTTATTCTTTCAACAATGGAGGCCAAGGTGAAGATAACGGGAAAACAATCGTCTTCTTCGACACCACCGACAGAGTAGTCTTGAAAAAGACAAACGATGGTCGCCAGTTCGGTCCAACTATCATCGCTCCTTTCTCCGTTGTTCGAGTGCATGGAAACGCTGGTTTCGTGGATGGTCTCATTGTTGCCAAGAAACTGATCACCAGCGGAGGGAATCCTTCCCAGTTGCAACTCCATGGTGACTACTTCAAGGGTAATGATCTCCCCTGTCGAAATCCACCACCCTCAGATGCAACTAGTGGTCCGACTGCTGAACCTACCGGCACTCCGACTCCTGTACCTACCAGTGGTCCAACTCTTGATCCAACTAGTTCACCAACAGCAGGACCAACCGAGACCCCTCCAACTGTGGATGGTGGCGCTAAGGGAGATCCTCATTGTAAGTATCTGCACCCGTTTCAGTCACACCACTCTGCCTCGCCCGGTATCTAACATTGTACCGCACCACTCTTCCGAATCGCAGTCAAGACCTGGAAGAACGAACATTATGAATATCATGGTCAGTGCGATATGATCCTTGTCCAAGACCCTGACTT